TTCTTACTCCCGAGCCCCTGACCTTTCAGGGCCACATGGCCGGGTGGCCTGTCCAGCACTGGTGCCGAGATGCCCGGAGAGGACAGACGCTTCCCGGTCACTCCTCCGGGGGACGTCAGCAAGGCAGCCGCCTGCCCCGGCAGGCACCCTGGCTGTCCCGCTGTCTGACCCTAGTAGCACCCACCATGGGAACTCCGCCCAGTACCCTTTGCATGCCCACCTGGAGGGGTTCAGAAAGTGGAAATGTCTCCCAGGAGCCTCCTGGAACTGATGGGGAAACAGGCCCCGGGCGGGAAGGACCCCTTCCCGGGTCCCGGGACATAGGAGCAGTGGGCCTGGTGACAGTGAACATGGCTGGCAGGGAGGGAACCCTGAGCATTGGGGAGCACCGGCCCCCTGCTAGGGCCGAGTGAAGAGAGGGCACTCACGGAGGACTTCTTGGAGGAGGTGCCGTGTGGACAAACTGATGAATTGGTGTTGAGCCGGAAGGAAGGGCAGGAAAGGGGTCCTGCGCCAGCATCAGGAGCCTTATGCAGCCTGGAGGGGAGGCGGCTGGCTGGAGCAGGTGCGTGGCCTGAGCTCTGAGTCTCCTTCCGCCCGGGGCCAGGGGAGGCACCGAGGGCCCTTCAGCGGCATCTCTGGGCCTGCAGGCAGCGACTTCAGGGAGGTTCCCGTGATGCCTGTGTGGCTACAGGCCGCCTCTTGGGGTGGGGAAACGCAGATACCTTTCCACCGAAAGCCACATGTGCTCTGCGGTGGCAATTGAAATGAGCATTTAAGGACGATTAGGACTGAATGTTCCTGTTTTTAAAACATTTCCCAGGAAAAACAAATGTTCGAAAGTTAAACATTTTGGCTATTAGGATGCAGCAGACTTGCCTTTGCCTCGTAAATGTGGGCATCGGCGTTGCCTTGAGGGTCCAGAATCCTCGCTGCAGGATGCGCGGGCTGGGCCTGCAGCTCAGGGCAGGGCCTGCTGTCCCCACGGTCAGCCCCGGCCATCGCCACACCAGCCCTGGGCAGGCCACCTGACCTTCCCATGCCCTCCGCTCCCCTCTGACATTTCTCCCCTGAGGCTGACAGGGACGCCCCTCCAGGGGGTGTTAGCCAGGCCTTTACTGTTCTTCATTCTCATACTTTGGCATTTGGGGCCTGTGCCTGTGGGGGAGGGTCTGCCCTTTCCAGCTGGGCTAATCAACCGAGGGCCAGGGAAGGGCTCACCTAGAGGGCACCTTCGGTGGGCAAAGCTGCCAGCCTGAGCCCCAGCCCCAGCGCCTCCCTCGGGATCTGTGAGCACAAACTCCCTCCTCCTCACAGTGCCCAACCAGTGTGCATGTCTGGGGCGCAGGAGCGACGCAGCGCCTCTCGTGCTGTCCCGGCCTCTGGGGCCGGGGGCCCTTCTCTTGCAGATGAGACACCCAGCGCAGAGAGGTGGGGCTCGCTGCGGCCGCTTTGGGGAGGTGGGGTGGATGCGGGCTTTCCCCTGCCCAGCGTGCCCCAGTCGCCCGGCTGCACCGCTCCCCTCTGTGAGACCTGGCTCCGGGGCGTCTAGCGTACCGAAGGTAAATCGCCCATCACGGCATCGCAGCACCTGGCACGCAGAGGGGCCCGGCAGTGCAGCAAACGCAGAGCCCCCAGAGAGCCTGTCGCCGTGTGCAGGGCTCGGCTCTGGCCCCACCTCAGGCCTCGCCTGCCCGCCTGGGCCACGCGCAGTTCCTTTGTCCAGCCTCCCGGCTGCTGGAGACCCACGCGGCTCGCAGCCGGCGGTGGGCGTGTCTCATTCCAGGGTTTTCTAGCCCTGCGCCATAGCGAGAAGGCTGCTGATGTGAATCTCCCAGGCATCGGCAAGTGTTTAAACACAGAACTGTCAAAGACGTACTAAAAATGCAATCAGAGATCGTTACGCTGTCTCTTTATTCCATCCCCCTCTGCTGCGTTCTGGGAGCTGGAAATGGGCGGAAGAGGCTGTAAGTGGGCATTTTCCTGATTGTCACCGCCGTTAGAGACACTAAAACTCCGCGGGGCCCCGCGCTCCGGGGATGGCGCAGACGATGGCGAAGCCCGCACGTTCAAGGATTCAAATTCTTGTTGAATTTAACAGATGATGCAGTTTGGAGGCAGCACTTTCTGCTAAATGGGATGGATAAGTGCTGGTGATAAAGAACCATAACCTTTGGGAGGGAGATTGATTTTGAAAGCTCAGCCACGGAGGTTTCGCGGGCCCCGCCGTGCCGAGCGCCCCGGGGAGCGCTGCGGAGATGCGGGTCTCCTTGGGTGGAAAAAGCACATGAGACGTTGATAGGGCCATCCCCGCGTGCTTCGCCGGCTACTTCCTGGTGATGTCTTTTAGCCAAGACATCCATGGCTGGCAAGTAAATGCCAGGATCTCGAGGGAGCTCCCCGGGGCGATGGCCTGACAGGAGCAGGCAGAACAGGAACGTAGCACGATGCCCACCGCCCTGATGTGCCGGGAGGCCAGGCTGGTGTCCGCGAGGCCTCGGAGTGGCTTGGAGCCGGAGAGTGGGCTTGGGAGGAGAATGTCCCGTCCACCTCCCAGGCCCGTCTGGTCCAGAATCTAACCTGGGCCTCAAGCCCTGTGCCACTCTCTCTGAAACCCTCAGATCTTCCCAGCCCCCGCTTGCCTGGCGCGACCCCCAGGGGCAGCGTGGCTGTTGGGCATGCCCACGCGGGGGGCCAGGGCTCCGTCCTGCTCCCTGCTCTGGCTGTGTGACCTCAGGCAGGGCCCTCCCCTCTCTGTCCTCTTCTATCCAGTGAGGGGTGGTCCCTGGAACCCCGCATGTCCCCACCGGTACTGGCCCTGTGACAGAGTCCTGCTCATGTGTGTGTCCCCAGGGTGTCTTGCTCTGGGTCTGGAACACAGTGGTGGATGGCTGGCCGGGGTGGGTGGGGTCCATGCCTGGACGCTCCACGGAAGCAAGCATTTTACCCACAGCTAGCTTGGTCATTGCCGAGGGGGACGTGGAGACTAATGCAGCCTTAGGCAATAACAACAGAGGCAGCAGCCTCAGAAGCAAGGAGGGAATTTCACCCCAACTCTGACGGTCAGGCCCCACCAGAGCCTTGTTTCTGGCTCCCCACCCACACCCGTGAGCTAGAGAAGACTCTGAGCTGGACGGTCAGGGTTGGGAGTGAGGGGGTGGGGCGGAACAACATCCCTGGCCGGAATGATGGGAGGAAAGCGGGGCCCGGGGAGAGAGGTCAGGAGGCAGACAGGGTGGGCCGGGGGTGGATGGAGATGGGTGGATTCATCATGTCTCCAGCTGTCCTTCTGTAGCCATTCACCCATCCTTAATCCACCCGCCTCTGTTCCTCCCCACTACCTTGCTGGCAGCGCTGAGCAGAGACCAGGTCTGTCCCGTCTTGTCTCCAGGCACTGTGGGAAAGTCCAGAAACCCAGCACCTTCCAGGAGCTGCCAGTACCTTCCAACGAGTGAAGTGAGCCGGGGGTGGTAGTAGGGCTGGGTGGGGACTGGACAAATGGACACTGCGTCTTACTCAAGGGAGGCGTGGCTCTCCAGCGCTTGGCTGGGCCAAGATCTCAAGATTTTACAATTGACTGATTTATTTTTAGAAAACAGAAAGAATGACATTTTATTGGGAATCTCTCGAATATCTAATGATGGCAACAAATTCAAATTTGAAAAAAAAAACCCCAAAACTTAGGCCAAACAAAATATGTCTGTGGGCAGGGCTGGCCTGCAGGCTTCCCGTTTCCTGAGTCTGTCCCGGGAAGCTGGCATCTTTCGAGCATCAAGTGTCTGGACATTTCCCTGCGTTGTCTTCCGTGTCCCAGAACAGTCTTGCAGGTGAGGAAACTAAGGCCCAGGGAGGCTGAGTCACAGGTCGTAGCAGAGCTGTGAGGCGTGCGGTCCCCAGCCTCCCTGCGCTGAGGAGAGGCAGAGGACACTGTGTCTTCAAGGACCGGGACCAAGTCTGGGGTGGCGAGAGGCTGTGACGAGCAGATGATGGTTTTCTGGAATCTTCTCTCGCGCTGCTGCCCCCCAGCCCCTGGGCCTCTCCCTGTGGCCAGCTGGGAGTCAGGTGGCCCCTGCCCTCTGTGTGCCCGCGGCCACTTGGCCAGACTGCGTGCAGGCCCCGTCGTGGGCGCGTGGACTCAGCCAGTCGCTGGAACGCAGCAGTGGCTGTGGCCGCAGTCCCACGGCTTTGCTGCCGGCTCCGGCATGGAAGTCCCCGGTCCTGGCGCTTCCGTCCGGCCAGTGTCGGGAGCCGAGTCTGCTGGCCCGCCTGTCTCATCTGCTCCAGAGGCGGGCATCCGGCCCCGGCGAGGCAGACAGTCCTGGCAGCTGGGAGCAGAGGCCTCTGTGGCGGTCCCTGGAGCGGAGGCCGTGGCGGGCCGCCAGCGCGGCAGAGGGCCTGGGCGAGGGCGGGTGGAAGGGCCCAGGCTCCTGCCCCAGCAGCGCCGGCTCAGCGCGCGTCTCCCGGACGGTTTCGTGCCGACTCCACTTAGACTCTGCTGGACTTTGGATTCCAAGGCCGCGGGGGGCGGGGGTGCTGGGCTCGTCCCGAGGGCGGCTTCCCCAGCTTTGACCTAGGTCCCCCGAGAACCTGCGCTTCCTGCTGGAAGGTGGAAGCTAAAGAGTCCAACCCCAGGAGTGGAGGGGCCTGGGGCGCTGGGCCTGGGGTGCTGGGACCGGGGCCGGGTGAGGGGCGTCTCCTTGCAGTGGAGGGAACTGAGCGGGGAGGTCCCCAGGACGCGGCCTGGCACTGGCAGCCTGGAGGCCCCAGGACGCTGCCGGCCCTCCCGCAGCTCTCAGGACTCAACGCCGTCACCCACTCAGGGCCGCCACCCCGCCAGGCCCCACCAGGGACCGCGGCTGGGCCGCTGCCTGAGATCCGAGGGCGCCCGCGGGGGAGTGGCCCTCGCCTGGCCCTCGCCCGCCCCTTGCCTGCTCCTCGCGCGCCCCTCGTGCCCACTGGCCTTTTAGGCCAACGGCAGCGCCGTGTGTGTCCGCCCGCAGGCAGCCTGCCCTACGAGTACAAGATCGTGATCGCCGGCAACCACGAGCTGACCTTCGACCAGGAGTTCATGGCCGACCTCATCAAGCAGGATTTCTACTACTTCCCGTCCGTGTCGAAGCTGAAGCCGGAGAACTACGAGAACGTGCAGTCCCTGCTGACCAACTGCATCTACCTGCAGGACTCGGAGGTCACCGTGCGGGGCTTCAGGGTCTACGGCTCCCCGTGGTGAGTGCCTGGCTGCTGGCCGCGGCTGGGGGTCAGGGCGGGGGGACGGGGCTGGGGGCAGTGGGAGCTCTCGGCACCCGAGGCCCCTCCTTGCTGGGTGACCCCGGGCAGGTCCCTGCTGCTCTCCGGGCCCTGATCTCCCCACGTCTCCCTGGCACTGAGCTACACAGCCGTGTCCTCGGTGCTCTGTGGCGCCCACTCAGCTGGGCGCTCTCGGGCCTGTCTTCCAGGTGGGCACCGAGGCACAGAGGGGAGGACTGGCTGAGGTCATGCGGCTAGCAAGGGGTGGAAGGAGATTAGCTCCAGGCAGACGGGCTCCCGACCCGCGGCTTTCAGCTGCTGTGCTCGCGGGGGCTTCCCTGTTGCCGGTCTTCTGGTGCGACGGTGCCTGCGTGGGGTGACGTGGAGCAGCCAGACGGGGCAGGGGATGCCAGAACTTGCCCGGAAGGCGGGCCTGGCTCGTGGTGTTGGGGTGGCGGCTGTTTAAATGATGAGCTCAGATGGAGACATAGAGGGGTCAGGTTTCACCCCTGAGCTCACCTGGCTGGGTGGGGATCAAGGTGGGAGTGGCCAGGACTGTTCTTGTGATGGTCACTGTGTCCACAGGGGCCCCGTGAGGATGGTGACGTGATGCTGACGATGGGGTGGTGATGGTGTAAGTGGCGATGACGGTGGGTGTGGTGACGATGAAGGAGACGCTGATGTACAAGTGGCGATGGTGGTGGTGGTGACGGGAGTGCGATGATGATGGCGATGATGAAGATGACGGTGAAGGTGCTGCTGCTGCTGGTGATGACTAAGACGATAGTGAGGATGTGGGGGCAGCAATTCGTTCCTGAGCCTTTACAGTCAGCTGGGACTGGGGTGAAGTTCCCACGAGTGTTGTCTCATCCTTACTGTCCTGCGAGGACCGACGGACTGATCCCATCCTGCAGGTGGACAGACCCACTGGCAGCAGTCTTGGAGTGCCAGGGGCTGTCAGGGTGGGAAGGTACCACACACAGGAAGGAGAAACATGTGTGCTTGGACGTGTGGATTGATCCTGGAGGGCTTCCTGGAGGAGGTGTACTTGCAAGAAAGTTGAGGGGTGATTTAGGGGTGATTTGGGTCTCCACAGGTGTGGGCACTTCGGGGAAAGCTTTCAGTACTACATCTGGGACTGTCCCGGGCTGCCCTGATGGATGCCACACAGTGTCACCTGGTGCCTGGAGGCTGCAGGAGGCTTGGGGCCTGGTTGCATCCTGCCGGGCCAGGTGCAGAGGCGGGGCTCCCCGAGCCCCAGGAGAGGCCTGCGGTCTGGTCCCAGAGCACACCGTGCACAGGGCCTGGGTGAACCCTCCCCGCAGCCTGTGAGGCCCCAGGACCGTTGGACGTGATGGGCTCAGCCAAGGACGGGGAGAGGAGGTGGGGTCTGCCTGGCAGGCCGAGAGTGGCCAGACCTGGAGGAGGACTCTGCTTTGGGCAGACTCAGCGGGAGGGGTGCTGGGAGGTGGAGGAACTGAGCGAGCAGAAGCCCGACCAGCGAGCTCGATGGAAGGTGTGGAGCAGGGGTGCGGCTGGGAGTGGAGATGGGGTAGGGCGGTGGGTGCCCAGGTACTGACCCCGGCGTCTGGACTGGATCTCTCTGCCCGGTGGTTCTGAAGCTGCTCCCCCTACAGGCCTGCACAAGCAGGGGCGGGTCCCCTTTTCTGTGGCTTCACCCAGACCTAGCGCAGTGTCCTGTGTCACAGTAACTCTTTGTTAAATGAACGAATGGAGGCTGAGCAGGTGGACAGAGGCCAGGCCATGGGGCCTCCCTTCGAATGCAGACCTGACCTGGTCTTGCTGGTCTTCCTGCGGCCTCTCCCCGGCTCACCCCGGCTCCCCCCTGCCCGCTGGTTCCTGCCTCTCCTTAGTGCTGGTCTCTCTGACCCTGCCCCTCCTGGCTGACCCCACTCCCCGTCACCCCAGGCTGGAGGGTGGATGCCCCTTCACCCGGTCCCCGGATCCTGCTCCCGCCCACGCCAGCAGTCCCTGCGTCCCGAGCGGGTGGGAGAAGGGACACCACCTCCCTGTTTGTGTTGCTCCCCCACCTTCCCCTGGCCCCCCACTCCTGCCCCAGGGCTGCGGCTTCCCTGGGCCCAGGGAGGCTTCTGGCCCCTTCGGTGCAGACGCGCACGAGCTCCCCGGGGCGGCGGGAGGAAGGGGCGGGACCCGACTACAGGGAAGAGGAAGAACTCAGCTGTCACAGAAGCCTAAGTGTTAAAAAAAATGCCGTATACATACCGTATTCATTTATGGGTTTGGATGCATTTTTTGTTCTCATTTAACTGAAAACGGCCTTGATTTAAAAAAAAAACGGAGAGAGGGAGGGAGCGAAGCTGGCACGCGGCGAGTCCATCTGGTCTAATTACTTCTGGTATTTTGAAAAAAGGAATCTAAACCTGCTGAGACATTAAACTTTGAGAAGTGACTGCGGCTTCGCTGGCGTCTGGGTGCGGAGCCCGCGTCTCAGCGGAGGGGCCGCCTCTGGGGGGCAGGCCTTGGGCGGCGGGGCTTCCGGGGGCCTCCCAGGGAGCCAGGGGCCTCGGGGCCCAGCTCTCCGCGAAGGGCCAGGACGGAACCAGGCCGGACCCAAGCACGCCGGGCGGGTGCAGCTGTGAGACCCCGGGCCGCCGCGTCTGCTGGCCCCGGGTGAACGCGCGGGCACGGCCGGCCACTCCCCGGCCCCTTCGGTCACTGCCGGGGCCTCCGGAGCAGGGCCTGGGGAGGTTGGGTTATTCCCGCGCAGCCGGGGCTGCCTGACGACCACCCCCGGGGCTGAGTCCCCCCGCCAGGCTGGGAGGGTGCTCGCCTGAGCCTCTGGCGCCCTTCCCGGCTCTGGGCACAAGGGGCGGCCGGGGGGACAGGGACAGGGCAGCCTGGGGCGATCAGATCTGCGCGGCGGTCACTGCGGCTGTCCGCGCGGTGTCCCCGAGCCCCCCCACGCCAGCACTGCGAGCGCAGACCCTTGTCCCCATCATACCTCGAGGAGCACGGCGGCCCCTGGAGTGACCCGCAGCGGGGGCGGGCTGGGGGGGGGCGGGAGGCGGCGCCCCGCTGGGAGCTGCCTGCAGGGAGGCGCTGACGGCGCAGGACACGGTCTCAGCTGCTCATCCTCAGACGCCGTCTCCTCGCGGGTGGACGCGAACGGACCGTGTCCGCGACGCTCTTCCCCGGCCTACGCGTCACGGGCGCGCGGCGGTAGACACGGGGCTCAGGCGGTGGCTCCTCGGAGGCTGTTGTTCGGGGCAGGTGCCGGGGCAGAGCAGGCTCTCGGCGCGGGCGTGTCCCGGCGGCCGGCTGTGGGGCCAGGAGGGCCGCTCCTGTGTGGTCCAGGGCCCGCGTTTATCTGTCCTCGAGGGAACAGGGGCCTGGAATGAGGCGTCTGGACGACGGGATCCCGGTGGGCCCCGAAGGCCTGCTGCCCGGCACCCCTGGCCTCAAGGCCCCCCCTTCCTAGGAAGCCTGGTGTGGGCAGCCCAGCCTGGACAGCCTCCCTCCTCGCCCCCCGCGCCGGTGCTCCCCTCCCGGTGAGGAATGGGGTCTGGACGCAGCCCCAGCCCCCCAGCACCTTTGCTGTCTCTCTTAAGGAAATCTTCCATTTTGCGGGGTCCTGGGCAGCCTGATTCAGGGTGTCGCCTGGTTTGGGGGTGTCCCTCAGAGGCTGTTTGTGTTGGTCTGGGGTGCACAGCCAGGGCGTGCGTATACTCACGTGCTGCTTAGGCCCTCCTGGGCCTTGTGGACTCGCCACCTTGGGGACCCCCACCCTGGACAAGGTCCGCATCCGCCTCTCCCGTGGCCTCCCTGTGGGTGGGTCTCAGGCCCCACGGCCGCCCTGGGGCCTGCTGCTGCCGCTCGCCCTCGGCCTCCTCGGCCCAGGCCAGGAGCTGCTGGCAGAGAGCTGCGAGGCCGGCCTGTCCCCAGCAGCGCTTGAAGGTGGGGCTCAGGTGTGGGGCGTCCCCAGGAGGCCGGGGTGCTGAGGGTGAGGCCCCAGCGGTCTCGGCCTGTCCTGGCTCAGACTGAGCCCACCTGGGGCACCTGGGGCCTCTGGCGGAGGGGGCGGCCGGCTCCCTGGAGGTGGCCTGGGAAGCCGGACCCTTGGGGGCAGGAAGAACAACCTGACCTTGGGTCCAGGGTCAGGGTCAGGCTGAGTGATTGGCCTGGGGCAGGGGGACGGGCTTGGTCTGGTGAGCCTGGTGCGCAGGGGTGCTGGGGGGGATGCACCACCGCTCACCACACAGCCACCGCCGCCCCTGATGCAAGGAGAGGCAGGGGAGCCGCCTGGCTCAGTCTGCTGAGAGCTGCCGCCTCCTCCGGGGGCTGCCCTGGGGCCGGGGCCTCTCCCCAAGGAAGGAGACTCCCCTGGGAGGCAAGGCGGGTGCAGCAGCGGCTGTGAGGGTGAGGGTCTCGCTCTGCTCTGAGGCCTCACCTGTGAAATGGGCACTGAGTGCCTGGGCAGGCTGTGGAGGGGGTGATGGAGGGGGGTGCTGTTCCTGTTGCTGCAGAGCCTGGTGCTGCTGGGGCTGCAGGGTGCCTCCCGCCAGGGGGGTGCAGAGAGGAGAGGGTTAAATCTTTGTGCGTCCCACCTGCCTGCTGCCAGCGCACCTGTCCCTTCACTCCATCTTTCCTTCGTTCACGCACACCCTGAGCAGCCCTCCCCAGGCCCCCCCAGGCCCAGTGTCTCCAGCAGGAGGGATGTGGGCTGACCCCCCTGGGCCAGCGCCGCGGGGTGATCAGGAGAACCTTCCTGGAGGCGGAGGCCTTGGATGCCTGGGCTGCATGGACAACGGCCATGAACTCCGGGGAAAGGCTGGAAGGGCATTTCAGATGACTGGAATAGCACAAGAAAAACCCCTTGGGAGCCACCGTCGAGGACCATGTGCCCCCGGTCCCTGCCCAGCCAGGCTCAGGGGACAGTCAGGAGCTGCCCCTGGATTCAGTTGCCACGAAGGGCGTGCCCGGGCCGCCTGTAAGGGTCCTCTTTGTGTCCCCCACCGCTGGCCAGGATGCAGGCGCAGGGGCCCTGCCCAGGCCCTCCGGCTCCCTGTGTCCACAGACGTCCCCTCTGCCGCCATCACCCTGCCTCTATGGGGGCCTCCCGGCAGCGGTGAGCGGGACTGGGGGGCTCGCCGAGGCCGGCGGGCAGGCTTCCTGCTCTGTGGTCACAGCTCAGGGGACAGGGTGGCGCAGGCTGGCGTCTGCCCCTGGGCTGCGTTGGCCCCGGCACGTGGTCCCAGCTGCTCTGGGCCCTGCACCTTCCCCGCTCTGCTGCTGGGGCATGGCGCGGGGCTGGGGCGTCCTCCCGGGGTGGGCGTGAGGATTGGGGCTGTCTGTGCCTGTGTCCCCGGGGCGCCCCCGGGTGTCCCGTCAGGCCCTTCCACTCGCCCTCGGGGCATTGAGCGCCGGTGCCCCTCTGGGCACAGCCCCACCAGCGCGCCCAGGCCTCCTGGCCGCGCACCCGAGCCCGGGGACGGAGCGGCCGCACCCCGGCCACGTGGGCCGCCCTGGCCACTGCCCCCCGCTCTTACCTGGGGAGAGGGGGAAGCAGAAAGGCGGCTCCGCTTCAGCCATTTTCCGCAGACACGTCCCCTGCCCGCCCGCCGGGGAGCCCGGATTCCTGCTCCAGGGAAACTGCTTAATGATTGGCCACGAGGAGGTCATTTATATTGGCTAAGCGGGCCTAATTAGCCGGCTGCGGAGGTTACCACGAGCGCACAAAAAAGCTGTTAAGGGGTTAACCTCGGAGAGATTACATTGTATTCAGCGCGCTGTTAAAGTTTGAATTAATTTTTCCCATGGGTTTGTTCACATTCTAATTTTCAACTAAATGAGACATCTGTTTCAGAAAAGGAAAATTTGCTCTGGTTGTCATGGCAACTATCATTCTGTAAGAAAATTATTCCAATGGTTACTTTAGAACAGAAAGACAGAAATTCGGGACATAAAGCTGCCTCCCAGCGCCTCGCCGGAATTCTGATTCATCCGCGGGGCCTGGGCTGCGTCCCGGGTGGGGGCAGACGCGGGGGTCCTGGCGTCGGGTGGGAGCCGCCCGGGACCCAGCCCGCTGGAGTCGGGGGCCACGGTGCCTGCGGCCCCGGCTCCTGAGGGTCTCCGACTCAGCCGGGGCTGCCCCCACGCCGGCAGGGGTGAGCGGGGGGCCGGATCCGGGCTGCCCGGGTGACAGGCTCTTTGAGCCCCTGCCTGCAACCCCAGGAGTCCTCACGCGGCGAGGGGGGTCAAGGGACCGGCCCCAGAACGTGGGCGCGCCGGCCGCCTGTCTCCCCGGCCCCGGCAGAGAGCTGGACCGGACGGGAGGGCGCGGGTCGCCCTGGAGAGTCTCTCCCACCGCTCTGGCCCCAGGAGGGTGCCCTGCTCCCCCGGCCATCTGGGGTGTCTCCTCTGGACATTTCCATGGACGATTTGAGCCTCCCGCTGCCTCCCAAGTCTAGCGAAGCGAAGCCGTCACCGCCCCGCGTGGGGCCGCCTCACCCTCTCAGGCCTGCTCTTCCCCTCCCTGCCCTGTGTGGGGCGGGGGCGCCCTCCTGGGCGAGGTCCCGAGCAGTGGGGTGTCTCACTTCCCAGGGGCCGGGAGGTGCAGCACCGGGCGGGGGCTGGGGTCTGAGGCCGACTTCAGTGCCCTTCCAGCCACGAGAGGGGACAGGGCGCCTTCCCCGCCCCCCGGGGCCTCGTGTGCCCCAGGGCCTGTGTCCCCAGAGCCGCCCTGCTCTCCGGCCCCTCCTGCGGGCAGGCTTGGGCGGGACGTGCTTAGAGGTGGGTGGGGCCGGTGAGGGGCTCGGGTGAGGAGGGGGGGACACCAGGGGAGTCCTGGGCCTGCTGCCCCGGGGAGACCCGCCCCGGACCCGCTGTGTGACGCTGGGCCGTGGCTCAGCCTCTCGGGGCGTCCCGGGGGCCGGCGGACCCCAGACCCCGGGATGGGAGGCGCTCTGTTTTGAGAGCCAGATAGGTGCCTCGGCGGGGAGGCACCCACCTGGGGGGCGCGGGGGAGGCGGGCGGGCGGGGGCGCCTGTGGTCCTGGGGCTTTTGGGGTCGCTGGTCGATTTCCGAGTGTTTCCTCCCCGCCTTGCTGTGGCTCCTGGGAACCGAGGCGCTTGCTCTTCGTGTTCACGAAGCCTCAGCCCGTCTTGTAAATATTTGATTAGATTTGTGAAAAGCGGGCGCTGCGGGGGAGGCAGCCTCGCGCTGCTGGCGGGCGGGGCCGGGGCGGCCGCGGCCTGGCGTCCTGAGCAGCTTCCGGGCCGCTGGCCGCGCCTGCCCACCGCCAGCCTCCTGGGGCAGCCGGGGCCCTGGGCTGCCCGGCCCGAGCTCGTGCACGAGGGGGAGCCGCCCCGCGCCCGAGCGCAGCACCCCAGCCCTTTGAGCAGGGGCGCGGGGGGCGTCTGCGGTGGGGACGCCGGGTGGGTGTCCACGTAACAGAGCCACGGCGACGGCAGGGTCCCTGCTGGGCCGGGGGCCGCCGGTTTCTCTTCCCTGTTCAAACATGCTGTCGCGGCCCTTCGAGCTGCAGCGCGGGGCCTGCCCTCGGCCGCGGGATCTCGCGGAGAGCCCGAGTGTTTCCAGGAGGGCTTTGTCATGGCGGCGGCGGGGGGTGATGGTGACTCAGTAAAGGCTCGGGACCGTGGTCCTGGGGATGTGACACTGACTTAGGTCGAGGGGCTGCTCTCGAGGCAGAGGAACACCCGGGGCACGCGGCTCCCGCGGCTCCCACAGCGGAGCGGGGCCGCGGCGGGTGGGCGTCTGGCGTGACTGCTCGGGCTGGCTCCGGGGCCGCGCGCTCGGGCCACCCCTCGGGGACGGGCTCGCGGCCGTGGGCAGCTCTCGAGGCGGGCGCCCGCGGCTCGCGCTGGCCTAGAGCAGCCCCTCATCCCATCGACCGGGCTCTGGGCTCCCTCCGGCGGGAAGGGCCGGGCCACGCGTTCCTCCTGGGCCCCGGGAGGGCAGTGACTTGTGACGGCGGCTCCGAGCCCCGGGTGGGCGCCGGGCGGGCCTCACTCGCGGGCGTAGGTCATGTGGCCCTGCCCCAAGAGCTGGGGTGCGGCAGCCCTGCCGGACGGGGGCTTCGGGTGGAAATGGGGAGAAGAGGGGAGGGCCCTTGTCCACCTGGAGCTGGCTGCCTCGGGGCGGGGCTGCAGCTGCCGTTGTGGGGGAGACGCGGGTCTCCCGCAGCTGGGGCGGGGGGCGGCGGGTGGTCTCTGGATTTCCAAGGGAGCACGTGGAGCAAGAACGGTCCTGGGCAGAAGCTGGTACTTCTTCAGCCTTTCCTGTTTTAACATAACCCTTGTTCATCACGGAGCCCAGAGACCGGGGTGCGAGAGAGCAACGAGGGCACCCCTCGAGCCCAGAGCATGGTCTGAGCCCGGATTTCGCCCGGCGGCCTCGGCAGTGTGGGGGGCCGCCTGTGGTCGCCCCACTCTCCCAGGCGGCTCTCAGCGCCGGGTCTTCTCCCACAGGCAGCCCTGGTTTTACGGCTGGGGCTTCAACCTCCCCCGAGGCCAAGCGCTGCTGGAGAAGTGGAACCTCATCCCCGAGGGTGTGGACATCCTGATCACCCACGGCCCCCCTCTGGGTAAGCCGGCTGGGGGGGGGGCGCGGGGGGCACCAGGGCCGCACCCCGAGTGGGCAGCTAGCTGGGGTGTGATTTTTGGAGCAGCTGCTGTATGCTGGGGCTCCCCTGTGGCCTGAGGGAGGGCGGTCCTGGGGCGAGAATCAGCTGCCCGCCTCGCTCAGGCGGCAGATGTGCTCAGAAGGCAGCAGGGCCCCGACCCCAGACCTGAGCCCTGGGCCGTGAGCACCCGGGGCTGCTCCATCTGGCTCCCCTCACCCCGCCAGACTCCCAGGGACCTCACCCCCACCGTCCTGGCCGTTCCCAGGCCTGGGGGGCTGCTGCTGGCGCTCTCCTCCCGGCTTCGCTCACGCCCCATTCTGTCCCTCAGCGCGTCCCTTCGAGGCCACCCCCAAACCGAGCCCCAGCCCCTCCTCTTCTCTCTACCTCACTGGCCCCGCTTTTTGGCCCCGCTTTCTCTCCCCACGCCCCTGAGGCCGCCACTGCTCCCCAGTCTTGCCCCTCGTCACATCAGGAGGAGGGGTCTCTGGACCCCCAGTGCCGCGGCCTCCCGCTGCGGCCTCTGCGGCTCCCGCGTCCTTAAAGGCCAAACTCTGCTGTGGCCAGACCCGCCTCCCCCTCCCACCCTGCCCTCCCTCCCCCTCCCCTCCCCTCCCGCCTCCGCTCCAAGTCAGTGTCTCTTGCAGCACCCCCGTTCCTGAGTAGACACCCCCTTCCCCCTCCCAGCAGCCGCAGAGCTCGCCCGGCCAGCAGAGGGGCTGAGCGAGCCGGACCCTCCTCTGGGCCTCACCAGCCCTTCCTCCCGGGGCAGCCTGAGGGTGGCGGGTGCCCGCCGCGGAGGGGCGGCTCCGGGAGGCCGTTTCATAATTTTGTGCTGTTTGTTTAGAAAGTGTCGGACGCAGAAGTCTCGCCCGAGCTGCTCCGCGGCCTTGTCTGCGCCGCTGCCGGGGTGGGGCGCACAGGCTGGTCTGGGGTCCGCGGGAGCCCCGCGGCCGCCCCTCTGGACGCTCAGCCCCGTGGGTCCGGTTCCCGCGACGCCGAGGCTGCCGGAGCAGCGCCCGTGGGTGGGCGTGGGGCTGCGCCAGGCCCGTCACCCCGTCTTCTCCCTGCACAGGCTTCCTGGACTGGGTCCCCAAGAAGATGCAGCGGGTGGGCTGCGTGGAGCTGCTCAACACCGTGCAGCGGCGGGTGCAGCCGCGGCTCCATGTCTTTGGACACATCCACGAAGGTCAGCGGGCGGCGGCGGGCAGCGGGCGGTGGCGGGCGGGCCGGGCCCCTCCGGCTCTTGGGCCGGCTCTCGCCGGAACGTCCAGAGCAGGAGGATGAGTGGGAATCAGACTGGGGGCCCTTCTCGCCCCGTGGGGCCCCCGGACGCCGCGGGTGGCAGTGCTTCTGAGGAGGGGGTGCTGGTGGGCACACCCCTGGGGCCTGGCATACAGCGGGTGCTTGGTAAGTTTGCAGAGCTGCCAGAGTGGCATCTGGCTTCTGGCCTGGGGAGCGCCGCGCGCCGTGTCCACGGGCACCCGCTCCATGTCGAGGGACCGCGGGCAGCGTGGCCGTCGAGGCGATGGACGCTGCCGGAGCCCCTCCGGACCCCCCACTCCTTGGCCTGGCACGGGGCGGGGCTCCTCACCAGAGCCGGACTTGACCAGCTGGGCACACCCTGCTGTCACCCCCTTGAGCCCCCCGCCAGGACCTGTCCCTCCCCTCGGAAGCACATGGGCTCCCCAGGCGTCTCCCCGGCACCTCCTGGCGCCCATCCCGCTCCGCCTGACCCTCCCCTAGCCGGGCCCAGCGGGCGCGTGTCCAGCCGGGGAGGGCGCGGCCTCGGGCCTTCCTGGGGCTCGGGGTGTGGTCGGTGCCGCGCCCAGCAGGGCCCCCGTCTCCGCAGGCTACGGCGTGATGGCGGACGGCACGACCACCTACGTGAACGCGTCCGTGTGCACCGTCAACTACCAGCCCGTGAACCCGCCGATCGTCATCGACCTGCCCACGCCCCGGAACTCCTGACTGGCCCTGCGGGCCCCCGCGCGCCCCGTGCCCCGCGCGCCCCCCGCCCCGCACCCCCTTCCGCGCGGCGCCCCGGGAGGCCCGAGCGCAGGGGCTGGGCTGGGGGTGCCGCTGCCCCCCCGGTACCCCGCCCGCCGCGCGCCCCTCGCCCGCGCCGAGGACCTGAAATCCTTGCACAAAACCCCGCCCTAGGAGGGTCCGTGCAGCCCGGGGCGCGCTCCCCTCCCGGCCGGCCCGGCCCGGGCGCCGGGGGCATCTCAGGAATTGGGCGCCCGGCGCCCGCCCCTCCGTCCCCCCGCGCGCATTTCTTGCTGACTGGAGCCGCGGCCTGAGCGCCCCAGGCCCCCCTTGGAGCCTGGACTCCGGGGCCGGGCTCCCCAATGAGCCATCTGAGCACGCAGGCCCGGCTGGCCGGACCGTCGGGGCGACCCTGTCCTGGGGTCCTGCTCCCCGCCCAGCAGCCGCACCCTGCCGCCCGCAGGGCCCTCCCGCCTCTTCATGTGATGAGTGGATCCTGTTTCGCGTTGTGGCCCCTCATGGGGCTCTAATGGGGCTCTGTCCCTGGCCCCCTGGGGCTCCGATTGCGCCCGGAGCTGAGGGCGCGGAGGGGGTGCAGCCCCGGGTGCCTCAGCCCCCTGCCCTGACGGGGAGGGGACACAGACAGTGGCCAGCCCCGCCGGGCTCTCCTGCAGGGTGGGGGGTGGCTGCAGCTCTGAGGCCCCTGGGGAGCAGCCGGGAGGCCGGGCGGGGCACAGGCAGGAGGGGCAGGTTCGGTCTGTGGTCACCATTTTGATGTTCTGTTCACCCCCGACTTCTGCGTCGGTTTTGAGTCCGAACGTCTCGTGAGACGGTGCCCTGTCTCCGTGGCCGCGGGGCTCCTGAGCGCACCCGGGAGGCCCTCGCTGCCTGCCCCTGCGGCACCCCGCGGGCCCTCCCGGTGTGCGCTCATCCCATCCCCAGCCGGTTCTGCAGCCAGAGAGGTGGGTAACGTGCCTGGGGGTGCACAGCACAAAAGGGGCAGAGGCAGGACTGAGCCCCAGCATCCGGCTTCACTGCCCTTGCTTTGCCTCCACCGAAGCCCGAGCTGGCCCTGCTCCCCGAGGCAGCGCGTGGCCCCCGCTGGGGGTCTGGGCAACGGCCCTCTGGTTCTCTTCTCACGGCGCCCGGAGGCTCCTGTCCCCGGAACTTGGCGTCCCAGGAGCCCACGGTTCCTTCGCTGTCGAGCGGGTCTCCCTCGGGGTGAGGCACCGCGATGGCCGGTTTGCTCTGCAGGGGTGCGGGGCTGCGGGGAGCCCGTGTTTGCGGGTCTCCGGGGACGCCTCGGACACAGAGCCCCTGCGGTCGCCTATGGTGAATTTCTATGTGGACCAAGAAGTATAAACTTAAAAAATTTTTCCTAAGGTAATATCTTCAGAATACGGTGTATTTTTATGTGGGAGAGAAGTTGCGAAGGCAGCTGTTACTTTAAGAGAAAATTCATTAAGCGTCCTTGAGGTATGGAAGATGACGGCGCGCTCCTCAATCATTCTGGCATAACTTGATTGTGGCTGTAATTTTTTTTTGTCAAGCATGTCAGACAATAAAGTCTTTGTAAAAAGAAGGAGAAGTCCGTGCCGCGCCTCTTCCCGTGTCCCTGGGCGGGGGGCCGGGCCCACCTGCCACTGCTGGACCCCGGGTCTGGGGAGGGGCTTGGGTCATGCACAGAAGGCCCAGACCTGCCCGGCGCCGGCCTGCGACGCCCCAGTGGCCCCACCTGGAACGTGGGGGTGTCCTGCAGCTCTCCACGACGGGGGTGCAGCCTGCCCCCGGAAGCTCGTGGAGGGCTTTGCAAGTCTCCTCTGACCCCAGAAGAGGCTTGGGTCAGGGGTGTCTGCCGTTGTGCCCACTGTAAAGGCTCCAGGTTTCCATTTCAGGCCTTTTTTGCGTCCAGCGCACCCAGGAGGAGGCCACAGAGCCCCCCTTCCACAGGGAGGAGCCCCATCCGCGGACATATGTTAAAATGATCACATTAATGAATATTTGGGGAAGATATTTCGAGGCTACACAAGTTTCCGATTTCTCCTTAAAGTCTGCTACCTCCAGCACCCTCCGTGGCCTTGCCTGGAGCAAGCACCCCTGGGGTGTCCTCGGGGCACTGTTCGGGGAGGAGCCCTCCTCGGGGCTACTCAGACGGACCCTGCAGCCAGGAGGACGCGCCCTTCCGGGATGGACGGCGGCGGCTGCTGCTGTCACGCCGGGTCATGATGACGTAACGTGATCCCTGGGTATCTCGTCCGTCTCCCTCCCTCCCTCCCTCCCTTCCTCCCAGGGCTCGGAGAATCTCCACGCTCCCCGTTTCACCTGCCCTGCCCTAGGAGCAGTGTTTCTCCAGAGGGTTCTAGCTCCTTCTTTTCAGAAACTCAGATCTCGGGGGCAGATGTGCTGGCCGGGACGTCACGACTCCTGGCCGCAGCAGGCAGACCCGGAGCTGTGTGGTGCGCGAATTATTTACGCAGTTTGTCCACCCGACTATGCCACCCACGCGCGCATCGGCCTCCCACCCAGTCGTCGATTGATCTTAAAATAAACGAGTATTTTTTTCCCCAAGTGACTTACTTTTCCAGACTGCCTTCTCCAGTCACTAACTCCCGGGCCGGTCGTGTCGGGGTTAGCCCTGTGCTAGGCAGCTCAGCCTCCTCTCCCAAGCTCCCCTGAGAATGGTCCCCCCGCAAACAAGTCTGGGAGACAGTGACCCCAGGATCTGCTGCGGCCTGGGGGCCCGGGGCTGGGCAGGGTCCGAGTGGCGGGGGCAGAGGTGGCAGCAGAGGTGCTGGGAAGGCCGGGGCTGGCCTGGGGTGGGGTGAGGAGCCACACAGCCGAGGGGCAGCTCTTCTCCCTGCCCCTCCCAGTTCCTGCTGGAACCTTCCAGAAAGCATCACAACAACAGAAGCAAGGGACCATGTGAGCTCTTAGCAGAAGGGTCGCTCTGGCATGGTCACTGGTGGGTGGTCCCCATCAGGCCAGCTTGGCCAGGCCTCAGGGGGAGGGGGCGCGGCCTGGGGCCTGACTGAGGTGGGACCCCCAGGGGCTTGTGCCCCCAGTGCCAGCACACACAGGGCAGGTGGAGTCAGGCAGACGGAGAGAGTCCCGGAGCCCTCGGTGGCTTCTTCAGGCTTTAATGCTCTCAGGTGCACAGGCGCGGCCCGGGCAGGGGGCCGGGCGACAGGCAGCCGAGCCTCCAGCCCCACGGACCCTGGGCTCTCCGCGTTCTCTCGCGGTCTCGCCTCTGCAGTCTCGCAGCTCGCCCTCCCTTAGCCCTTCGTCTGCGTGACACCGCCCTTTCACCCCGCCCCGGCTCAGGCGCGCACTCACGCGCGCCCACCCGTTCCAGGTGTCCACCCTCCGCCCGGTGCCCACGCTCCGGCACCTCCCGCCTCACACCATCAGGGCCGCAGGTGATGGCCGGAGGCCAGTGGCGCCAAAGGCCCAATTACTTCATTTACCCTCCCTGCCCCCAGGGCAGGGCTCTGGAGCTGACCAGCACAGTGACCTGGGTCGGAGGCCAGGCTCTCCGTGACCCCAGGCCCCCGGCAGGCTCTCAGGAATAAAAACTCCAGAAATTCCGAGTGCTTATGTATTTTACCTTTGTCTCAAGAATCACTGCTTCAGAGACTAACGTCTTTATTTGCTCTAAGTCGTGAGGGAGCCGAGGCCGGCAGGGCAGCTTCGGGGCTCCCGGACAGGCACGAGGACGTGAGGGCTGAGGGTCAGCGCCAGGCCGGCCCGGTCGCACAGGACTCAGGGCTTGGTGCGCGTGGGGGTGTGCTTCTGGAGACACTCTGGAGGGTTCGTGAAAGCCCGAATGGTGTGGCTTTATGAGTCTTGAGACAGGCCCCGAGGCCTCCGTCCGCGCGGCGGGGCTACTGCAGGAAGGCGCGGAGGAAGTCGTTGTAGGAGATGCGGGAGGAGAGCGCCTTGTCGTAGTACTCCAGCACGTGGAAGAACTCCTCCTCCGAGAGGTTGATGCCGTACTGCCTCAGCACCTGGGGGCGGCAGGGGCTGCAGGCCGGCCCCTCCCCCGCCCGCCAGCTCCCGCCCCCTCCCGCCCCCCGAGACAACAGGAGCATCTTTGCTGGGGTCTCCACTGGACCCCAAAGTAAAGACCAGCTGTGGAGAGTCACTGCGGGGTGCAGGGCAGAGCCCCGGAGCCGGCTCCTGCAGGCCCCACTCTTCACCCTGCCCAGCGGGCCGCCAGGCCCCCGCCCCGCCTGCTGCTGAGTCTGCCGGGCTCATCGTGAGCCTCCCCCGACCCAGCTGTAGGGGGAGGTAAAAGGTATCAGGCTTTTCTGCCCTCCCGCCATCAGGATAGATGAGGGAACCCTGTGGTCCTGAATGCGTGCCTGATGGCGGCACCTGGAGTGGGTACACCTGGGCCAAGACTGTACTTTTTAAGGGCGGCGTCACGGGGACGCCAGGAGAAGCCGAAAGACAAGAAGCCCGAAGCAGGAGCAGAGAAGGCCAGAGAGCCCAGATAGAGTGAAGACTTGCTGGGGGCTGGGAGGCCTGCCAGCCTGCACCCCCCAGCACCCCTGCCTGCTGTGTACCTGCTAAATCCTAATAAAAGACCTGCAAAAAGCCACTGAGGACTCTGACTCCTCCTTGACCCGGTCTGCTGGATCAGAAAACCTGCCCTGTGTCCTGTCCTGCCCCTTACACCAGCCTTCCGCGTATCCGGGTCGCGCGCCTGTCTCTGGACGCCACGGCCCAGGTGTCAGCAGCTGGGCTGCTGAGGGGGTGGGCAGGCCCTGTCCGGCAAGGGGCCCGACTGTAGGGTAAGGGATTTAATCCGGCTTTTGCGCCACCGGCCTCTGTGGCCATCACCTGCGGCCTCGATCTTGTTAGCGCAGAAGGCGCGTGGGCGCGGGCACGCGTGCCTGAGTGTGCACACCTGAGCGAGGGTGAGCGCGCGTGTGCAAGTGTGTACACCTGTGCCCGGGGGAGGGCCTGAAAGGGGGGGCATCACCCTGGGCAGGGGCTCGAGTTGCTGTCTCCCCACTGCTTTCCCCATGTGCTATGAAAACCTGGCGCTGACGCCAAGGCTCTGGAGTTCTTTCAGGCTGTGAGAACTGAGGCGAAGCCGCCCGGCCTGGGTGTGCCCGACACTGGCCCCGTTGCCGCAGTGGCAGTTTTAAGCCCCTGAGGTGGCCTGTTTCCTCTGGGAAAGACACCCAAGAGCCCCAGGGGGCGGGAGCTCCCCTCTGGGGGTGGCCCATTAACCCCTCCTGGCTCTGGGGCCTGGGGGCGGGAGCCGTCCAGCGCCTAGGAGGAGGCCGCTGGGCTCCAGGTGGGTGCCCACCAAGGGCACCGTGTGAAAGGGTCTGAGGAGAGGGACACGTGGACGCAGCCCTTGACTGGGGAGGGGTCACGAGAGGGGTGTCGGGGACAGCCAGTCTCGCCCTGGCCTTACCCTCCTGAAATCCGCCACGCTCAGGAGCCCGGTGCCGTCCTGGTCGTAGCTCTTGAAGGAGCGCCGCATGGGCCTCCAGCAGTGCAGGATTCTGGGCTGGATCCGCAGCAAAGCAGAGTAAAAGGAAGACGTCTCCGCACCAGTTTCTTTCTGGGAAAAGCAAAACCGAGAGGGGGTGAGGAAGGACTCCAGGTGCGGAGGGCGGTGTGGGCAGGCCGGGCAGGCTCCCCTCTGGGCCTCGTCCCCATTCTGCTCCTGCGCCCCCCCACCCGCGCCCCTCCAGCGCCGGAACCCCAGGCCGAGCCTGCGGGCAGAGCCTGCGTGAAGAGCACCCTCCCCCCACTGCTCTCCAGCACGAGGGTGTGGGGCCTGGCTCCCTGCTCCCCCCGCCTGGGAAGGAGGTCGGTCACTCTGTCCCCATTTCAGGGTGGGGGACACGGCGGCTCTGGGAGGCCAGTGGCAGGACCAGTGTCCCCTGGACTCCACCACGCCAGGCGACCCCACCCCGGGGAAGCCCCCGATGAACTGGAGAGGGCCACGGAATGTTGGGGCGTTTTCAAAATAGGGGGAAAAAGCCATTTAGGTCCAGGTCTTCCATTTAGGTCTGGGTCTCTGTGTGATAACGCACAGAGCTAAAACAAACCCCGCCAGGCCATGACGTATCCGGCGAGGCCCGGAGGTGCTACTCAATGGGGAGCCTGGGCGTGCTCGTGCCCGCGCGTCTGAGCGCAGAGCTGGGTGCAGGCGAGACTGCGAGAAAGTTGAAAGCTGGCACACCTGAGACAGATCTGCGCCCAGTTAATGCTTTCGATTGCCCATCACTCAGCACCTGGCGGAAGCTCCAAGAACCCGCGGTGCTGCGGCCGGTCACCCACCCAGCCCTCCCCGTGTGGCGGCAGCAAGACGGGTGAAGGAGAGTCCTGGAGCCCTTGGTGGCTTCTGCTGAGCTTTTTACACCACGTGTCGTGTGGCACCCAGGTACACGGCAGGCAGGGGCCCGATGGTCGCAATTTTGCACAAAATGGTCACAATTTTGCACAAAACTACAATTTCAAGGGTGAGGAAACGACATGAACGGGCTGTCTGCCGGGCTCTGCGCCCTGGCGGGGCCTGGCCTGGGGGCCTCTGTCCGCCCCGCCCGCCCTCCGGCTGAGTCACGGGTGGCGGCGGCCGCCACTCGACAGCGCCAGGTGTGCGCATCCGCGGGTCACAACTGAGCGCCGCGCCACAGATGACGGGGTGTGAGCACGAAGAGCCTTTTTTGTGTTTTGTCTTTTGGAAGGAATCGGGAAAGGTGAGCCGGGCGCGGGTGAGGATTGCGAAGTTCACGCACCACGGGGGTGGCTGATGCCAATGGGGAGCGACTCCCTGTTTCCCGGCGTCTGGACCCGCTCACCCAACGCTGCCCTGCGGAGCAGGCCACGGGGCTGCCAAGTGCAGGTGCTCGGAGTGATTCACGCCCATGCACACGTGCACACAGCACACAACGCCACTTGTGGCCCCCACACACGTGGCCCACACCACACACAGGTGACCCACCACACACAGGCACCACACGTGCAGCACACCCCGGTGCCGCACCCACACCACACACAGGGCCACACACGGGACACATGTGGCACACGCGTGTATGTGTGCTTGTCTACACGCCAAGCACACACATCATACAATGGTGGCACAACTTATCACGTGGGTACCAGTTGTGTGACACGCACAGCACAGTCAAGACATACACGTTGTGTGGACACAATCACGCATGACGCATGGACTTGACAAACCCTCACACATCACCTGCTGACACGTAGCCTGCATTGCACACACACAATGAGATGTGCACACACACACATGCGACAGGTGAGTCATGTTGTGACACACACTGTGCATGCATGTGTCACATGCGTGGACACACATGCACGTCACGTAGGCAGGCAGGACCTGAGCAGAGGCCCCGGGAGGTGGCCGTGAGGCTGGGGACCTTTGGCAGGCGGCCCCCCTGGCCAGCAGCCCCTCCAGCATCTCTGCACCAGGGTGACCCCGCCTGCGAGTTGGCAGAGAAGGGAGGTGAGGCCCTCTGCGCCCGCCCGCCCCGCCCCGCCCGTACCATCTTGTGGGCGTTCTGGATCTTCAGCCGCTGCAGCAGCGAGGTCTCCTTTGCTTTCAGCAGGAGGACGCAGCTCTGGATGAAGTCGCAGTAGGCGAACTGCCCGTTGCTCCTCAAGTCGTACTTCACCGCCAGCTGCTGGGCCTCCTCTGTGCTGATGTCCAGGTTGAATTTCTCCACAAGCGCTAGAGACAAAAGGGTGGCAAGTCATTCGCTCGCTCCCACAGCCATTCCTGCATCGCCGGCAGAGCCGTCTTCCCGCTCCGGGCCCTGGCCACGCCCCTGCCCCACAGGCTGACGGGGTGGACACGGGCACCTGGCCGAGTCCCGGAGGCCTCTGTCCTGGGACGCCTGCTGGCCGGGTCTGCCTGCTCTTGTGTCACTGAGACTCAACAGCAGGCGGGGAGCGGCAGAGGCGAGGGGTGTTGGGGTGTCCCCGGTGAAGCAGAGGCTGAGTGGAGCAGAGCCCCGACTGAGGTGGGGGAGGGTGCTGGGCGCAGCCGGGCAGGCTGGACTGTGGGGGGCTAGGCCTGGTGCTCCGGCCAGGTGCTTTCCAACTGGGTTTCAGAGGAGACACCCTCCGAGGAGCCCGCGCGGCCGCACGGATCTCCCAGTTCGAGTTTTCCTTCCCGCGAGGGCCGAGACGCGCACGCCGTGGCACACACCCGCGCAGACAGGGCCGCCGGGCTCGGGGCTCTGGGGACGCCAGGCTGGCGGGTCCCTCCCAAGCCGACACCACGCCCAGCTCAGTCCTTCCACCTGGAACAAACCGGAGCTGCTCCTGGGGTGACGCGGCCCTCTTGAGAGACTCGGGTAGGGTGTGAGCTCGTTTAAGCTGGACAAACTGAGACGCTGACGCCATGAAAGCATCGAGAAGGCGCGGAACGGAATGCGCGGGAATTGCTGCGGTTCTTGAGGGCACCAGAGGCGGCAGACTGACCACACGCGATGCCGTCGGCCCCAGCCGGGCCCACAGACGCTGCCACGCGGGGCCCACGGGCGTCGCTGCCCTCGCCCCCAACAGCCAGCGGGCCCCGGGACCAGGGACCGCCCAGGAAGGGCCGCGGCGCTCCCCTCGCCGCAGGCGGGCAGCAGGGCGCGAAAGCAGGATGATTTTTGAGAATCTATCTGCAAGCCTGGACAGGACTGAATTTCACATGCGCTGCGAAAGTCAGACAACAACCAGAGCGATGAACTGGCCGCTACTGTGACTTCACGGTTACACGGAAAAAGCCAGCAAGGAAGTAACGACCGCCTCGCACGAGGGTCAGACGTGCAGCTCAAAATCTCAAGAATGAACTGAAAAACAAGTGAGCGTCACACGTGCCTTGACAGCTTCGTCAGTGGTTTGCTTCTGGCAAAACACATCACATTAAATCAACGCAACAACATCTGATCGTTGCTGCTTTCATCCTTTTTATATTTAATTTGTAAGTATTTTTCGGGGGGCGCCTGGGCACCTCAGGAGTGGATACCTGGTTATGTCTGGACATTTTTAAGCCGCGGCCATCATCAGGGAATTCATACTCAACTGGAAGAAGTTCCCAGGAAGACCCTTCACGCCGAGGGTCTTCGCTCCCTGGAGCGTGAAACGCCGCGCGGACGAGACGCAACAACTCGAGGAAGGTGACCCCGGCCTTCATTTGTAAACAGTGTCCAAGAGACTCGGGGCGGATGTTGAGGGGAGGGGGCCCCGGAGCTGTGTTGGGGGTGGTCTGCTGCCCCCCCCCGGCCCCCTCTTGCTGTCACTGCCTGTAACATTTACGTTCACAGCCCCGTTCAAAGTCGCGGGCCTGCTCGGGGCGCCAGGCTGGCCCGGCGCGTCAGGGGCCCTTGTCCCCCCACCCCCGGGACACCGTCTTCCAGGGGCGCGGGCCAGCACGAACCCAGGAACTCGGCGGTGGAGATGGCGCCCTGCTTGTTGGTGTCCTTCTCCTTGCACTCCCGCAGGAAGCCCCGCCAGCAGCCCTGGATCCTCTTCCGGAGCTTGTTCTCCAGGGACTCGCAGTTCTGCAGGGGCAGGGCGCCCGGCACGCTCCCCGGGGCCTGCGGGCGAGAAGAGGGAGCTGTCCCGGGGGGTCGGAAGCCGAGGTCCCGGCTAAACCTGCAGCAGCGACTCAGGCTGACTCAGGCGTGGGATGTCAAAGGCGCGATCATCTCAGAGAGAAAATTTGTAAAACAAACAAACATAACTGGCAATTTAGCCACTAATTTCAATTCCCATCGGCGGGTTGTATTTGTGCCAATTCCCACCACGCACCTCCTCATTCCCCCGGGCCCCAGGCCTTCCCCACGCTCCTCCCGCCCTGCAGGGGAAGCGCAGGCCCCCCAGGCTCCCGGGCCCACACTGTCGCCTGCCCCTGTGGGCGCCCCTGTGGCCTGGGCACTTACGCTGGGGCCCTGCGGCTGGGGCCCGGCTCTCTGGGTGCCAGCAGGCGTCGAGGCCGCAGAACCGTCTTCCTCCAAGGCCTCGGGGGCGCTGGTCCCCCTCTGGGCCTGGGCCGGGTCGCCCGTGGCCAGCGGAGACACGACTTTCTCAGACCCGAACCTGCTCAGGAAGTCCTGGTACCTCAGCCTCCCCTTGGCGTTCACGGGCATCTCGCTCCAGAGTCGATCAAACTGGCAGAGGAGCAGAAGCCGGGTTAGGGTGGGGCCGGGCGCCCTCCCTCGGCGCCGGGGCGCCCGTGCTCCCCAAGCCAGCCCGAGCCCCGTCAGTCGGAAAGAAAAAGACAGAAGCCATCCGGCCTCCCTGCAGTGGAAGCTTCCGGAAGGCTGGAGAGGCAGACAGGAGGATTATTCATGGCTTCCACAGAACATTTTTTAATTGAATCGAGCCCTCAGTGAGCAGTTTAAGGCCATTAAATCTTGTGATTAGTCACAGTGACGGAGCCGCAGCACACGAGAACGTTTTCGGAGAAAATGCAAATCCATCGCGGCCAGCGAGTCCCAGGGAGCCCGCCCCGTGCACCCCTCGTGTGGGCCCAGTTGCTGCCAGCAGCTGCCAGGCAGGCTCTCGCCTCCGGATCCGCTGCCACCATTTATCTCACCCTGAGGGCCGACACCCGCTTCTCACAAGAGGAAAACGGGAGGCGGCTGGAAAATCGGAGGGAAGTTTATGGGTTTGTGGGGGGCACCAGGTGTCTGGGGCAGCAGGACCGCCGCCCACACGGCCACTGTGTGTGAAATGGGCCGCCGCGGCCACCCCTGCTGACTCGGGGCCTGGGAGCCACGGAGAATGGACGTCACTTCCAGTTTGGCTTTCATAGCCCCTCGGGAGATGTGCTCCCCCGGTGCAGAAGGAGGCTCAGTCACCCCCTTCCTTCCCTGGCAACACCGGGGTTCCAGAAACAAATCCAAAAACTCGTGTCTCACTGTATTTGGAATTCCAGAAATGGGGTGCTGAGGGGTGAGGAAAAGAGAGAATGTTTCAGGTCCTGTAAAGGAAGAGAGGCCTCGTTAGGGACAAGAGTCTCGAATGATCCATTTTTTGCACAAAGGGTGCCCTTCGCCACATGGAGCAAGAAGCGCTGCAGGGGGCACCCCTGCCTGGCCAGGACGCCCCCTGAAGTGCCAGCCCTCTTGCCCAGGGGCCCCCCACGGCAGGCGCCACAATGTTTGTTCTGCGGCCGAGGGCCCAAGTGAACGGCGTGACGCCGAGCCTGCGTGGAGAGACCCTGGGAACCGGGGAGGGACAGCTGTGCCCAGCCTACCCTGCTCCCTTGCACAGGAAGGACTTTAAGGGAAGGAGGAAGATGCCCCTGCAGAGCGGGCAGGGCAGGCTCCTGGAGGCTCCCTCACCCCTAAACAGGCCGGACTTGGGGGGTATGGGGGAGGAGGTGGCGTGTCTAAGGATCAACCCAGGGTGGGCCAGCAAGCCTAAGGGCAAAGGACAGAGGGGGCTCCCTGCTGGGGGGGCAGCTTCTTCCAGGATCCTGTGATGCAAATGAAGTCAAGCCCCCCAGGCCCCGCCCCCTCCCCAGCCGGTTTTCATCCTGGGCAGGCCTGGGGCAGAAGGAAAAGCAGCAGCACTCCAGGAGGCCAGGGGGAGAGTGGGGGGGGGGGGCAAGGAAACCCCCACTTGGCTCGGTTCTGACACTCCCCAACTCTGTGGGGGCCTGGAGCAGCCGCACAGGAGGGACGCACACTCCCTGCACCCCCGCATTTCTGAGCTGCCGCATCAGCCCTGCTGCCCACCCTAACTTTTAGGCGAGAGAGCGACGACGTGCTCCGTTGTGTTGTGTTTGAGTCTTGTCTCCCTGCCACGGCCTCTGGGCCTTTTATTCCAGTACAAACAACACGTTTCCCCCGTGTGGACAGACAAGCTGGAGCTCAACATCAAACGTATTCACGGGACGTGGTGGTGGTGAGGCGGGAAAGTCGCCCAAAGCCTAGTTCAAGGGGTGAAGGGTGATGGAGACGTTCCTGAGTAAAGTTGGGAAAGATTCTATGACAAGAGTGAAAACCCAGAGGTTAAGCGGCAGCTTCAGACGTGAAAGGTCTTATCACCCCAGTGAAAGGTCTTATCACCCCACCGCTCTGCTGAGACAGCCCCCGCACCCCACCTTGCCCCAGGCCTCCCGGAGGGCCGGCCCCTGAGTGCCCCAGGCTGGACAGGTCCTCCCACGGCCTGGAGCCTGTGGGGCAGGGTCTGAATTCCTGGCTTCACCGAAGATGCAGGAACTGGAGTCACACGAAGCTGAAGCCTCCCCGGCTCTCAGAAGAGGCAAACCTCAGTCGTCGGCGTAGAAAACCACCCTCCGCCACGCGGGGCCCAGGCGTGGATCCTGCCAAACCCCAGGGGGCGCGAGAGGAGAGGGGAGCGCCAGGAGCTCGCGTGGCCGGAGAAGCCGGGGCAGCTCAGACGGCGGAGATGAGCGTTCCAGAACAGGATAGAACACATGGAACATCAGGTGTAAACAGGGGAGGAAGTGGGTTTGGCTGTTAAGAAATGAGCAAATAGATTTGAAACTGACAAATAGATTTGAAAGGAGAGGCGAACAATTCCTCCAAAAGAAACACAGCAGCCAGTGACAGACACGATGAGGTTCACACCACGAGGTTTACACGACAGACCAGGCACAGCTGAGGAGAGACGGTGGGCTGGGGACGGGCGGGGACGGGTGCCCCAGTTTCTGACCCGGCGGCGTGTCCAGCGGAAACCTGGACCAAAGCAGCATCGAGGGCAGGAGAAGACGGTGGGACGATATTTTTCAAGGTTTGTGAGAAAATCAGTATCCGTGCAAGATCTGACTTTTAAGAAAATGACAAAATAAAGATATTTTCAAATAGAAAAAACCTGCGTGTTTACTGTCAATAAACTATGCCCGATGGATTTGCCGCTTAGAAAAGAAAACGACCCAGAAGGCCAAGGTGGGGGAGTGAAGACGGAAACACTAAGGAAAGCCGCGCCGACTACACGAGCGCGCCGGCCTCAGCTCTGCGCCTGTGTGGCGGGGAGACAGACAGAGCAAGAGGCCAAATGGCAGTGACACAGAATCCGAGAGGGAGAGCTGAGCTACAGCGGGATGACCTCGCCGAGAAGTCTAATACCGCCAAGAAGGAGAAGGAAAAAACCTCCTGGCGCGCCCGCCCCAGAGCCTTCCCAGCCACGCCGCCCGCAGGCCCGGGGCCACCGCCCTGGAAGCCGCTCTCCGTTTCTGAGGGGTTCATTGCGCCCAAACCCTAAAGATGTGCCACTTGCCCTGCTGAATGGGCCCCGGAAGCCAGGACAGCTGGCCCGGACACTCCCTGGCTGGGTTTTGTAAGGAGGAGGCGACTTTTTATAACGTAGATAAACCGGGTCTTGACATGTGTACTGGAGCCTCCGGACGCGGTCGGGGCTGCTTGTCACGGGGCCCTCGGGACGACGACGGGGGGCTCGGGCACGGGAAGGGTGCGTGGGGCGCACCAGGAGGCAGGCGACGCCTCCGCACGAGAGCAGCCTGGGCTGGGGCGTCCGCTTGCCCGTCTGCGCCCGGAGCGGCCTTCCCGGCACAGCGCAGCTCTGCGGGCCTCACCGACTCCAGCCCCGGCTCATGCCAGACTCGGCTGCTCTCCACGACGCAGACGGCATCTGAGATGTGTCGCCTATTTTTAGAAAGCGGCATTTAAAAATAAGCGCTTAATTTTGGGGGGCTGGGAGTAGGCTGGATGTGCTGGATGGTGAAGCTCTTAGTGGACAATTAAAATCGAATTCTCTCTTATGAACGCCAGATACGCTGGCATGCCATTAATTTATCTCCGTAATTAGAGTGCGGATTTACTTTTCGATGAAATGAAAAATTTTCATTGGTAAAACCTTTATTAGTTGGCCCCATGGAATAATAGCTGCGACTGTATTAATTTTGAAGCCTCCGGTCCATCCCCGGCGGTGGAGGGAAGCGCCTGCACACGGGGGTTTGACAGCCCCGGGCTGGGCTGGCGGCTGGTGCTTTCTCTGGCAGCAGCGAGGATCACACCAGAGCCCTTGAGAAGGTGTTATTCTGGGCAAGTGAAAGCTGACGTTACAGCACCAGCGTCTTCAGGGAGTTCAGCCTCCACGAGCAGGTTCAGAGCCCGGCGGGGGTGGGGGGTCCTGCTCCTTGAACACTTGCAGCCCCTACTCCAGCTCTGAAGGGGCCTGAGCAGCTCTGGCGGGGAGGGAGGGAGCACATTTGCCCCTGGGACCTGCAGGAAGCTCCTGGCTGCCCCTGAGCAGACCTCCTGGGAGGGGAGGGCCGAGCTGCTTTTGTAAGTATCTTGGATTTCACCCTCACCTGGATTCTTCTCTGGGAAGGGGGGTGGTCACTTGACTGAGACCTGGAGGGGCTCACAGTGGCCTGATTCTGGGCTGAAGGGCAGTCTGTTTCTCCGCTTGGGTGATGCACTGTGTCACCCCTGGTCTGTTGGGGTGCTGGGGTGAGGGACGCGGTGTAGGGTAAGGTAAAAAATCAGGCTTTTCTGCCCTCCCGCCATCGGGATAGATGAGGGAACCCTGTGATCCTGAATGCGTGCCTGATGGTGGGCACCTGGAGTGGGTACACCTGTGCTAAGACTGTGCTTTTAAGGGCGGTGTCACCGGGACGCCAGGAGAAGCCGAAAAAGAAGCCCGAAGGCAGAAGCAGAGAACGCCAGAGAGCCCAGATAGAGTGAAGATTTGCTGGGGGCTGGGAGGCTGGTAGTCCTCCCAGCCCCCCAGCACCCCTGCCTGCCACGTACCCGCTGAACCCCCCCAAAAACCTGCAAAACCACTGAGGACTCTGACTCCTCCTTTACCCGGTCTGCATGGGATCAGAAAACCTGCACTGTGCCCGTTCCTGGCCTTTACACGCGGTCACTTCCGGGCACCAGGACCTGCCGAGCACTGGCTGGGAGCCAGGCTCTGCTCAGGCATATGGGAAGCAGGAGCTGGTGTCCAGTGGGGCCACAGCTGCAGTCAGTCAGCAGTTCGGGCCCTGGGAGTGCCCTGCAGGTGCCCTGCCCCTGGGAGATGCTCTCGCCTTGCAAGGCCATGAAGGCCCCAGTACCGGGGCAGCAACCCCTGCGCAGCCTCTGGGAGGCGCTGCAGAGGCCTCCCCTGGGGTTCTGTGATGGGCAGGAGTCCTCAGGGGAGCCTGTGTCCAGCCTGAGGGCAGAGGAGACACTGCAGGGGTGGGCTTGTCACGAGCAGGCCGGGCAGGGGCCTCAGCATCCAGAAGCACCAGCAGCAGAACAGGGAGCCCGCTGGAGGGGGCTCCACCTTCCCCCACTCAGGTGGAAATCTCAGGCTTGCATTATTAACCTCCTTAATGAATCTACTCCTCAGGGTAGTGAGCTCAGAGGCCTGGGGGTGCTGTGCGGGAGACTGACCACATTTTTGGATACATAAGCCCAGGGATGATCGAGGGAAGCGGGAGGACTGTGGCTGCGTTTCACTTGATTCAGAAAATCAAAGGGACATGATTAAAGGCACATGACTTGCACCCTGGCCGAAGCCTCGCGTCTACACCTGCCGCAGAAGCCAGAGGCGCCCGAGCATCTTCAGAGGGACTGTAACCAGCAACAACCACAAGCCCTGCACACCTTCAAGCACTTTAAAAATAGAGAATGGTCCCAAAGAAGCGAGCGCAAGTGGGAGACAGCGGCGCGCGGCGCTAGTCACTGGTATCCGATCAGGGAAGGCAAAGGACACAGTGATCCACCGGACTCTGCCGCAAGCAGCCTGGCGCTCACGCATGTGTCGGCCCGCACGCGAACACAAGAGGTGGCGTCTCCGGGGATGCTGCGGGAAACGCCTATACGATGCAGGCAAGAAAAATATTCACGCGATTACTGTTTTCCTACTAACTTTCCTGTTTGGGAGCTGAACGTGTAGGGACAAGACACGGAGTCTAGGAACCAAACCGCTTCTTTGTTGGGGGGAAATACCCCAGAAAACGGTCTGAAGCTCTTCCTTTGCTGTGCGGGACTGGCCGGGGGCCTGGGGGGAGGCGCTGACCTGCTCGTCCGTCAGGACCTGGACGTGGCGCGTGCAGATGGCCCGGAACTCGTCCCTGGAGGTGGTGTTGGTCTTCATGGTGTCGAAGCTCTCCAGCTCCTGGGCGATGGCGTGGTAGTGAGCGGCCACGGCTTTGTGGAGCCGAGTCAGCATCTCCTGGGTCGCCGCGTCCTTGGGCGACCTGGGTGGGGGGCCTTTGGGCATTTTCTCCACCCACGTAGCAGCACTCTGGGAAAAACAGAATGGAAAGTGGATCCATTTAACAACGAACGAATCACCCCTGGTTGCTGGGCCTTTACCAGGGCAGGCCGGCGGGGGCCCAGCTAGGAGCCCGGGGCTAAAGCAGGATCCAGCACTGGTCCAGCTTGAGCTGAGGTGGAAGCCAGGCCGACCTGCGGGAAGGAGGAGCCGAGGTCGGGGTCCTGGTGGGGGCAGCCTGCCAAGGCCGGCCTGCGGGCACCGCCTTTCCCTTCACCCACCGCGTGCTGGGTCCCTGGGAAGCACAGGCGTGCGCCGGGAGCCGGAGGGAGTCAGCAGGGATGTGCTGGAGGTCGGTTTTCATCCCGGACACGCCGGCTTACTCGGTTTGTTCTTACAACAGACATGGAAAGGCATAGTTTCATGACTGTTACCACCTCAAGCCACCGCACCACTGTGGCCAGTGTCCCCTGAGCTTGGGACTTTCCCCACCCACAGGGATTTCATCCTGGCGAGTCTGGGCCCCGCCGGTGCTCGGGAGCGGTGCTGGACAGCGGATTATTCAGCCCCCTGGCCTGGCGCGCTTTCTCGGAGGCTTCTTGGGGGCGGATGCCTGGGTGTGACGCTGCCCACAGTGCTGGGGACAGTCTGTCGTGGCGGAGGGACAGCTTGGAGGAGGGGGAAGGACTGGTTGCCAGGAAAGGAGGGCAGCAGCAGGGTCTTCCTACCGTACACTTAGACGATGTGCCGGCAAGAGGGCTTGGGAGCGAGGGGGTGCACCTGACGGGGGGTGGTGAAGGCTGCAGCCCACGTCCAGCACCTGCTGCTGGTGGCTTCGGGGGACAGATGGGCCGACAGGAATAGCAGGCCAGGGGAGGTTACTGTGCAGCCATCAGCAGATGCTGAAAACGATGAGGGCCTGTGCGCCTGTCCTGTGGCTCTGGGGGGACTCTCGGGGGCGAAGCTCACGGGGAGGGGAACAGCTGAATCCTGAGCCTCCCTGACATGCATCTACATGCTGCAATTAGGAAAAAGTCCCCCCCAAAGCTGGCGCTGTGGTTGCTGTGACAACAGGTCAGTTCCTGGAGAGGAAGATGTGGGATGGGAGGGGCCTGGGCTCAGGAGCACCCAGGGGTGACAGTGCCTGACAGCTGCCCTGCACCAGGGCGTTCTGGCAGCCACACTGGGTGTCTCCATCATCATAGCTACCGAACAGCTCTGACGAGGAGCAGCCAGGTAGGACCTTTGCCAGACAAGAGCGCCAAACCCACTGGGTACGGGAGTGTCGTATGAACACTAGGTCACGACGAGCCTCCAGCGGTACCACGGGCGCTCCATGCTCCTGCCCTCCAGGAAAAAGCAGGATCTGTGCCACACAACACTGCACTGAACACGGGCGCTGCCGGGAACACCCCCAAACCCGTGAACACACACGCTTACGCCCGCCACAGCCCGTCCCGCCCTTGGCCAGCAAAGGCCAACAGAAGCTCTGAAGGATGTTCACTTGAGCCAGCTGCAAAGTAAGTGGATGCTTTTCTTCTTTCACTCTGGAAAATAACGGTGATATCACAGATGTTCCTTGTGTATTTCCAGACAGTCGGAAAGGCAGCTCCTGCAGCTAAGCACCCGGCGCTTCCTGAACATTCCGGGATGCGGGCATGCGCGTCCTCGAGGACCCTTCTCCTGCAGGTGCAGCCACGCCGGAGAGCCATCCTCCCGCTCGTCACACCCGTGGGGCCCTTCGGGGAACACAACCAGGGAGGACGAGGGTGGACGCGGCCGGCACAGGAGGGTGGGGTGCACGTCTGGACTGTCTCCGTCTCTGGCCCTGCTCGAGCCTCACCTGCCTGGCGGGGTGGCGCCCGCACACGCTGGCAACACTGCTATTTTGACAACAGATACGGGAGAATTCCAATGACGGGCTACATGTGACCTGAGGGTCATATGCTTTAACCTCCAGAGGAGGCCGAACGTTTTCTAGAAAATACACAGGTAACTAAATTTAAATAAAGTTTACAAGAAGCCTGAGTAGGCGGGGAACCACGAAAGAATCGCTGTTAAAAGATCTACCGTCTACCCCTGGAGAGGTGTGAAACTCGATGATTAAAGGGCAAGCTGTATTTAACTTCTAAGGAACAGACAATTTTCCGTTAGTCAAATTACTCCTGAACACAGAAAGGGACACGCGGCACCACAGCTGGCTTCTGTCACCCCAGCAGCAACACAGGACAGGGAAGAGGCTTGCGAAGAAAACCAATTCACGGTGCAGACAGCAATGCAAAGACACTGAAATGTCTTCCGGAAGCCGCCAGGGACGCCCGCATCCTGCCGAGACTCCCCCCCCACCCGGGACCACACAGGGTCTCTCCCGAGCACCAGAATCCTTCAAGAACGAGTGGACTCCTTACGTGAGCGCAAGGTGGCCTATCAACAGACGTCAACATCTCTTTCAAACCACAGATTTAACAAAACCCTGGTAAGAATCTCAGTGGGCATTTGGAGGAACCGCTAGACACACTGACCTGAAAGCTGACCGAGAAACAGGTGTGTGCGGACCGCCGTGAGGTGTGGGCAGGCTGGCGGCAGGGAGACGCCAGTGTCGAGGCCGTCGTCTGCTGCTCTCAGCTCAGGCGGGCCCGGGACAGGCCCGGAGCTGGGACCTGCTCCCACCGGGCGTGAGAGGGGGAGTCGTCACCCCACAGGCCTGTTGTGACACATGAAAACCAGAGCCCCAAGCTACTCCCCAAGCCACCCTGGTCAGGATGCAGAGACAGAGAACAAAACAGGACTCGGCTCTTTCCAGAGACCAAGCTGGCGGGATGCTGGACACGGTCAAGGCTGGAAGGGGGAGATGAGGCGCCAGGATCCTCCATCTGACTCATACCCCCCCATGTGTGGCCAGATACTGGGGAAGCAGAGGGAAGAGGCTTCTGTGGGGTGCAGCCTCGTGGGAGGGAGCGACACAGGGCCCGTCTGCAGGGGAGCAGAGGCCTGCACGGGGGCGTGTGTGGGGCTGACCTGGGCACGCAGGACTTCCAGGGGATGGAAAGCTGGGGTGGGAGATGATGGGGTTCCGAGGCAACAAGCTGACGCCGGTGAAGTCTTGGGGTTCCCACGGGCTGCCTGCAGACTCAGCCCACAGGCCTGGAGGGGCTTCCCCACACTCCCCGGGGCCAGGAGAGCAGCGGGAGGTGGAGGGGTGGACACAGGGCGCTCGCTGAAGAGGCACAGAACAGCGAGGGTGGCCACGGCCGCCAGGGAAGGTGCTCGCGCTGCTGGTCAGAGACCTGCTTTCCTGCTGCAGAAATGACGACCCCAGGGCTCCAGTCACATGGACACCAACGGGGCAGCAAACCCGAGGGCTCCAGTAGCCGCACCCGTGGGCACGGCCGCCACTGCCTCAGTGCCCAGGTGGCCCGGGATGCGCCTCCTCGAAACTCACCCTCGCCACCCAGGGAACCCTGGCTCTGGGGGGCAGAGCCGCTGGCTCCTCGCGAGGCGTCTGGCTCGGAACCTGCCAGGCGCCGAGTCCTGGTTCCCGCCCGCGCTCCGCAGCGCGATCAGCCCCCTCCAGCCCCACTCCCAGCGGCAGCGGGTGCCAGGGAGGAGCAGATGGCTCCTGGTCTGGCGCTTCTGTGTCCCTGGCGCTGTTCACGTGACCACCGCATCTGAACGGAAAAAACAGAGCTTTTCTGTAACTTGAAGAAATGCTTCTCCTAATGAGAACAGACACCACTGTCTTCAGAGGCAAATGCCACTGTCCAGGAGAGGTACGCTTCCCATCTAAGGAGACTCGGGAAGGCCGGACGGCTGTGGGTGAGGAGCGGGGCCCCTGCTGTCCGCGCCGTGGTCCCCAGCAGGACCCCCTGGACCTGCATACCCAGCGCCCCCTGCAGCCTCGAACCTGACAACTGCGGGCAAGGCTGTTCCCATTACTTTTTTTTTTTAGATTTATTTTTTCATTTATACAAGAGCTGGGGTACAGGCCAGATGCGCGGGAGGATGAGAGGATTCACCAGAGACAGAGCGGGGAACAGAACAGGCAGACTGACGAAACACACTGCTGAGGGGAGCAGCGGCCGAGACAGGAGAGGTCTGCGCGCCATGTGGGTTTCTTCGAGGCAGGCAGGGATCCAACCGGCGCTGCAGAGGCTGTGGACAGCTTCACAGCGCTGTGCTCAACCGCCTGCGCCACCGGGGAGGGCCCTGTTCCCGTTACTTTTTACAGACACACCCCCACACACCCCGGAACCGCACGTAGCGCAGGTCATAAGGAACAGTCATCCCTCCAGGGGTCGACCACCATTCACTGTTGCCAGAGAACATCCCTTTGTGACGGCATCATGATGTTGGCAAAATATATCAGAGCAGCGATGCCCCCGGCGCGCAGGACCCAACCATCAGGGGCCTAGAAGGGCACCTCCCTTTTGGGGGAGCTTTCAGATGCTGTGCACCGGATACTCTGAAACTGTGCTTCCAGCCAGCCGCTGGGGGACAGGGGCAGGCCTCGGGGGCCCGGAGCCGGCTCCCCCTGCCCCATCACCTCCGGGCTGGCGGCCTCCAGCAAGTCCCGCCACCCCTGGGCGTTGGGTCTCCATGTGAAGTCACAGCAAACGTTTCTGCCCGTGACTGGCCAGTGGACTTCAGTCAAGTCCACGCTGCTTTTCAGCCAATAAAATTTAACTCTTTTGTTCTCGACCGGAGTCCCTCAAACCTGTAGAACCTTATTCCCTTTCTTAACCGCGGAGGCAGATTTGAGTTTATCTCCTACCTCCTTGCCTGTTGATTTGCCAATAAAAGTGGTTTTTCTTCACAAGAGTGGATGTGACTGCCTGACCTCTGCTGGGGGGGGGGGAGAACCCCGTGGCCAGGTAACGCCCTGGGCTGCACCCAGACACCCCACAGTCCGGCCACCAGATCGAGGCAGTTGTCCAGGTGTTTGTGGGGGGCCTTCTGGCCGAGACAGCCCTGACTTCCTGATCAATAAAGGGGGGTGAGCTCAGACAGCCAGCCAGGCCCCTGGGTGTGGGTGGCTTTTTGGCATCAGACCCCTTGACGGTGGATGCATCGTAAAGGGGCTCAGTGACACTCCTGTGGTGTCTGGGTGGTCACCTGGCTGGGGTTGGGCAGCCCGGTTAAGTCCATTCCAGCTGTCAGATTAGAAATATGTCTGTATGTTAATTTAACTATTACGAAGGTTATAATTAGCTAATCAGACTGCATGATTCATCGGCTAAGTTTGTTCTGAATACTCAGGGAGACAATTATATAGTTTTTCCCATGATTCCTCACAGGAGGAAAAAAAAACCCTGAAACTTCATACAGAATTCTTAAGAACACAGCAGGTAGCAAGGACTCCTAATTAGAAATACTCGGTAAAGAATTCCTCCACCTCCTTTTAAAGAACAGTATAATTACTTCCAAGAATTGAAAAATTGCTTCATTTGATCAAATATTTTGATTAGCAAAGAAATTAATTGTACTGTATCTTCATTTGTATTTACAGTGAATAAATGAAATCTAAAAATAACAACAGCAGCAAAACTGCCTGTCAAAAAAAAAAAAAGAAGATAAAACATTAAAAAATCCAGATGAAAGTTAACTGGAAGCTCTGGGCGCATGGAGATGGCGCCACCCTACCCCACGGGCCCACCCGAGGGCGGTTGTCTCCCAGGAGGGCCAGGGCCCTGGGTGGGTGGGCCAGCGTCAGAGACGCGGGCAGCTGTGGGCAGGAGCGAGGGCCTTGCACCAGCTTCCACGCACAGCTCAGGTTTGCGCTGCCTGGACCAGGGATCTCTTACCATGCGAGGCTTCTTTCTGGGCAAATCTGAAGATTCCAGAACTTCCCTTGGAAAGGCCGCAGTCAGGCCAGGCTTCAAGTCCATGACCCGAGGCTTGCTGAGGCCCAGATGGGGGAGGGGCGGCGCGGCTACCCGGTGCTCGCGGCCTGGTCCTCGCTGCTGCTGATTTTCGGGGCTGGGGTGGAGGACGCGCCTTCTCCCAGCTCCAGCACCACCAGGCCAGCGGCCCTCTGGCCCCAGCCCGTCACTGAGGACCCCCCGCAAATCTGCGTTGGCCCGAGTGACCCTCTCCCAGCCTGCCGCGGCCTCAGTGGGGGGACAGGGTGGGGGGTGAAGGCAACAGATGATTCATTGGCGGGGGAGTGAAATTCAGGGGGGCTGTTTAAACACTGCTGACTGCTATCGAGAGGGCCTCGCTTTTCCACCCCAGGAGCAACGGCAGACAACAGCCATGATGTGGCTTCGTAACTGCCTGAAGTCATCCCCAACAACCTTGGGGCTCGCTCCTGAAAAGGAAACTCCCCCGTTCTTTATCACGTTTATTAAAAATACATGGAGCCCTTTCTATTTACAATAAAAACAAAGATAAATGGAACTACCGCTGTTGGTGACAAAGATAAACAGGACGTTCACAAAAGATAACAAACACCTGGATGTGCTCTGCCCAGTCTTCTTTGGCGGAAAACTACGACCTGAAAGGAACGCGCACCCTCGCGGCGCGGCTCCGGAGAGCATGTGCCGCAAACGCAAGTCGGGAGGGTCCCGGCCCCCCACTCGGAGCGGCAGAATAATTACTCGGTATTGAATAAGGATGTGTTTTGTTTAAAAATTCCATTATTTCCATGGTGATAAAGCAGGAAGACTCTATATGGGTTTCTGCTAGGTCTTTTAAAAATGCTATTTCTGCTCTGAGCGTTATTTTTATATTCATGGAAGGTACTGAAATTGCACTTTAGGACTTAACAGAAACGTTAAGCAGGAATGATTTTCTAAAAACAAGAGGATACTCTATATTTTACACATAGCATTTTGAATAGAAAGTATTTTTCCCAGGATGAGAGGTACTTGCGGAGGACAGGAATTCAGAAAACGCTTTCACCCAGCTTGGGAGAATCTTCGGGAGAAGCTCCGAGGGCCGTCGCACGGAGCCCGTCCTCTGTCTCTCTTTCCTTCCTTCCTTCTTCAGCAGGTCCACGGCTGCTCTGCAGCGGAGGCTGTCATCTTCCTCTACACCTCGGGCCCTCCTCTCCACCCCAGATTAGGGGTGCGGGCCCAGGGGCACCAAACTAGCTCCTGCCACCAACCTGCACCTCCGTCTTCTGTGGGCCCTGGGGCTCTGCACCACCTGGCCTGGTCCTCCTCACACCCAGTGTGGCGGGCAGGCATGGCGAGGTGCCCCGGGCTGAGCCGGGGGTGGGGGGAGCCCGGAGCCCTGCCTGCTGAGACGCAGGGACCTCGGGGTGCACAGCAGGAGGAGCAGGCGGGACACAGACCAAGGCGCAGCCACCCCCAGCTTCTGAACGCGAGGCGGCACCTGCTGGGAAGAGCCCCATGACCTCCAGCCCCGGGGCGCGAGGAGCGGCCCAGCGGGCTCTGAGCAGGCGTCCTCTTCACACTGCGCTTCGGCCTCCTCCAGGCCCGACCGACGGCGGCTTCAGTCCCCGCTTCCCCGCTCCAGGAAGAGACTCGGAGTCCAGCGGGCCCCAGCCGTCTGAGTTACATCATGGTGACTTCCCCGCCCCCCAGCGCATCCCTTGGAGGGGGAGGATGACCTGGATCACGTCTGACGAGCCGGGGGATCACGCAGTCGCTGTCTGAGCTAGGGCTTGCCACGTTCTCTTCCCGTCTATAAACATGCCTGCCCAGGCCCACATTTTAGCAACTGTCGTGATGAACAGTACCGGCTCCTGGACAGAGGCTTCCCAGGCCAGCTGCTCCCAAGGAAGCGACCCCATGTCTGCTCCCGGCTTGCAACGATTGTCCTTTGGCTCAGAGAAGGGGGGCTGACGCCTGCGGCAAGGGGCGCAGGGCCTGCGGGTCTGCTGCTGCTGCCACCTCCCCACCTGAGAGCAGATAAACAGATGAAAGATCCCCCCACTTCCTGCCACCTGCCCCCCAGGTGTGAAGGAAGCTGTGCTTATAAAGTGTCCACTGCAGTAGCAAAATCTGGGGAAAGCTGAAGTGCTGAGCCGCGAGGGGATGGAAGGAGCGATGCAGGCGCCGTGGCCAAAGTCTGGGAGACTGTGGGTGACGGTGCGGTTCAATGCTTAGAGCACAGGCGGGGCACGAGCTGCGCAGGCAGGGCTGTCCAGTGCAGTGAGGAAGGCCACGTGCTTGAGTCCAAGCCCACGGCAGCATCACTCGCGAGAGCGAAGCCTCGAGGCGACCCAGCACCCGTGGGCCGTGAGCGCGTAAGCAAAGCAAGGCGCGTCTTCCAGTGGACACGCCCGTCCCGCTGCAGGGGGGACGTCACTTGCTCATGCCTTATACACCTGCCTACTCCTTGCTCTAGTAACCTCACTGCCGAGCGCTTATGCCAGGGACGTGTTCAAGGCCTTAGGGACGCAGATGCTCATTACACGAACCCTATGCAGTTAGAAGTGGCCTGAGTGCCAGCTCCGGGGGCAGTGAAGGGCGGCCCAGGGCAAGCCGCTGCTTGGCAGGAGAAGGGGCCGCGGCCCTGGCTGTTCTCACTCGGCGCGGACTGGGGCGGAGACAGCGGTGCTGGTGGACACCAGGTGGGAACTGTTCCAAACGATGTTGGCCAGTTACAAGGAGACACTGGGACACAACGTGGGAATAAACCACTTGCGTAGCCAGAGAAACAGTCCTGGGAAGGAACGAGGCCCCGGGGTCAGGCGGGGCACACCCTCCTCCAGGAGGCCCTCCTGGCTTCCCTGGTCCTTTCCTCCTGCCCAGGTGCCCGTGTTCAGCCCACTCTCTGCACCTCCACCTTCACCCCGGGCTTGGCCGGCTCACAGCCCGGGGTCTGGTGCGCAGTGGAGCCCCACAAATGTCTCCCCAGTGGGCCCCAGTTTCCTCACTTCAAACTCGCAGCTTCACTTGCCTGGACCCCAGATCATCTGCAGGGATCTCAGATTCCTGAGAACTCAAAACTAATCAGGTCAAAGCAAGCTCCCAAACTTCTTTGGAGAGAAAAACTGGCAGGGAAGGACACACCTTCACCCTCAGATACCCTCTGCAAGGCTTAGAGCAACCTTTCAGCTGGCACGAGCCGACGCCGTGAGACTGCCAGCCCCTCTGACAAGGTTTTAATCAATCGCCCAATTCGCAAAGACAAGTTATAGCCCACTTGCCAGAAGAGGTGCTTACGGCTACAGATACCCTTACCTCTTCGTGGAAATCGTTGAGGTTCTGGAGAAAATACTTCCAGTTTATATGGGGGTTTAGATGAAGTCTCAGTCGTCTCAGAAAATAATGATACTGGTTATCTGTGAGCTTGTAACAGAAATCTTTAAGAACTTGTCCAAAATCTGAAGCCTTGACAAAGCCAGTGTCCTCTTTATCCAAGGCCAAAAATGTCTAAAAAAAAAAAAAGGGCAGAAGCTACTGTCAAGTGAATATTTCAGAAATACTTTCGTCCACATTGCTTCTGAAATGCAAACGAATGCAAATGAAATCAAGTACCTGCTGGTCCCTGCAAATTCTGAATGACTAGACACTAAAATACTACACGACACACCGCTGGTGCGCGACGGGGCAGGGGCAGGACGGGGCTTACCGGTCAGGAGGGAAGTTCGCTTTCTTCACCGCTACTTGGGTATCAGGAAGAAGAGGAACCTCAGCCCCCAGCCTGGAAGGGGAGCCCCACCCTAGGTCCAAGAAGCCCGTCCCAAGAGCATCAGGCTCCCAGGGGAAGCCTCTTGCCAGGACTGTCCACCTGGATCCCCTTGCCCCACCCCCTGGCACTAAGTCTCCTGTAACAGGAGGCTGAGCAGCCCCCCAAACTGGGCAGCGTGGTCTCAAGGCAGAAGTCAGGTTGCAAGAGGCCAGGAGGGGTTGTCAAGGGGCCACCCTGTACCACCCACCCGCCCCCAGGCTCCGATGTTTTCCAGCCCCCAGCCGGACCTTGGGGCCAGACCTCGGGCTCTGCCTGAGCCTGTGCCGGAGGCGCTGGGGGCAGCACCGAGCCAGCAGCATAGTAGTCAAACTGGAAAAGTGCAAAAATATGCTATAAAAAGAAAGCACATTTTTTCCCATCTGTCGAAACAAAATCATTCATTTTTATTGCACTAGAAAATCTGTATCGAGTGGTAGGTTAAGATCCTTTTTTTTAAGTAAGATTTTAATGTGTTTGCAGACCCCACATCACATCCCCATTACGGCTCATTCTCCTCAGGGCCCATCAGGCCGGGGTGCGTGTGCCCACATCAACCTGACAAGTCTCTGTTGTTGTGAATCTGGAGGCGGCCGGCGGCACCGCGGCATCACCACCGCGGCCGGGGGAGGCCTCTGGCCTCATGGCCTGATGGCGGCCTCGGCCCCGAGCTCAGCTTCTGGGGCGCCGTGAGTCCCACGTAGCGGGTTCTCCCACAGCCGCCCGAGACGCCCCTGCCAGGCGCCCGGTGTGGGCGGAGGGTGGTCTGACGGGGCCCCCGCACCCGGCTCTGGCAGGCAGGCAGCGGGGCCTGTGTGGCCCTGGCTCCTGGGGCCTCCCTGTCCCGCCAGCCCACAGGGGGCATCAGCGTCAGAGGTGAAAAGGCTTAAGACCGGATCAAACGCCACCCGAGGGGCTGTCCCGACATTTCAGGCCCCCGAGGCGCTGGAGGGCTTTCTCGGGGAGACGCAGAAAGGTGCGAGTCCTCGAGCCTCGCCCACGGCCGCCCAGGTCTCGGGCCCTCTTCCCTCGGGACACCTGCCGCCCTATTGGCCAGAGAACCTCACTGTCTCGCTAAGAACCCCGGGGCCTGAGAGGTGCTTCTCCTTGGCTCCTCCCAAAGGCTCCATGGACCTCAGTTTGAGAAACATCCCTAGAGCTGTTCTGTGGGGTCACTTCAAGTCAGACGGGGCGATGCCCTTTGGCAATTTGGGTTTTTTTGTCTAATAGGTTTTCTGTTATTCTCACTTTTTTTGCAAAAATTCTGAAAATACGCACTGATACTTAGAAATCGGGAGGTTTCATCAATTAACATGAAAAATGCAAAGATCTAGTGCGCCTGGACCCTGGCCTGGGCCCTGGCGGGTGACCCCCGCGCAGGCCATCTCGGGGTGGGGCACTGGAGTGAAAGGTGTCGCGGTGACACAGGACACACTCATTTTGAAAAAAATAGTTCAAACTAATTTTTCTCTAACGATCATCAAGAGCTAGCACTCAAATGGTCAATCTTCACGGAGAACTCCGAGACTGGGAAAGCATCTGCTCTCCCGGATGAAGGCCACGTTCACTGGCATGCCACGGTGTTCCAAGCTGGCTGGGCCGCACCTGCCTTTCTCCAGCGTCCCTGCAGCTGGCCCTACCCGAGGATTCTCTCCCACCGGGCACTCAGCCGGCACGGTCGCAGCTCCACAGGTCACCCCACGACGGCCGTGCCCTCTATGCACCCAGAGCTGCCTGGCGGCTCCGGATCGGTGGTCCTGCTAAGAGCAAGCCCTGCCCTCCTTACTGCTGCTGTTGCTGCAGGGGAAGCACATTTGTGGGGCAGCGGGGGACCCCGCTTCCTTGCCAGGGGCACGGCCAACCAAAGCACTGCTCCCCAAGGCCCACGCAGGGCCGCTGCACGCCTCGTGCCAGGGCCCTTCTGACGCCCTCCCTTGGCTCCTGGCTTCCCCACGAGTCTGCGCCACAGCCTTGCCCGAACAACCTCTCCAAGGCCACCTCACAACATTCCCTCCATGACCAGTGTCCCGGGGGGCCAGCCTGCTCTCACCTGGGGTCTGTCCTCTGCCCTCTCTCCTGAAACCCTCCACTTCACCCCAGATCCAGCATCTGCTAAACATCCGAGCACTTTCCACTCAGAGAACACGCCCCAGGGTACAGTGGTGAGGGGTTTTTATAGCCAAACTTGGAGATTCCTGATCTGATCGTGACCCGGTCAGCCCAGCTCCTGCCCCCCACCCCAAGGAGAGCGGAGAGGGGTGAAGGGGGACCGGAGGGCCGTTTTCATGAATTGACATGAGAGTCAGAATTTCAGTTTTCATGATAAAAGCCCTGTCGGGCTGCCGTACCGCGGCCAAGGCCAGTTCGGAGGCGGCGACAACCTCCTGGACATGCTTCAGAACTTCCTCTGGGTTCAGTGTCGAAAAATCAACCAGTGCCTGCTCTTCCTTTGTGTCTGGCTGAGGTTTTGCTGGCTTGCTATTCTCCACTGCTTGTAAGAAGTCAAGGTAGTTGATGCAATCATTATGCCAACTGATTCCCCAACTTGTCCCAAAAGAAAGAAAAGGATATATTAGTAGTAATACAGATACACCACCTTGTCACTTATTCATTCAACAAACAGTTGCTGAGCAGAGAGCAGTGTGGGGAAGATGCCTGGTGGTAAGACACTGCTCGCTGGCCTGTACGTGGGCGCGGACCCATCGGTTATGCTATCAGACGGGGGGCACACCTCATCTGAGAAAACAAGGTAAGGGCGAGAAGCGAGGACACAGGTCGTGGCAGCTGGCAGGGCCGGGCCACCTGCAGGACGTCGCCATGGGAAGCTGGGCCTGACGGTGCACAGACATGGTCTGGAGCAAGGGCACGGGGTGGGCCGAGGGGACTGTGGTCATGGAGACCTTGGCTAATGAGAGCCTGGACCGAGAAACAGCAGAGGAAGCTGAGAAGGAGGGGGATGTGCCAGATGCAGCAAAGGGGAAAAGAAGAACTGAGTAAAATTTATGTCAAATTCTTCATCAAGATCAGTTGAAACTGAGTCTTCTAGCTGGAAGCTCTCAGCAGATTTTATGAAGCCTGAATAGCTCAGTATTTTCTCAAATAAAAATTCCATCTGAGTGTGCGTCTGCACAAGGACACCCATGTGGAAACAGAGGCGCCTTCCTGCCCTCAACTCCAACACAGAAGAAAGAACAGATTGTGAGATGAAACCCAAAAGTTTCAGGCGAACAGGGAGCATATCTGCTAAAGATGTAAAATAATCTAAAATAAAGTTGAATCGCACTCAACGTTCACGTGGCCATAACTCCAACCCGCTGGGGACACGGGCTCTTGACCACCTGCCCCTTCTGCTGCTGCTTGGGCAGGCTGGGCACAGCTGCCCACACAGGGGAATGGTCTAGAATGTGGCTACGCCAGAGAGAGAAGTTTCCAGTGACTCACATTATCTACTGCTAAAGGAAACCAGCCAGAAGTGCGCTTTTCCAACCCGCAGCTGCAGAGCAGCCTTCCAGGGGCCCCGACGGCGTCTCACATGGTGGAGGAAAAGGGTAATCAACTCTATTTCATCAGCAGGATAAATTGCCAACTTGGTATTAAAATTTAGTAATAAAATCAAATGCATATGCTAATCTCAGTATTATTTAGAAAAGTCTATTTTGGATCTAGAAAAGAATAATCTACATATAATTACAAATAACAGAGATGTTTATCATCAAGAGGTCTTTGAGAAGAAACAAGCAACTGAGCAATGGATCCTTATTAAGGTTTCAATTCATAAAAAAGTTGATCGCCCCCATTGAAAGGTGGACTGCAGAAATTCCATAGTCCTTTTGTTGGCGTGTGTATAAGTATCAAGACTATGTTTTAATAAGACTCTCTTATAATCATTTGGTTAATTATTTATCTGGTGCTATTTTCCTGTGATTTATTCTTTGAATGCATATGAATTCTTATTCAGCTGGAAATAGACCGAGTGTTTAAGGAAGAAGAGAACATATAGGCATGTGAGGGTGAAACGGTCCTCTTTCTCTGTCTACGGAGCATCAGGCTTCTCACAGCTTGAGTACAAATGAGCACTGTCTTCAAAATTCGAAGGGGAAGTGATTTCTCCCCAGGATTCTCTGCCCAGACAAGCTCTGTGATCTGCATGGGGGAGAATAAAAAATATTTCCGACAAAGAAGTCAGAAGATGTACTGCCCATTCATCCTTTCTTAGGAAATTACTTCAGGAAGTGCTCCAGCAAAAAAAAGAGTGTAAATGAAGAAACAAAAAGATGTGGGATACAGGAAACAGGGTGTCCGGCCCAAGAGACTAGTGGGGACAGCCAGGGTGGACAGCCACTTGGGGGTGGCAGAGATAGGGCAGGGGAGTGCAGGGACAGGGTGGAGGGTACCAGGGAGGAAACTGGACAGACAGAAAGTGGGAGAGAAGGCTGAGGAAAGCTGAAGATTGGCCATGTTGAACTTCCCCTGTGCATTCCCCGGGATCTAAAGAGTGACAACAGTTAACGCAATCACCCTTTAGGGCCCCAGAAATGGCACACAGCAAAGACCCACTTTCCCCGTATGCCTTAGAAGAGATGCATGAGTGCCCCCGGGGGCCTGCCTGTGACACAGAAGTTTGGGGACGGTGCCCCGGAGAAGGAATTCATGACCTAGACACTCAACGATGTTTACAGAGCCGTGATTATGAAACGCTGTCTAATGGCTTGTGAGTTTTTGAATCAACTTACGAACCAAGAAGGGAAGATGTGGTTTCGGCTGCAGGACAGAAGGTTGAATTTAACCACCTTTTCTAAAGTAAAATAGAAGCTGACAGAAGATGGGATGAGGCAGGAACAGGGAGGGAAAGTGACAGAAAGGAGGGGAGCCTGTCAAGTGTAGAACTTGGAAGGTCACTTTGTCTCATAATAAGCAAAAAGTTAAACAAGCTGGAAAACAGTGATTTTTCTTCGGTCCCGTAAGATGCTGAGGGCAGAGGGGAAAATGTCACCCTAATATCTAGACAGAGAAGAGAATACAGAAAAGCCAAGATCTGATTTCCTGGAGCAAATATATTTCTTTGGAACTAGAAGCTGGTAAGAATTCTTAGTGCTAACTTGAAAACCTGGTGGGGGCTGTGTGTGAACTAGTGTGAAAGTAAAAGGGTCCTGGGGACCCAGTCGTAGGGGCTGCCCCTTCTTTCATGGCTTTAGGGATCCTACCAGGTTGTCACAACTAGGACCTGAGGATGAGCCCCTGGCCCTGGCAGGGAACGGGGACAGTAATCCTTGTGAAATGGGCCCAGAGCCTTCTCCACTATGATTTTCCAGGGCAGAGACCTTACCACAGCCTTATCCCTTCTGGGGGAGAGGGAATTAGCCATTCCCACCCCCCCTTTTGCCTTTCTGACTTACCCATTGGATTAAAAAAAAACCTAAGAAATGCTACGCAATACTATGCAGCTCTACGGAAAGATGAAATTTTTCAATTTTGACAAAATGGGATGAGTTGAGAGGATTAAGCAAAGTGAACTTGTTCAAAATACAGGGACAAATATTGGATGACTTCACCTGTATGCGCAATGTAAGGGAACAAAGCAGATGAATGGAGAAAAAACATAAAAATAGACCAGTGACACTAACACCCAACCTGGGATAACCAGAGGTGAAAAGGGTGGGGGGTGGGGATAAGGCTGAAGGGGGCAGGAGAGGTGGTGGAGGGTGCTTTGTTTTTAAATGTATATGTTATAATATCTTTTGTTTCTCATCCCTAGTTGATCTAATAAATGGTTGCTCAAAGTAATAACAACAAAGCAGTGGGCCATCACAGCACACGGACGGGGTGGGGGGGTGGGGGGTGGGGGGGGTGGAGGTGGGGGGGTGGTGGGGGGGTGGGGGGTGGGGTGGGGGGTGGGGGCCCGCGCTGCCCCAGGGACGGGAGTGAGGTCAGGCACGGCCTGCTGTTCATGCGCATTGCAATCTCAAGAGCAACTGCTAAATTTTGTTTAATGTTGGGGTACTAATATTCTCAATTTTTCGAAACAAGGACGTAAGAGTCTTGCACTTAGTCACAAAACATTCAGCCAGGCACAGCCAGCGTCTAAAGCAAGAGAGCAAGGGCACACCAACGCAGTCAGAGGAGGAGTAATCAACTCCAAGTTGCTTCAGTTTAAAAGTACAAGAGTATAAGACTTGCAGTTAGATAAAGTGTGTCTAACACACACGTCCAACTCTGTCCGGACTTCAAACCCTTCTAAAATTAGAGAAAAGGGAGCTTTAAAAAAGACACAGTGGGGGTTCTGCTCCCCACTCTGTCTCTGGTGAGTCCTTTCACCCTCCCAGTTCTTGTATAAATAAATAAATCTTTAAAAAAAAAAAAAGACACAGCAGGAGTGTGGGTAGAGCAGGGTGCTCTGGTCCAGCAGCGACAGCATCACCTGGGACCTTGTACCAAGGCTCCCAGGTGGACCCCAGACCAGCTAAGTCAGGGAGCCTGGGGGAGGAGCTAGCAAGCTGAGTTTCAGCCAGGTCTCCTAGCGATTCTGCAAATTGGAAACTCAGAGAAAGAAGGGGCTACCCAGAGGGGGGCACCTTGGAAAAAAAGCTGGAATCCTGGCCTTGGGTGCTTATTATAAACAACACCAAACCTGAAAGAAAAAGGGGTGTGAATGCAATTCCAGGAAAACCCTGCCTGTTCTCTGAAATCCTGATGCAGTCTCATTAGCACCTCCCTTTCCTAATACTACCCCAGATAAGTCCCTGCTTCTCCCCAGTGCAGGGAGAGGGCTTGGGGAGCGTGGTCGGCCATGTCCTTGGCATGCTGGCTCCTGATTAAACCTGATTTCCTTCCGCCAACTCTTGTCTCCTGCACTTCAGCTTATGAGCGGTGAGTAGCCAAAACCCAAACTCCAGTAAAACATCAACTGCTAAACCTCCAGTTTTCTTCTCAGTCAGCTTTCAGAGTGCTAGCAATAGGAGACCCAGAGAATCTTCTCTGGCTGGGTTGCCAGATTTAGTGGGGGAAATCCTACAGGGATATCCAGTTAAATAAGAATTTCAGGTAAACAAACAAAAAAATATTTTTAGCATGTGCATAACACATATTTATACTAAAAAAAAACTTTATCTGAATTTTATATTTAACTGGGCATCCTTTATTTGGCAATTTATTCCCTGGGAAACTGACCAGCTCTAAAGAAAAGTTTTAAGGAAACCGCTTTCCAGATGACCCTACAGTTCAAACCAAAGTTGGCAAGTTCTACCGATGTGCAGAACTACTAACCTGCTTCTTAGTACCCTGTTTTTAGCGTAAGAATATTTTTGAGGAAAGAATCTAGCAGAAAAAAAAAATGCAACACTGAGGAGAGACTTCTCAGGTGAAGAAAACTTTAAAAAATTCTATTGTTAACTTATTCAGAGAAATGAAATAATGCATCCATGAAACAAGAACAGGATGCTATGAAAAAGAAACATTCTAAAGAACAAATTTGAGCTCTGATAATTAAAACTATGACAGGTATGATAGCAGAAACCAAAATCTCACAAAGTTGAGGGCTAAACTGAGGAAATCTCCCAGAAGGTGGAGCAAAAACAAAGACATCAAGATAGGACAGGTTTAAAAACACAAGGCCAGTGGAATCTTAAGGCCCGTCATAGGTTAAGCTTAGAAGCCCCGTAGCCTTGTCCCTTAACCATCAGGACCTTAAGAATGCAATCTTGGATGTTTTCTTATCTATTTCCTGTTTTTAGACCAAGATTTTAAGCAAGAATTGTGGAAAAATTGGCATAGACTTTCAAAAATGAATGTTCTAAATATGTTTTACAGGATTTGATGCCTTGTTAGAAAATCTGTTTTCAAAGAGGGAAACATGTTCAAAGCCCCCAAGCATATTTCTTCAACTGAAAGAGTTGCAAATTTTCTTAAATTGGGTTCAACCTGGATGTTAGCAGAGGAGTATAGGGAACAAAAATGATCTGATTGAAATTATCATATAACTTTTAATTTTTAATCTAAAAAGGCTGATAGGAAAAGAGATGGATTGAGGGCGAATAGGGATGATTAGGGATGGGGAAAGAAATATGGTTTTGAGGCCAGATTCTTCCTAAGGAAAAGACATTGTAAATGTATTTGAAAAATTTTTTTTATTTTAATTATTATTTTTTTAATAGAGGCATGTTTTATTTATTTGTTTGTTTGTTTGTTTTGTTTATACAAGCACTGGGTACAGTCAGAAGCGCGGGAGGGTGAGAGAATTCACCAGAGCCAGAGCGGGGAGCAGAGCAGGCAGAAGGACCGAAGGACACTGCTGAGGGGAGCAGCGGGCGGCAGGAGAGGTCTGCGCGCCATGCGGGACCCTCCTCCGGTGGCCGGGGAGCAGCAGGGGATCGAACCGGCGCCACAGAGGCCGCGGGCAGCTTCGCAACCCAGCGCTCAACCGCTGCGCCACCGGGGAGGCCCTGTATTTGAAAATTTTTTAGAAGTCAGAAATAATGACAATATAATGAAATGGTTGTTCAATATCCAGAAACAATAGGAGTTTCAGAAAGAAAGAATAGGAGAGAAGCTCAATGAACTAAATCAAGAAAATTTCTGAGAGTTGAAGGCCGTGAAAATGGCCGGCTTCCTGATGAAGCTAGATTAGCTCATAAATCGAAATACCTTGGAAACAGCTCTCACACTCGGGGGCGAGCTGGTTTTAATTAGTGGTGATGAACAGACAGAAATTAGGCAGAGAAGTAAGATCATTATTAACTCCAGGGGAAAACAAGATATCGAGCAGGGAAGGAAAGGTGATTGGTCAGCCACACAACGTGCTTTTTGACCTCCGCCAAATTGGGGACAGTCTGGGACCCGTGGGTCTCAGGAGGTGGTGGGGTGGGGGTGGTTGGTGGGATGTGATGGGCGTAAAGAACGAGAGCTGCATCTCCCTGGCCGGATGCCAGCAGACTCAGGCTGAGTCAAATTCAAGAAGCGGCTGTGGGTGCACATCTCTCAGGAGTCGGAGCTGAGCCCCACGAGTGCGGCTGACAGGGGAGTCATTGACTCCCAGGAGGGACGTGAGGGGACGGCCGGGCCAAGGGGCACCCGTTTTTGACAATAAATCCTGGAGAATGATTCGACTCTTGCCAAAGCGCGTGACTGCCTCGAGTAAAGGAAAGTCAACCTCAGAAAGCGAGGACGACGCAGCTGAGACACGACAGGGAGAGCGACCCGACTCCCGGAGTCCTCAGGCGACGTGGCCAGAGGGGTGGCTGCGGTCATTTCAGAGGCGCAAGACGGAACAGACCCGCGAGCAGCCGCCCAGCCACTGGCCGCAGCATCTGCCTCTCCGTGAGAAGCGGTTAACCCGGGCGGAGCGAACCTGCTCAGAAGGTGGGTCAGCTCCTCCTCCTCCAGCGCACAGCCGCTCGCCTGCAGCGCCTTCTGCAGCCCAGACAGCGACGTGTGGCCGCTCTTGGACGCGTCGAGTTTGCTGAGCGCTTGGCTGATGTCCTGGTAATGGTCCTTCAGCTTATCCCTGGAAGAGAAAGCATCCGAGACACGCTCCCGTCGGGAGGACAAGGCGTTTCTTCCCAGCAGCCCCGCGAGCCTCCTGACGTGATGGTCTGCTGCTTCGCCCCAGAGCTCACGAGCCTTGTGTCACGGTGACATTAAAAGGGACCCCGGAAAAGAGGTAAGTCTGCACCATTGTCATCTCGTTGTGATCGTCATGAGTGAAACTGCGTTCGAGAAATCACAACCTTGGCTTTTAAAAGCACAGCGAGGTGACAGACACTGAGGCGAGGACGCCGTCCAAGACTCGCCGAGCAGCGGCTCTGGGCCAGGGGCTGCTGCGGAGTCGGGCAGACGCGTCTAGTGGAGCAAACGGGCCTCCTGGAAGAACCGCCCTCCCAGCAGGGCAAGGGCCTCCGGCCCGCGGCCTCAGAGCGTCTGCGGAGAGGCCAGCTCCTGGAGCACGCCCGGGACAAAGGGCCCCCGGCTCAGAAGTCAGGAGGGAAGTGGGGGGGGGGGGCGAGTGGATATTGCGGAGGGCGGGGGCCCCTGGGCCTCCACCCAGAGCTGGCTGGCACCTGCACCTGCATCAGAGACCCAGGGACAGTGACGGCACGAAAGCACCCCCGCGGGGTCTGAACGCCCCACAGGTGAAGACGGGATTCACCCCCAGGTCATGGGGTAACCTGTTGGCCTCGTTGGGATTGTTTATTTGCAATCAAGCGCCCAAAGCAGAAGCGCCGGGTCCCTCAGCAGCTGCGCCCCGGCCCTGCCAGAGCTGGGAGCCGCCCGACCAGTACAGAACACGGGCACGTCCTTGACCCTGCATCGCGGGGGCCGGTGGAGGGGCCAGGAGACCCCCGTGAGCAACTGCAAGGGCGGTTGGGGGGCACCCACCAGGCACCACGGACGGGGAGAGGGAGGCCCCAGCGTCGGCTCCCAGCTCTTCAATCCCTGCGCCACCTGCTCAGCGCTGGTTTCCAGGCGGCCAGCAGCGGAGGGCAGCGATTTCATGGTGAGCGTGCCAGTGTGGGCAGGCGCCCTTGACCACTCGGGCAGCCAGGCAAAAGGCGGACGGACACCGTCTCGGGGCCAGGGGTCTGCCAGGCTCACCTGGCCAGCGCCGCCGTCTCGGTGTTCTGCTGCAGCTCTTTCATCTCTTCCTGTATCTGCTGGGGCTTCGTGAAGTGGCCCATGAAGTTGAAATAGCCCTCCCCGTTGGGCCGGTGGACGTCCTCCGAGTAGCTGATGCCCAGCTTCTCCAGGAACTCTTGGTAAGTGATGAAGCCCCGTCCCTCGGTGTCATAGCTTCAAAACCAAACAGAGGTCTGGTCAGGAGCCGCCGGGATGGGGGGCGGGGAGTGAGGGGGTGGATCCTGCCTGCACTACCTCCACCACCTTCGAGGAGCCTCCTAGCCCCAGCCCACCCTGCGGCTTCGGCCCGGGGAGAGGGAGTCAGACACGCAGAGACTCTGCCCCAGGGTCTGTCCCCAGCGTCGAGTGCAGCCCCCGAGGACTCGCGGGCACAGCAGAGTTTGAGACCCCCCACCCTAACCGCTGCAACTCCCCTCCCGTCAGCCTGGCTGCCCGGGGAGGGAGCCCTGGGGCTGGCGACTGCCATCCTGTTACCACCACAGGAAGGTCGCATCAACCCTGTCCATCACTCAACGATGCTATTTTATTGAGCAACTACACGAGAGTAACTATGTGACAACTTAGGGGAAAGTCCTTCAAAAAGCATATTTAGTCTTAAAACTTGAATAAATGAATGCTATTGATTCAAATTCCCCATTTGCTCTTTGAAGAGATGCCAATTACGCACAGCCAACGAGACAGACCAGCGAGGAAAACAAGATAAGAATTATTCTATGAACCTTTTATGTCATTTTCTATTATTAAGATTTTTTCGGAATTATAATTCATTAAAAAAGCCATAATGGAGGGTTTTTATCTCCCAACATTATTCAAATAGAATAGAATTACTTCAATAAAAAAAAATTTAAGGCAAATTGCCAATTTTCTTTAAAGAGAAAAAAGCACTTCTTTTTACAGAGGGATCTGGGTCTTTTCTGTATCGATAAAAATGGCATTTGCAATTACTTTCCCGGGACGCAGTCAGTTCCGGGACGTGGCTACATTTCAGCCACATTGGGGGGAAGATTCTGGGGGTGCTGAGGGCGTCCTCTGACAGAGGGTGAATGCCGTCACCTTCCCTGCGGGCTCACGCACTGACCACCTGCTGAGGGAGCGAGGGACCCCCAGTCACCCCCCACTCTGGCCCCGGCGCCCCAGGGGAGTAACGAGGACAGCATCTTTGCTGTCCACGCGACTGGGTGTGTTGGGCTTGGGGTGGCGGGTGGAGGTCAAGAGGGAAGAGGATTGGGCCATCGGAGCCTGTGGTGGGGCTGTGTCTGTCAGTCCATCTATCCCGAGGCCCAGGGAGCCTCTGGGGCCCCCGGCCTCTCCCTGTCCCCCTGGGGCCCACAGGGCAGCCCCCTCTGCTGAGTGTGCGTGTGCATGGGTGTGTGTGACTTCCACTTGCCTCCTCTGCCTGCTTGAGCACGGCCTCCATCCCGGGGACAGGACATTCCCCTCTGGTGGGTGCAAGCGGCACCAGGCGGCCAGCTTGTGTCCGCGGCCAGCTCCGGCCTCCAGACTCTGACCAGGCCCTCAGCCACTCCGGGGCTGGGCGCCCTCGCCTCAGCGGCTGCAGGCCCTCCCAGCTGGAGAGTCCCTGCCTGTGTGATGACGTGGTCACCATCATTTATGACACCCTCTAAGGTGATACTTGTGACCCCCAAGTGCCTTTCTAATTTTATTCAGTGAATTTCATTTCAAAAGCAAAACAAAGGGCCACTGCAAGAGGAAGCTGTGGATCTCGATTCCCGAGGCTGGTCCCGAGGCTCTGGAAGAGCTGCCAGGTTGCAGCAGCCCAGGGCCCGAGCGGCCAGCGGGGACGGCAGAGGGCTGGCGGGGCTGGCTTCCCGCCATCTGCCTGGAAGAGGCGGCAGCCCCTTCTCCAGCTTCCAGGGTGAGCCCAGGGTGCTGAACGGCGTCAGTCGTGACCACCCTTGTGCCATCCAGTGACGCATGATGCAGCAACGCAGCTCCGGGGGGACACCCCTGCAGGAGGGTGCCCAAAAGACCAGTGCACAGACCGCCCCCCCATCGGATGAGCACCCCTGGGGAGCAGTGCTCAGCACTGTCCATCCTTGGAAGTTGTTTTTCATAAGCAATGAGGCCCTGGCTTTGCTACAGCTGTCTCACAGCTTCCAGCGCCTGCGGCTGACGCCCCAACTCGCCCCTCTTCGGAAACTGCTCTCTCCTAGGTCCACGAGCTGCTTTCCCTCCCTTGCAGGGCATGGGGAGGGTGGATGGGCAACGCACCAGGGCCTGGGCCACATGGGTAGGCGTGGCGCCAACCAGGCCTACCCGCCATCCAAAGGCCCTGCCACGTCCGGCCTCCCCAGTCCAGCCTTCTCCCACTGCAGGACGGCTACTTCTTGAGGGGACACAGGCCTGGCCCAGCAGCTGCCTTGCCAAGCTCCACCACGAGCTCATCTGCCGAGCTCCTGACTGTGGGGGGAGGCCCATCCGTCCCCTCCTCCAGCCCTTGTCAGGTGGGCGCTGCACCCCCATGTTTGGGTGCTGCTTCCTGTGCCTGACACCCCCACTGGGCTTGGGAATCACAGAGACCCAAAGGCCCCCGCAGTGGGAGGTCGGCCCCTGCCCACACCCGCTCAATTATGGGGTGGAAGCTGCTCATTCCGTCTGGAAGGAAGCGGAAAGGGAAGCTCAGGCAGCCTGTGTTGGAAGGGTCTAAAAATACCCGGATTTTGTAATCCCTGCAAGTTGCTTTTCTAAATTAGACACAGAACAGCCCACCTCATTCTAAACCCGGCCGACGCTCAGTCTTCCACACTGAACAGATTAAAAGATGACAGGACCGGCCTGGGAGCTGCTCTGAGGGCCGGGGCCGGGGCTGCCAGGGAGGCGAGTGGCTACTAACATCAAAGCAAGAAGCAGGTAATTCGAAGACCGGCCTGTAATGGGGAGATCGCCAGTGCACCCCGAAACGCAGGCATCTGTGCCAGGAATGGAGCTATGGGGGGCCGACGCAACAGCTGTGAGCTCTCGAGTGGCTTATGGACATCGGACCGCTGCTCTGTGCTACTTCCAGCTCGGGAGACCCTCAGGGACCTACTCCAAGCTGACGAGAGTTGGGTAGTCCGCAAATGGGCTGTGCCCCGGCTTCCACCTCTGGGCATGGGGGAGACTGCTCCTTCCGTGCCAGCACCCGGGGTCTGCGGAGCTAGCTGCCTCAAACAGTAAAAGGATGACTTGAACTTCAAGTTCCTGGGGACACTCACGTGGGCCTTTCGCCCCCCGGGGTGGGGAGCTTACCCCGGGTGCTCTCTCTGGGGTCACGGAACCAGGACACAGGACACCAGGCCGTTCCTGACCCCAGCTGGCCCTGCCCCCCGATGTGTGGAGGAAAGGTGGGTGCTCAGTCTGCAGCAAGCCCCCGGAGATGGCTGGGCTTTGAACAGCTCTCACCTCGTCCAGAGCTTCTCGAATTCTCTCGGCGTGAGGGGAATATCGAAGCCGTACAGCGCGTTCCTGACGTCCCGCCGCCGGAGGATGCCGCGGCCCTCGTGGTCGGTCTCTATGAAGTTCTACGACATCAGAGGAGAGGCTGCTGGGGTGGGGAGGCCACGGGGAGGAAGGATCGCTGCGGGGGGTGGGGTGGTGGTGGGGGGAGGGCAGGCTGCCAGAGAGACAGGCGCAGGGGGGTGCAGGGAGAGGACTGGCTCCCTCCAGGGCTGGGGGGACCAGGAGCAGGGGCTGAGAGAGCTCGAAGGCCAGACTGAAGCTGGGGCAGAGGCTGGTCGCCGTGTGGACACCTGTCCTGCTGTACCACCGCCCCCCCGCCCCAATGCCAGCTGGGGTTCCGGCCGTGCTGGCTCTGAACCTGGGCCCAGGGGGGAGCCGGGCCTGCGGGGCAGGTGGGCATGCAAAGCTTCTGTCCATGGGAAGGACAGAGCCTCACGCCGGCACAGAGGCAGAGCAAGCAAAGGAGAAAGCACCGCGACAGTGTTCAAGATGATGTGAGTTCCCTGGGAGGGGTGGTCCTCCGGCAAAACGCTGCTCAGAGGGAGGCCAGTGTGCCCTGCCCAAGCAGCCAATGCACCAGACACCCCGCTGACAGGAGCAGCGCCCCGCTGGGACTGTGGCTGCCTCCCAAGGCTGCAGGGGCCCCATAGCCGCAGGGAGGACTCAGCGCTGACGGCCCGCTCCTTGCCTGGGCGAGGGGCCGGCTCCCTGCAGCGCCCCACAGGCTGTGTCAACACGAGGGCACCAGCCTTTCCATTTTGATTTTTCCTTCATCTCAAACCTGCAATAAATTGCTGTCCTGGAACCCCCACAATTACCTCTTTTTCTAAACACCAGTTGATCCTGTATGTGAGATTTTGAAAAAAAAAAAAAAAAAAAATTTTCCCCCCAGAATAAAGGAAAATACCAAACGGAAACACGAAGTCGGCTCCCACGCAGCCCCCGGGGCCCCAGCCCGGCCGGAAGCTGAGCCTCCCCTTCCCAGGGCGCCTCGCGTCTTACCTTAGACAAGTCTGTCCACCTGTGCTTTGCTTTGGTGACAAGAAACTGATGAGCCTGTTCACAAGCTAGTTCCAAATCTGTGACCTTCTTTTTTGATCTTAAGAGAAAAAAAAGAAAAAACTGTTTAAATCGAGTGTGTAACAGGTTGGTCCCCAGACAAGGGGAGGTTCAGGTTCCCGCCCCACGCAAGGGAGGGTGGGGCTGAGCAGGGAGGAGAAGCAGCCGGAGAGGCGCCTGGGGGAGGAAGGTGGAGGAGGGAGAGCAAGAAGGGCCTGAGGAGGCACGAGGGGCAGAGACACGTGAGGGAGCCGCGCTGGCTCCTGGGTCCCGGCCTGGGGGAAGCAGACGCGGTGAGAGACGCGTGGGGAGGTGGCAAAGGCAGCGTTGATCTTGATTTTGATTTTGCTCTTTCCTCCCAGACTTATCTGGCTGTTTTTGCCCCTTTTTCTTTTTCTTTTTTTTTTTTTTAAATATATGTCACTCATTTTTCTAAATTCACTGAATTTTTTTTTTAATAGAGGCATGTTTTATTTATTTATTTGTTTGTTTGTTTGTTTGCTTATACAAGCACTGGGTACAGCCAGAAGCGCGGGAGGGTGAGAGGATTCACCAGAGCCAGAGTGGGGAGCAGAGCAGGCAGAAGGACCGAAGGACACTGCTGAGGGGAGCAGCGGGCGGCAGGAGAGGTCTGCGCGCCATGTGGGACCCTCCTCCGGTGGCCGGGGAGCAGCCAGGGATTGAACCGGCGCCGCAGAGGCCGCGGGCAGCTTCGCAACCCAGCGCTCAACCGCTGCGCCACCGGGGAGGCCCTGCTTTCACTTTCAATAGGAAAAGATTCATCTGAACGTCACACGCCACAGAGGTGAGGGCCCCTTTGATCTCTGCGGGCTGAGGGGCCTCTTTCCACTTAGCACTTGGATTTCCAGAGAACACACGAGTTCGTCTGCTCGCGCGCCTGAGAGCCGACGGTGCCCGGGCCCGGGGGAGGCCTGGAGAGAGACGCCCACACTCAGCCTCAGGGCCGGGCAGCGAGTCAGGGCCCAGCGACTGCTCAACGCACAAGTGAGGCAACTGCTCTTTCGGTGGTGTCTCCCCTTAGGAAGCCCCGCTGCTCGCAGGCGCTACCCTGCAGCGCCCGGGAGTCCCTGGGACTGACCGTGCCAGTGCCCAGCAGTCACTGGGCTGCTGCCTGTCCCTGCCCGGATGCCCACCCTGCACCACCGACCTGTGTGCCCAGTTCAAGGCCCCACTTCTTTGTGAATTACATAACCTTGGCCCCCCACGGTTTGAGACGGCAGCTCTGGCGTTTCCTCAGCAGCGCGCCGAGACCGGCTGGGCATGAGGGCGCGCCCGTTTCACTGTCTTTCCTTCATTTCATCTCCAAGCAGATGCCAGCTTGTGGGGTACTACACTCTTACTGGGACCTGCCCGCCCCAGTACTTGGTGAGTATATCGCCTAGTCAGGGGTGCTGGCTGGCTTCTCTGCTTCATGATGCCGCCGGTTAGACAACACCCCCACCCTCGACCACATTCTCTCTCCTTTCATTCCTAAGTTTATTCACTCTTCTGAGGTCACCCCTTCTCACGCCCCCACAACCCTGGATGCTGCTACCCCCACACCTCTACCACCAGCACTGTAATCTCACCTGCTTTTCTGTTCCATCTCTCTCAACTGTCTACCGGACTTGGCAGAATCACGGAACTTCAGGGTGGAAGGGATCCAAGGTCAAGCAGCCTGATCTGTCCGCACTTGACCACTGAAGACCAGAGGGCTGCTGGGACTGCGCTGCGTGTTCACAAGTATTGTCTAAAAGGACTATAGGTCCAGTGAGGTGGATCCCTGCCTGCACTGTTAGACTGCTCCTATGTCCTCCCTGCGCCCGAAGCGTCACCTGGATGTCCCAAAAGTGCTCCCTGGAGACCCCGACAGCATTGCTATCTCTGCAAAGTTAGTGCATCTAAGATGGTCTCACTACCTAATCACATATCCAAGCAGCCCCATTTCTTCCCTGGGCGATGAGGATTAATAATTTTCTTAGCTACTCTTGCTTGAACCAGGGCCTCCTGCTGATTTTCTCATCCATTTCTCCCTTTTCCCCTGTACCTGTCTCCTCTAGAGAGAGCAGAAGGTTCTCCTGTGGCCTTTCCCAGAAGCTACTTGTGTCTGCTCCTACTGCCTGACTCTGCCCTGACAGCCAGTCAGCTCCCACCCTCCCATCAGCCAGAGACATGGATGCGCTACTACGATGTGCTGCTGCAGGCCCTGAAGACACAAGGACGAGCAGTGCGGACGGAGCCCGTGTCCTCAACAGCTCACACGGTGAAGGCAGGAGGCTAACAGCAGGCACATGGAGAAAAGGGTGAATCAGAAAAGGTGAGATACTGAGTGTGACCTTGATGATGACAGGCAGTAGGGGACACTTCAGCTAAGACCATGAGTTGCTCTTTGAGGCCGGAGTGATGAGCAGGCAGCCGTGGGTCTTGGGGAACAGCACTGCAGGCAGGGCAAGAGCCCAAGACGCGCTCTGGGACCGGTCAAGATGGCGCGGGCACACACGCCCTTCCCAGCCCTCTGATCACAACTAAAACCTTTAGGCAGAATCCAAAAAGTAACTCGCTGAGGACACTAAAAAGTAAATAATCGGAGACTGGTGGAGAGGAAATCAAAACCTGAAGATTGACTGATACAGGGTGATTTCATTGTTTCCCCTCCTTCCACATCCCCAGCTTAGGCTTAAGGGAAGTTCTAATTCTGAAACTGTGCGGTAGCCATGGACAGAAACAGCTCCAAAACAAGTATGTAAACTCAGACGCCTACAGTAAAGAAAGTCTATTTTTCTGATCAAAAAACTACTAAGCAGGGCCTCTGCAGTACAGAGTATGGGTCGTGGTGGGGGAATCCTTTCTCTCTCTTTTGTCCTTTTATTCTCCAATCCTGATCCGAGGCAAGCTCAGGTATGAAGCTGCGTTTTTGTGATGGTGCCAGGAACAGCCGTGCAAGTAGGTGCCTCAAACTAAAATTCTTCTCTCTCATAAGTGGAAAGTAGAAAGGGCTCTCTGTGATTCAAAGAGTGTTAGAGGAACCCACACTATTTGTCTCTTTTTCTCTCTTCCATGTAGCTCTGGAGATGAACCACTATAAAACCATAGAGTCACTAAAATCTAAGGTTTTCTAGCCAGGAGATCAGAAAAAGGTCCCCTGGCGACTGAAGAGTGTAGGGAGAATCATAGACAGGAGGGAGCTGGAGAAAGGGATCCCCAAATCTGTGTGGGAAGTTCCAGGTGAACCTCTCAGGTGCACACACATAAAATCAGCCCCAGGCAGGTTAGCTGAAGCTTTGAGAACTTGACGGCAGTGTAGTTAAGACTGGAAGCTGGGTGGGCCTGAGAGCGCTGCAGTGACTTTGAAAGCTGAGCTGGCAGTAAGCTGGCAGGCAGGGCAGGGCTTGCAGCCTGACATTAACTGGCTGTAGTATCTACTAAAGCAAACAAAAACCAAATCAATATACTATAGAGGTTCTTGACAGGACCACAATGCCACAACATATTATTTAAAATTCCATAATACAATCCAAAATTACCTAATATACAAAGAGCCAGGAAAATCTCCATAATCACCAGGTAAAAGACAACAGCCTCCAGTTGTAAGATGACCTGGATGTGGAAATTATCATATTTTAAAGTAACTATTCTCGCCATAAAGTAACAGTGAAAAAAAAAAAAAAGGAAGACAGGAATTCAGAGTGAAGGAATAGAAGCTTCAAAAGAAATGAAAAGAACCAAGTGGAAACTTGAGAACTGAGAAACATAGTTCCTGGCATCAAATCTTCACCGGGTTGGCTCAGTGACAGGATGGACGTGACAGAGGGGTGAGCCAGTGAACTTGAAAGTCGATGAGTAGAAATTATTCAAACAGAACAACAGAGAAAAACATGGAAAAAAAGAAAGAATATAGCCACAGGAACCTGTGTACAAAATCACAAGGTCTGCTGTTCGTGTGTCCAGGGCACCAAAAAGAGAGAGAAAGAGGTTGGCACAGAAAACAATACTTGAAGAAATAATAGCTGAGAATACTCCCAATTTGATGAATAACATAAAATTATAGGTTCAAGAAGTTCAGTAACCCCCAAAAAGATAAATTCAAAGAATTCTCAAACACTCATACTCACACCACTGAAAACCAACGACAAAGAATGTCCAAAGCAGGCTGAGAAAACAGTATCTCACATATCGGGGCAGACGGTCTGATGACTGCAGATTCCTTGCCACAACTGTGGACACCAGAAGACGGTGGAATAACATTTTTAAAGTGCTGAATAAAATGCCAATCCAGAATTCTATACCTAACAAAAATATGTGTTAAGAGTGAAGGAGTAATAAAGATATTCTCAATCCAGGAAAGCTAAAAATTTGTCTCCAGTAGATCTGTCCTAAAGAGGTACTAAAGGAAGTTCTTTAGGGGAAGGAAAACGAGAGCAGAGACAAATCTGGGTTTCAGAAATGAAGAAAGAGCAATAGAAATGGTAAATATCCAAGGATTCTGGCCTCCCAGATGGAGCAGGGGTTAAAGTCTCAGCACTATCAATTTATTGCCAGCCACGGTGGCATGAGTTTCATCTCCAGCCAAGGAGCAACCCACATGGTGCAGCAGACCTCTCCTGTCTCGCCCGCTGCTCCCCTCAGTAGATCTGCCTGTTCTGCTCTCCATTCTGTTTCTGGTAAATCCTCTCACTCCCCACTTCTCTGGTCTACACCCCAGTTCTTCTATGTAAAAATAAATAAATAAATCTTTCAAATAAATAAATAAATAAACAATCCATGAATTCAAGAGGAACCCTCTCAAGGGAAATTAAAAAATATTTTGAACTGAATGAAAATTAGAATTGCAACATATTTAATTTTGTGGAATGCAGCTAAATCAGTGACTACTAGGAAATTGATAATACTGCATTCTATATTAGAAAAGAACTAAAAAAACATTCCAATTTAAGAAAGTGGAGCAAACTATAATCAAAGCAAGAAGAAATGAAGGAAATAAAAAGAGGCAAGATGAATGAAATTAAAAACATAGTAGATAAAAATCAATGAAACAAAAAAAATGGCTTTTCAAAATAGCAATGAAATTGATAAACCTTTAGCTGAACTGATCAAGAAATAAAGGAAAAGAGACATCAATTACCGATACTAGAAACACAAGATGGGATATCCCTAGAGACCCCACAGAGGCTAAAGGAATAAGAAGACACTGTGGACACTTAATGTTCATGAATTCAACTTGGATGAAATGGGCCAATATCCTCACAGACACAAACTACAAAAATTCATTCAAAAGGAAACAAACTCTTGATGATCCTGTAATTATTAAAGTAATTGGCTTTAAAGTTAAAATCCTCCCCACAAAGGAAACTGCAGGACCTGATAATTTCACTGGTGAAGTCTATCAAATATTTAAGGAAGCAAGAATGCCAACTCTGTGTAATACATAAAACAGAAGGGAACGCTTCCCAACTGATCAATCATTCCCAACTATGTTAAAAAGAGAATAAAACAATGATGGAATCGCCTAACAAGCTGCCATCTGATTGAGACAAATCACCACGATCAGGCTGCCCCTCCGCTGTCTTATCGCTCTCCCCAAATTATATCAGCATCTTTTCAGGAGGTGCAAGTTTTCATTGAACACAGTTGAGAATTCAGAATTCTGACTTCAAGCCCACATGGCAAAGGGAAGACTGAGCGAGGAAGGTGTTTCGGACAGATCAGATAAACCAGAAGGCGAAGGCGCAGTGAGAGCACACACTGGATCCCAGTGCTGAGGGGGAAACTGGTCAGATAAGCGGATTCTCTGGAGGAATGAAAGCTCTCCCTCTAAGGACAAAAAAGAAATTTGGCATTTTCAACCAGCCAATCGTTCAACAGGAAAGACTTGATCACACGATGTTTTGTAACAAGATGCTGGACCATCTAATTTTGCTCAAAGGGCACATGACAGGACTCTCATCTTTCACGATGCCCGCACACTAAAATGTACTTAATGTGGGTCATGGGTGAATAAATGGACATGGTGGGCATGTCTTAAACAGGTGACTGGAAGGGAATCAATGACGCAGACATGAAATGTGTCACTGGACCGATCATCCTAATTTACACATCTGCAAATAGAAACCATTTGTAATTACGAAGTTATGAATCCTCAAAGTTTTCAAAAATATTGCGTTTTGATGATGCATGTGGAAAGTGAAGGCCAGAAGACAGAGGGTGCCAACTGGAGGCGGTGGGATGGCTCCAGCTTGGCAGGTGGAGAAGAGGGAGGCCAGGGACCAGGAGGAGGCAAACTCTGGGCAGAAGACGAGGTCCTCCCCCCAGGCCCTGAGTTCAAGTCCCTGCTCCACTCCCCCCGCCCACCACCACTTGTCCTTCTGGATAGGTCTTTAACTTTCTCTAAGTCCCAGTTCCTTCATCTGGAAAGCCCGGTGGTAATGCCGGCTTGCAGGGCTGTTGAGCACTAGGGAACCGTCACCTGGAGGCACAGGCCTGGGTGCGGCCGCTGACTGGTTTTCCACAGCAGTGCCTGGGTGGTGCCCGGGAGCTGCCCCTCAGCCAGACCCCTGGAGCCCACGCTCAGTCTCCCAGGGCTCCAGCCTGCCCTCATCTATGTTCATCCTCTAGCCTGAGCTGCTGAGGGAGCTTTCTACAGCACCCCTCATGCCACAGCACAAGACCCTTCACAGCCAGCCCATCTGCCTTTCCAGGCCCTCCCTCCCAGCAGGCTCCCCCTAGAAGATGCGTTTGCTCAGTGCTCCCACTTCTGCGGTTTTGCAAATGCTCTTCCCTGGCCTCGAATCACCACCCCAGCAACTTGCACCTGACAAACTCCTACTCGCACCTCGAGATCCAGCTCAAATAACCCACAGTTCCTGAGCATCCGAGGGGGCTTAGCCTCCCTGTGCCGCCTCGGTCTTGCTTCCATTTCAGTGTCACCATTTTTTTTACCTTCCCCACCTTTGATCATGAGAGTTCACCTTACTCAGCTGTGCACCACCCAGGCCTGGGCAACGTCTAGCCCCAAGGGACCCTCAGGAAGCATCTGATGAGTGAGTGGATCAATTCAGAGACGTCTGAGTCATCTGCAGGGAAGACTGTGCTTCATGATTGAGATTTTCCATTCTGCATACATTCTCGCGAAACTTCTTTCAAGAGGATTTTTTTTGGGGGGGGGGGTTGTGTTAATGTTAAGCAATCAAGTCTCATATTATGGCTCCTGGGGACCTGAACAATTGGAAGCAGGTGTCCGACTCACATGTAAAGGATCGTTTCGCTCAGAGAGAGACAATAGTCATTTCTTGGTTTTTCTTTCTTTCTTTTAGACACAAAATAAAACCAGTGAATGTGGGGGCGGGTGGGTTTGAGTGCAAGGTCAGGGGGCCTGCGCGCCTCGCCAAGTCTCACACAGTCTTACCTAGTGACAGGGCTTCTGGGACTCCCCTCTCTGGGAAGAGGTGTCTGTCTGGAGCCCCGAGGACCGTGCAAACCTCAGTGCCAGCAGCCTGTGTATGCCAGCACCGCGCCGATCGCCAGGGCGGCAACACCGCCATGCACAGTACTGCTCCCCAAACACCCCGGCACAGGCAGCTCCAGGTCTGTGGCACCTCCTTCACCCCTCCCCGCTAGCATTCAGCGCATCTTGGTGGGGAGCCGCCTGCCACAGGACGGGGCTGGAGGGGAGGCCCTGGCAGCGCGCTCCGACCTGGAGGGCCAAGGGCTGGACGCCCAGGTCCTCCTCCCTGCGAGGCGGGTTCGGGGCGGGCTGGTACGGGGCGCAGTGCTGCCAGGGAAAGGCCCGGAAGGGGCCCTTGCATCTCCTAAGGCAACCGGGCACGGAGCCCAGATTGAGAAAAGCAACAATCTGTGAACACAGGTGCGGACTCATGTGCGCGGCAGAGACGGACAGGGCGCAGCTCCCGCCGGGGGTCTCGCTGCGTCCGAGGCTCCCCTGCAACGCCGCGTCCGGGCCTGGAGGAGCTCGAGTGCCCTGGCCGGCGACTGCGGGAGGGCACCTTAGGGGGGGCATGGCTCAGTGGCGCCGCGGGAGCCCAAGGGGCGCGGACACTGAGTAACACCAACGTAGCTGAGCCCAGATTCATCCAAAACCAAAATCCCCACTCCCCGCGCACGCTCACGGGCAGAGGCACAGGATGCGGCTCCCCGGCGGCGGGTCAGCCGGCTCCCGGTCCCGTCTCCACACTGAGCTAGCCCCGCATGGGCACGGGTGCCCCCATCTCCCTGGGGGGCCCGGCGGGTGCGAGGGACCCTGGCGGGGGCAGCTGGGCACCTCCTTACCTGACGAGTCTTTGGGGGGCGTCCTCTGCTCTGGAGGGTGGCCTCTTCTCACACAGGCCCCGAAATTCCCGGAAGTTGAGCGTGACGCTGAGCCGCAGGCCCAGGAGGCTGAGGAAGCGCTCGAACTCGCGGTCCCTGAGGTTGAGCAGCATGAGCTGCAGCAGCCGGCGGAAGTCCAGCATGTTGATGATGCCGTTCCGGTCGGTGTCCACCTTGAAGAAGGCGGAGTAGGGGTTCTGCAAGCGAGACGCCTCGTCAGGTGCCGCCCCGGGACAGGCAGCGGCTCGGTGGCACTGCTGAGCTTTCAGGGGATCCTGCTGGCCCAAGAATGTCCTGGCCCGCCGGTGCCCTCTTTGTGGAGCCCTCAGGACAAACGTGGAGCGCTCAGGACAAAGGACAGAAAAGGTGCGTCTTCCCCTTTACTCTGTTTATGGTACCAGGCGCTGCCCACGCCAGAAGCGAGAGAGGGTGTGCCCGGGCTTCCCAGCACAGAGAAAACCCACGCAGGTCTCCTGGCAGGTTGGAGGGCCATAGGGAGAACTGAGGGCTGAGAGGCCAGCACGTGGGCCGGGTCGCGGGGCCCAGGGGCCCAGCAGCCATCCAGGCGAGGAACGGAGTGTGCAAAGTCAGGGAGACGAGGGAGGGGTTAGCCAGAGTGTGGGCGAGGACGGGGCCAAGCTGCCGCTGGAGAGGAGGGCCACGTGGGCAGCGAGTCTGCGGGCCATCAGGCTGGGCAGGGCTGGCCCTGAGGGCGAGGCGGGGGCAGCTCAGGGCGCCTGCTCTGGGGCAGAGGTCCATGGGGGATTGCGGAGAGAACGTGCAAACGCAGGGACGTGCGTCAACGATCCCGCCGGGGGGGCTATTATCAAGCAGTGTTTGATTTCAGGAATACACGCCAACCCTGGACACATGCCCGAACCTGCAGAGACACGGCTAGAGGGCCCCGGCCCAGGGAGAAGTCACAGGAACCGCAGGGCACCTGCCCAGGTCACCCCGGGGGCTGTGCCTGCACCCTCTGTGGTCGGGAGGAAGGGCCTCGGTCGTCATAACCACTTCCCGCCCAGGGAGGGGCCAGGCCCGGGCTGTCAGGGTGTGGCCCACTCTCGACAGCATGTTCTCCGTGTCCCCTACAGCCTCTGCACGTGGCCCTGACTCCAGCCTCCTCCAGGCTGAGCTGCGGCTTCTCCCTAACGCCCACCACCGGAAGGCACTCTGGGGCCAAGTCCCTGCTCCCACTGCTGATGTCCTTTTTCTAGCCAGACACGCTGAGGGCCTGAGATTCAGTTCCAGGGTCACCTCCTCCAGGCTCCTTACAGGGGCCTGTTCGCAGTGCCCCACCGCGCACGTGGTCCTCTCTGCCACAGCAGCCTCCAGGTGCACCAGCGCCTGCCCCCTGGGCTGCGGACTGGACTGAGCCACCTGGGCCGGCTGGATCCCTCCTCTCCACACTCAGTGGAGATCCCAGCACAGAGTGTGTGATACGCATCTGGTGAGGGAGCTTGTGGAGTGGATAGAACAGACACAGCCTATGACGCAGGCTGCCGTGCACCTTCCCCCTGCTGGGGGAAGGACACCCTGCCCTCCAGGGCCTTCCAGGGGCAGAGGGCGGACCCAGAAAGGTATCAGGCACTGGGGGAGGGCGGGCGGGACAGCAGAGCCCAGCACCCCCTCCCGGGCAAGCGCCTGGGTCTGTGGAGGGGAGCAGGGCAAGGCCAGGGCAGGCTCCAGGGGCCTCACCCAGGAGGCTCGGGGGCTGGCATGGGGACAGGGCCGCACTGGCCAAGCACAGGTGCAATGAATTTACCCTGAAGGAGTCTTTCAGTTTCTGAGGGAAAAGCCTCTGGCATTCCTCGGCAGTTATAAAGAATCTCTCGGGAGTCCGAGGAGCCGCTTCTGGCCCACTCATTTTAGCCTCGGGAGTCCGAGGAGCCGCTTCTGGCCCACTCATTTTAGCCTCTGAAACTGACAGACCAGAAGACTCCATTAGCGACAGGAACCCCCTCTGCTTCGACACTGAGTTCTTCATGTCCCCGGGGCCCGCAGGTCTCAGGGCTCACAGACAGCACAGCCGGGCCCAGGCCTGGCAGGTTCGAGCCCAGCTGGTTAGTGTGTCAAGCCCTCGCCCCGAAACCAGGCAGGAGGAGCAGCTGCCACTTAAACACCGGTCCACCGCCTCGGGCTGGGGTGGGGGTGGGGGCGGGGAGCACCTGTGCCGCGCCAGGCCGAAACCCCGGGACTTGATTTGAGAGCTAGAGCCAGGCGCGTCACCACCACACCTGGGGTGTCTGCAGGACGGCGACGGCCAGGCACCTGGGCCCAGTCTGGGACCCTGCTTTTGCCCAGTACCCCTCACCCCGCCCACCACGGCAGCCGGGCCTGGCGTGGACCCCGTCAGCTCCTATGCCTGGCAGGCCACGGCCCACCCTACTGGAGGCTCCCTGGCCATGCCAAGCCCAGGCCTCAGGCTCGGGGCAGCCAGGACCTCTGCTGGCAAGAGAGTCCAGCAGGGGAGACAGATGGAGGAGGAAGTGAGGCGAGAGGGCAGGGAGGACCCCACCGGCAGCCCCTGCTCCTCAGGCGAGGACCTCCTCACCCCGGCCCCTCTCCTCACCCGGCACTCCCTGGAATGAGTGTGCCTTCCTCCCCTTCTCTGTTTTCCTTCAGTTAACACACACACACACACACACACAAAGTGTCTCGATTCTAAAATGCTGCGGCTCTCCAGTCGCCCGGCCCCAGCGCGGGACCTCTCCCTCGGGTTTGCAAAGGAAAATCTGGGGGTGGGGGCAGTGCTGGATGGGACCAGAAACTCCGCAGCACTCCCAGGCCCAGGCCTGACTGGGGAGGGCGGCAAGAGGCAATCGGGACTCCCGGGCTCCCCACCAGCCCGCAGGGCACTCGTGGGTGCAGCTGCCAGCTGGCTCTGCCCACCAGGAGGACGACCGGCTGCCGACAGCTTTTGCACGCGAGAAGGCACGGGAGCCGAGAGATGCCGCGGGCGGGAGGCTGGGTACACGGTGCCCACCGGGCCCTTCCCACCGGGCGAGGAGAGGGGAGGGATGGAGGCTGGGCCATCTGGGACGGAGCCTTTCAGGGCCTCCGTGTCCTCCTCTGCAGAAGCCGGGGAGGGAGGGCAGGGGGCGGACACCTGCCTTGCGGTGCCTGGGGAGGCCAAGTACCGGTAACCAGCATCTCGTGCTGGGGGGGCCTGAGAGGCCCCGAGGAGTGACGGAAGGAGCAGAGGCTTTGGGATAAATTTCACACCTGGTTCGTCTCTAAGTCTGTGGAAGGTTGTGTCTGGCAAAGCCTGCACTCACAGTTCAATTTAAGTCGGTGAAAAGGCAGAGACAGAAAAATCAGTGACTGTGTCCACTCCAGGGTCAGGACACTCACGATCAGTGTGAACAGCTCTGGGGTCAGCACACTCACAATCCGCGTGAATGTCTCCAGGGTCAGCACGCACGCACACACACACACAAACGCGCGCGGTGTGACTGTCTCCAGGGTTCACACACACACACACACACACACACACACACCCCCGTGTGAGCTTCCCAGAGTGAGCTTCCCAGCTTGGGTGGCCCAGCAGCCTCACTGCCCTGCTAGGAAGGTGGCGCCACCGGGAGGCGTGCCTGCAGGGTGTGCCCGGGGCGATTAGCTACCTTGGAATCCTGTAGTAAAATCATTATAACTCATCCCTTCTGGGCCAAATCCTATTTTTTTGATCAGCAGAGCGTACTGGTCGTTATCCATGGCCATCCCGTTATCTGCCAGTACCTGGCAAGGAAGACAAGCGAGGGAGAGGCGATTAGGCTGCCCTGGGGTCCCTGCAGGCAACCCCCCCCGCAGCCCACCAATGCTCCCCAGCAGTGCTCCCCAGCAGCGCACCCCAACAGCACTCCCCGCCAGCCCATGCTCCAGCCTCTGATTGTTACCCACCTGCCCGCTCCCCCCGACCCCACAGGCTCCCAGGGCAGGGCCTGTCCTAGGCCCTGCGTCCCAGGGTTGTTTGTGAGCAAGTGAGTGAACAGAGGCCCAGTGTGGGCTCCCTCACGGCTCCTGGAGTCACAGCCAACACTGCAAACCTTTAAACGGCAGCGCCATCAAGGTGCCCGCGTTCACACTGCAGTGCGTGCAGCGGCCGTCGAGCTGCCGCAGTCAGATGGATTCTCGCTCACGCTCCAGGGAGCAGGCAGACTAAGGCAAGGCGCTTTGAGCGGGGAAACTAAAATTTTGATCATAGCTTCACTATGGTCCATAGTTTAAATCTCAAGGTACCGTAGTTTTTGGGAGAGCAAGGGGGACTCGGGGGGCATCCACGGATACCCCTTTCTTCTCCTCCCCTCATGCTAGTCCACTCTCTGAAACTAGCCCACAATCCCTTCACCCCCCACCCAGAACCCGCTACTTGCAGCTTCTGTGTGTGTGTGCACACACGTGTGTGCCCGTGTGAGGGGCGAAAGGGGAGAGACTGAAAAAAAACACTCACTTCACCACCCAAAACTACTATTTACAAACAGCTCCTATGTGTGCACGTGCCTGTGTGTGTGCGTGGAGCGGGGCACGGAGGCAGAGTGAGGTCTCTGCACTGCACACTCATCTAGACTATTCTCCCTTCCCAGGAGAAACCGATGGCCTGGATGGGCAATGCCAGCATCAGAGGGCAAACGAGACAGAGCTACCTGGCAGGAGGCGATCCCCACAGAAGGGGAGACAGAGGCAGGCCGGCAGAGCCATCCCTGCTGCTCCCCAAGCAGTCCCCTTTCAGAAAAGGACACAGCCTCAGTTCAAAATGTGTCTGTCTAGCGGGGTGGAAGCTACTCTGGACGACGGAGCCCGCCAGATAGGTGGAGAAGGCAGTCTGGAGGGCCAGTGTGCAGACAGGCTTGAGGAACGGGGGTGCGTATGTCTGGACGGGCCAGGGGCATGCGTCAGGGCTCTGATGCACAGGAAGTAAGAGCACACTAGAGAGCAAAGGCACGACAGAGTCGGCCTCCCTGCCTACAGCCCGTGCAGGAAGCTGAATGGGGGAAAGAGCATGGTTGTACTCATCAGCGCTGTCATCACTGTCCCCACCATCACAACCGCCACCATCATCATCACCACCATCATCACAGCCATCATTATCACAACCGCCACCACCATCACCACCATCATCACAGCCATCATTATCACAACCGCCACCATCATCATCACCACCATCATCACAGCCATCATTATCACAACCGCCACCACCATCACCACCACCTGGCAGCAATGCTTATCACCTGTCTCGTTCCAGCCGTTGTGCTGAGTTCTTTACAGACGTCACGCAGCCTCATTTGATCCTCCTCATAAGCCTAAGAAGGGCTTCCTTACTAACCTATTTTTAAAGATGCGAAAACTGAGGTTTAGCGAGTCGAGGTGACTTGCCCTGGTCACATGGCTAGGCGGCGACAGACTTGGGGCTCAAAGCCAGCTCTTATTAAGCACGATGATGACTGGCTTATCGCATCTGCACGGCCAGTCCTCTGGCCCTGGCCTGGGTCTGCCTTGTGACTGTGAGCTGAAGTAAGTACACAAGCTACGGGAAGCCAGGAGGGCAACAAGGGGCGGGAAGGCAGGGGCGTGCTGCCTGGGAGCCAGGGGCGCGGTGCTGATGCCAGGGCGAGCCTGGGGACTCCTGCAAGCAGCTGGTGCCTGGGAATTCTGAAGGCTGACAGCCCGGTGCCATCTGCACGTGCACTGTCCCAGCTCCATAGAGGAGCCTGTCCCGGCAGGGCTGGTTCGAGTGTTTAGCCAGAAAGCTGCAGCCCCCAACAGTGCCCCAGCAGCACTGGGCCTCTGGTAAGGACAGGTTGCTTTCTGAGAAAAATAACTTGGTGTTTTGAAAACAATTGCCCATGAATTAGTCATTGCCACTTCCTCCGGCTCAGTCCTTTCTTTAAAGCACAGGGAAAGGCTAGGAAGCTCAGGCCTGGAGGGCCTGCAGAGGACACCCTGGAGAGGACAGCTTCCCAGAGGCGCTCGCGTCTCACAAACACAAAGTCCCTGCTGCCACCAGGCCGCTCACCACTAAGGGCACTCGGCAGCCTGTCAGCAACCGAGTCATGGTCCTCGGAGCAATTTACAGCTTGGGAAGGCGAAGCTGCAGCATTTGTGACACAGGCTTAAAGTGTTTAGCAGCTCCAGTCACAGCCCTTGGTCTCTCCCAGGAGGTGTTTCCCTAAGTTCCTCGAGAGTCTTGAACTGTGGTTTGGCATATTCTGATTCCGCCAGCCGGGACCCAGATAGTCACGGCAGAGTCCCAAGTCCCAAATGTCACTGACAAGGAGAGGCCAGAGGGCCGGAAGGTGCCGGCGCTGTTCAGAGTGGCTTTCACACGTCGGCTTGTTTACACCTCATACAACTCCTCAACCGATGCGGCGCGTCCACACCGCGGACTCTGAGCCCAGGGCTCAGGGATGATGGGAAAGACACAGCTGCCGGTGGTGCGGGAGGATGCCAACGGTGTCCGCCTGATGTCACAAGCCCACTGGGAGGGCCTGGAGGCCGTGGGCTTCAACCTCACTGATGACACGGGGGAGCCTGAAGCTGGACACCAGCATAGCCCAGGGCGCACGTGAGCAGCGAGAGACTCTCAAATTGCCGCTGGTGTGGCTGCCCGGGATGCTTGGCGTTGGCTCTGGACTCAAAGTTACGACTCAGGCTCAACAAATCGCGGGCTCTTCTGACAGCTCTCAAGCACGGGGCCATGCAAGCCAGGCCCAGTCAGGCTGGGCATCTGTAGGGGGCCCTGTGGGACTCGGCTGGGGCATTCACCCGGGTCTGCTGAGGTTGGGGGATCCGTGAGTCAGCTACCTCATGACCAACCATCGAAAATGTGGTGACAGACAACAGGACAAGCACCGATTCTCACACTCATGGTCTACAGGATGGGTGGGGTCTGCTGACATAAAATGGACTTGGCGGCGTGTTTCTGGTTCAGGCAGAGGGTGGATGGGCTGGCTCCCAGCTGCAGGCCGGGGTTAGGCCAGTTCCATGAGCATTTAAGTCTAGAGACCAAACTGAGGGGACAGCAGCTGGCCCAGCAGCAGACCACTGGAGCACAAGACCCAGCAGACCACACAAGTGGACTTCAGCTGGGTCCGAGGCGCAAGTCTCCTTGGCCACGTTCCACGTCACAGAAAGCCACATGACCCAGGCCAGCATCATGGGGTCACCAAGTGGGAGCAAGGGAGGAGCCAGAGCATGAGCACTGAGGTGCTTGCCGGCTCTCTGAATCTATGGAATTCTGTAAATTTGGGGGTGATGTTGTGAGCACTAGAAACACACCAGAATCCCCATGGACTCCCCTGCCCCGACCTAGAAACTTCTAGTGCTCAAGCTAGGTCTGGTTGGTGCACCTGATCTCATCTCGCCTGGTCGTTGTGACAGTACTGCACGCATTTCCAGAACAATCCTCCCTCCAGTCTTAGCAGCCCACTCTGGACCTTCAAGACAGACCACGACCACCGACCTAGAACGCAGTGAGGCTTTCCCTTTCCTCTTTCCCTGCAGACATGATGACGACAGTGGAAATGGATGGCAGTCGTGCCGTGCCTTAGTTGTTTGGTTGTTTTTCAATGTACTGTTCCCAGAGACCCCAACAAGACCGACACTGAGCTGAGCTAACAGAAGGACAAGATGTTGAACCTCCATGCAACCTTCACGATTGTGAAATGAGACAGTCTCGGTCTGAGAACAAAAGGTAAGGTGCTCGAGGGGAGGGTCCGATAGAACAAGTGCATTGACCAGACTTGTTTAATTTCAGAGGCAAACACCCCAAATTTCGCCCATTTGCCCTCGTGCAAGATCTTAGTGTGTGCCTGGGCAGATGGACCCAGCCCTTCAGTAACAAAGTGTGAAGACTCTACATTTCAAGAGCAGATAGGTTTTCAGGACAGAAAGCTAGCCAAGTCCAATGATGATCCCAGTAACACAGGGAAGGGAGGGTAACTGGACAATGTTGATAATGGGAAAATAGAAACCTGGCCTGAGACTATGTGAAAATGTAAAACGACAGAAAAATGAGGGAAGATCTAGTTTACAAAACATAAAGACCCAGGTGCCTTGATACAGAAAGAGCTGCCCAGACCGGGGGAATGAAGTGAGAATTCTGAGTCAGTCCCAGGACAAAGAGGAGGTCATCAGGGACAGAGGCTCACTCGGTGGGATACATGGACGTGCTCCCTCTTACCCCACATGCAGTAATGAATTCCAAAATGAATTAAGCATTCACATTAAAATACAAAACAATAAAAATTATTGCAAGAAAATCTAGATACCTGTGAAATATGGGAAGGGGACACGGGGGCAGAAAGGAACGACACCTTATTAACCAAGGCTACAAACCCCGAATTTATTCTTAAAAAGAAGAAAAAGGAAGAAAGGAAGATCAACATAGTTAGTTGAACAAAAGCGGAAAAGATTTCAGTGTCTGCAGAAGTAGAACTGAGTTGGTGCAAATGGGGCTGAGAGGGTCAAGGCAGGGTCAGGGACGAGAGATACAGAGGATCTGGGGGACACAGCCCCAGGGGTCAGAACGCAGAGGAGGGAGAAACCAGGATTCCTGGGTTTCTTATGAAAGCAGGATAAACAATGACGTCTGTCGTAAGCCAATAATCCTTCCAAATTGACAAGAGGACAAAGGATGTAAATAGGCAACTCACTAAAGAACAAATTGTTATGGCCAAAAATAAATAAAGAAAAAGGAAAGGGAAGAATAAATTCCCTACTAGGATTCAGGGAAATGAATGCAAATGAAAGTTAAAGTGAGCTATCACTGTAAAACAATCAGACCAGCAAAAATTTAAGAGTTAGAATGTCTTTTGGTAACGGGTGAGAGAAGAAGCTCCTCTCACACATGGATAGAAATATTCCCAGGAAAATGAATTACTCTCGTCTTTTTTAATAAAGCAAACAGGCAACACGTGCAAAAGTAGAACAATAATGTCTTAGTCTAAGTGATCCAACTCCTGGGAATCCATCCCTTCGATATAACAGCATCAGCATGCACAGACACATAGGAGATGCAGTTTAAAAGGAAAAAAGAAGTGAATGCCCATCAAAAAAGAGAGGGCTGATGTTCACTGGAGCACTGATCTAGGCTTGCCCTAAAAACAAATAGAAGCATTGTTTCAGGGAATTGAGAGCTGCTAAGGCCATGAGTACTCAAAGGGACAGAAGTCTGCAGAGGAGGGGACCTGGGAACCCAGAGGAGAGGTGAGTCCCTCACTGGTCTGGGAGCCAGGAAAGAGGTCTAGGGTTGGAGTGGACACCTAGGCAGATGGTCACCACCAATAGGAAAAGAAACAAGTGGAGCTAATGAGGAGCTTGCAGCAATGCAGAGACCAAGGGCACAGACAAGCAGCTAGATCCCTCAGAGAAGGGAGAGCAGGGAACTGAGCCGACACTGCCAGAGTTCCTGAAGACTCTGGCTGGATCCTGAGGCTATAAGGGGCAGAAGAGTGAAAATGCAGACAAAGACTAGTACAGCACAAGGGACTGTCTGTTTGTTTGTTGCCTTGTGGTCCTGAGGAAGCAAAGGTTAGAGTTCAGAATTTCTCAGGGGCAGGGGCTCAGAGTTTGAAACTTGGCACCCTGCATCCTAGAAACAGGAGTAACAAAACAAAACAAAAAGCAAATGAAACTTTGAGAAACTGCATTCTGGCCTCAAATTAACTCCATCCCTAACTGGATTAAGGCTACCACACCCCACTCTGCCCAGCAAAGGAAAGGGTGACCCATTTTCTAGAGCCTCTCAATTTTCTTAACACAATATCTGGCATTCAGTAAACTGATAGAAGCCATAAGTAAAGCAACAAACAACAGGAAAATATCTACAGGTGATCCAGAAGTTAGCAGAAAAAAGATTTTTTAAATATCTATGAATACATTTCAAGAAAATACAGGAGCATTTGGACAGCAAAAGAAAAGACAGGTATATTGGAATGTATTGACAATAATCAAATGGACATTCCACACATCAAAGAATATATGACACTAAAATTAGGAACTATATGAAAACCACCAACCACAGATTAGAAAACGCAGCACACAGATCACTGAACAAGAAGAGGTCAATGGAAAATACTGGGGCTGAAGTGCAGGCAAGAAAGGATCAACAGAGCACAAGAGACTGGAAGAGACCAGTGGAGCCCATGAACATAATTGGAGTTCAAGAAGGACGGTGAGGATGGGGCATAAGGGAAGGAAGAGATAATAGCTGAGATTTCTTTCACAAAGATTTTTAATTATACATGGCAACCTACAGATTCAAGAGAAGCTGCAGAGCCCACAGGAGGCACGCATGTAAAGGCACATCTAGACACAGCCGGTGAAACGGATGCATCCAAAGGCAGAAAGGAAACTCTCAAACATGGCTAAAGAACAAAAAACAGACACACTGCACTCAAATAGGCAACAATAAGACCGATGGTTTATTTATCAACAGAACTGACAGAAGCCATAATGCAATGAAGTATGACCTGGAACCTGAAAGAAAATAATTGCCAACCTAAAATGCTATCCCCTGCTAAAATATCTTTACAAAGTAAGAGTGGATTTCTGCTCCCAGGTTCAATGTGCAAGGAGCTCAGAAGTCATAACTTCCACTGGTGCCATAAGAAAAAAGCTGAACAAACTGAAAACCAAAGACTTTTTTAGAGTTGTGGAGGACTCTGGATTCTGGAAAAAGAGGTGGACACAGAGAATCACAGCCAGGACTAGTTTACCTAGAGCAGAGGCACAGTTGCCATTCTGACAAATTGCTGCAGGCTGCACGAAGATTAGCCGGGAAGGAGGAACTCCTGGGGCCTGTCTTTGGGCGGAGCATACCTTTACCACCAGGAACACTGCCAGCTTCTCAAGGTGACTGTTTCAAGAAAATTCCCCTTGTGTGTGTCAGGCAAACGAAGCCCAAAATAAGTAGCTGTAAGTAAGTACAAGAAATAATAAGGGTAAGAGCAGAAACCAATGAAATGTGGAAAAACAGTAGAGAAAATCAATGGAACCACAGTTTATTTCTAAAAAGATCAATAAAAGTGAAAAATCTCTAGCTAGACTATTCAAGAGCAGAGAGAAAAGACTAAGAATATTACCAATATTATGAATGAAAATGGAATCACATAGGCATTTAAAGGATAATGAGGCATGAGTCTATATTGATATAAATAAAATAGAGAAGGAGAGACAAATTTTCTAAGGAGGAGAATTCTAAATAATCTATGTTGATATTCTGCCCTTTCAAAGAGAGGACCAGGTTCATGCCCTACGTGTGGACTGTGTGAGGAGACTTTGCCCACCTCTGAGTACGCAAAGAAAGAGGGAAGAAAAGTGACCTGGTGGTGAGCTGCTCCCCAGACACGCCTCATTGGGTGAGCAAGGTCAGTGCCACGGTAAAGGGTCGTGTTTGTGATGTGTGGCCCCACAGGACAGGAGGGGATGGGCCCTTTACCTCTGAGGTCTTTCTCCCCAAAACACATGACCTCAGTCTAATCCTGGGGAAAATATTTGACAAGTCTCAATTGAGGGACAATTTACAAAATATCTACCTCTCATAAGAGTCAAGGTCATCAAAAGTGAGGGAATTCTGAGAGCCTGTACTGCCCAGAGGGTCTCAGGAGACACCATGCCGTGTGGGGCCCAGGCTGGGGTCCTGGACAGAGAAGGATGTGGGGTAGAAACTAAGGGGACCTGATGAACTGTGCACATTCCAAGAGTTCCTTAAAAACCATAAAGGGAGGGATTTTTGCAGACTACAAATGACTCCAGATGCAAACACAGAAACTAAGATGGGAGAGAGACTGTGGGGTAAACATGCAGTTACCCGTGACTGTTGATTCACTTTGAAAACTAATCGTCGTGTCTTTGGGGATTTAACATACCTGCAAAATTAAGACACAGGACAACAATAACAAGAGAGAGGAGGAGTAAATGAAACTGAAATATTTTTAACTCAAAATTGAAGTGTTTTAGATTGGAGCACTGTTAGGCGAGAGGCAAGCGTAATTTCCATTTGCCTCCATGCCATAAGACAAGGACACAGGCCACAACCCACTGTAATTTCAATAAAACTGACAGAAGGAGGGGAAGCAGAACACTAGCAAGAGTTGAATAACCTAAAAGAAGACAAGAAAGGACAGAAAGAGAATATGTGAGGCAGCTGGGTCAGAAAAGAAACATCAAGACGATGCTATAAAGCCTGATACTGGCAATTTAATACATAAGGGACAGGTACAGCCAGTAGAGGACGGAGGCTGGCACGTGACAGCTTGTGAGAAAGCAGTCACGTGCTGCCTGTCAGAGGGTGACTTTAAAGTAAACACCCAGAAGCCCGGAGGGGAAGGGTGGCGAGGGCAGACCACATGACCCTCACCAAACTGCCCAGGATCCATGCGCTCACCCAACAAACGGGCTGGCAGGCAAGTGGCGCTGCTTTGCTTTGCCTGTGGAGAGGCAAGTCACTGTGAGGAAGGAGACACTTCACAGGGAGTTTCAGCGATTTAAATCTGTGTGTCCCATAATTTAGCTCCAAAGTGAATAAAGCAAAAATCAACAGAACCAAAAAGGATCTCAGCAGACAAATCCACAGGCAGACGAGGAACCACCACCCTTCTCGTGAAGGCCAACGGGAGGAGCTGACAAAAATGTGGGGAGGGGCCTCCCTGGTGGCACAAGGGGTTAAGCACAGTGCTGTGAAGCTATCTGCAGCCACTACAGCACGAATTCGATCCCCAGGCAGCCAGGGAGCTACCCACACGGCGCAGCAGACCTCCCCTGACTCACCCGCTGCTCCCCTCAGCAGTGTATTTCAGTCAGTCTGCCTGTTCTTTTCTCCACTCTGGTGAATCCTCTCACCCCCCACACCTCTGGCCTGTACCCCAGTTCTTGTATGCATAAATAAATAAATCTTAAAAACAATGTGGGGAGAATACAGATGTCCCAAGAGCACGGTTAATAAAATCAACCCCCTCAAGATTTGGGGGGCTGGTCATCTGTGACGGCACGTTCTTCTCCAGTGCTCATGGAGCTTCTACCAAAATTGACTCCTGCTGCTCCATAATCCTAGTCTCTACAAGAGGAGTCATTTAGACTTTTAGACAATCTTCTCTGACTGCAGTGGAATCAACGTTATATCAATAACAGAAGATGGAGCAGAGAATCCCAACTGCTCGGAAATTAAACCATACACGTTCCAAATAAAGCAGGAACAAGGGGAAGGAAGAAATCAGAGGGACATGGTGCAAGATTCTGAAGCACGTGGTAATGAGAATATGCTCCAGTCGGGCCAGCCCTGTCCTCACTGGGCCACGCAGCCACCGACACGCACCCACGTGCACGGAGGCTGAAAAGCAGCTAACAACACTCTCTCTCAAGAAACTAGAAAAAGAAAAGCCAATTAAATAAATCCCAGCCGAGTGGAAGAAGAACGCAGTCCAGGTAACAGCAGGAACGAGGCAGGTAGCGCACGAGGCAATGACGACACATAAAGCTCGCGCCGCCTGTGCCTGCTGCTCCGAAAGTGCCCCTCACTGCCCCCTTATCTCTGTGTTGTCCCTCCTCACAAAAGTGACCACAACGCACAAGAAAGAGTTTTTTAAATATCTTCTTTTGCGAAAAGACACCCTAATTGAACTGGAGAAAACATCTGTGCATCTAACGCCAACGGGGCGCCGACATCCGAGCCCTACGGGAACTCAGCTGACTCCCGGCTGGAAAGCAGGCGCCGTCCTTGGCCTCGAGGATGCCCGCTCTGTGTCAGCCCTGGCCCGAGCCTTTCTGGACTCGACCCCTGCAGGCCCGCTGCCTGCTCACACAGCTCTGGGGTCCACACGCCTCTGGTTTGCTTTGCTTTGGGGAGGGGAGGCCGGGATCGCTCCACAGCCTCCAATCCTGCCTCACCACCCGCACGCCCTCCTCACCTCCCGATGCTCGGCCAGAGCCTGGAGGCGGAGGCTAAAGGGCCTGTTACTGCGCCGGGCGGGCGCAGGCTTGCAATGAAGAGCAGCTACCAGTATAACTATTCTCTTCTCGGAAATACATGCCACTGCCTTCTTCTAAACCGGCCCACGCAGACCACAGTGGCTGAAATACTTCCTTAAAAATAGCTGAAGATGATTAGCTGGAGGGATGACAATAGGAATTTTAAGCAATCATTTAAATTAATTCCTGAGAAGTCTGTGCAGAACCTTCGCGTTGAGTCCTTGCTGGCAGAACCTCACCAGCTCCCATAAGCACATGCAAACCGGCGCTCTGCGCCCGGCGGCTCGTACTGCCAGGGTTTCCTCACTTTCTGGAGGAACAAGGCGCAGCTCTGAGCAGAGCACCTGGGGCTCCTCGCCAGCTGCCTCTGAGCTTCTGTGCCCACCACGTTCTGCCCCAAGATGCGGGCCGGGTGCCCGGAAGGTCGGCAAGGCACCCGAGTGAGCGCATACACCAGGCCTCCGACAAATGCTTCGGTCCCCAAGCCAGCCACATCCTTATCAAAGGGCTTCTCCGACAAAGGTGATAAAGACAATTTTTGGCCAAAAGAATCCTTTCAGACGGTTGAAAGATGCCTAGAAGCGATCGTCCCTGCCCCGGAGCCAACGGTTACTGAAAACTGTCCCCCCAAGCAGGTTCGTACAATAAAACCAACCACTTCTGCAGGGACGAAAGCTGCCAGGGGTGCGGCCCTACCTTCCTGAAGTCCAGAGCGCTGATCTTGCCGTCAGGCTCCTTGCTAAAGTCCAGAAACCGCTTTCTGAGTGCTGGGTCCTGCTGCTGGACGCAGGCCTTGAGCCTTTCCATCACTTGATCCTTGGTCATGGTCTTGGTGGAGGTGCTCTCCTCAGCGGGCGCGGCTCTGCAATTCCAAGCGGGCATTAGACCAGCACACGCCCCCAGGACAGGGCCTCACAGCCTGCCCTGCGTGAGCCGGAAAGTGCTCAGGGCAATGGCGTGACGGGGCGGGGGTTTGCACCACCCAGGCTGGTACTTTCAGCTGTGCTCAGAGCTGGCGAGGGTGGTGGAGCCCACCAGGCAGACACAGCCAAGAGGGGGCATTTTCCTGAACTGGGAACGCAAGAAGTCAGAGCCCATTCTCAAGCGTGAAGCTCAGCGGGCTGTTTTGTGGGAACTAGATTAGGGGAGTCATCAAACCCTGGAACGAGGGGAAGGCTGCAGCGATGCACAAAGTCCACTGCACCATGCAGCGTAATCACACATGGTGGGCGGGCGTGTCGCGGGGGACAGGGGAGACAGCTGCTTCCTTGGGTGTCCACCCTGGGGCTGCGCTTTGGGGGGACATCAGCCACCTGATCTCCTGGAGGGTGACTTCGCCCACTCTCCTCCTCTCGGGGTGCTACGGGAATGCCCACATTTTGTGAAAAGCTCAACTGCCTTGACTTCTTTCACTGATTTTAAGACACAGACCTGTCTGCTCACAGAACGTGCAACCTTGCTCTTTCAACACCATCTTTCTGCCCATTTATAAAATAGCTACTACTGAAATGCCCGATATTCAAATTTCATTAGCATACCATTAAAATACTCCTATCCTTGACACTTATGAATGTTTTAAGGGCACATGGCAAAGCGCGGTCTCCCGCCTCCTTCCACGCTTTCCCTTTCCTTGTGGATTTATATAAGCCATGAACAGGCAAGTTACAATAATATCTTTTCATTAGCCTAAACCTATATTTTTCAAAATGAAGAAGGACAAGAATATTCATCAGTCCAATTTTTAATAGACTCACTGAGTATGCTTTATTGTCACAATTCAATTTGGCAATCATTTTAATAATTCTATCATTCATGTTAGAAAATGTTAAGCGGTTTAATGGGTGTATTTTGCAGTGGTGAGGAATCCAAGTTTCTGGGAAAGAATGAACGTGAGAGTGGGTGTGTAACAGCCGAGGGGCAGACAGGTTCTCTGGGGGCCCAGCACCCCAGCATCCGGCCCGACAGCCAGCCGTAGGTGAACACCCCAGGCCGGTCCCAAGGCCGCTCAGGTGTCCTTGCTTCATTTCTAGAATTAACAGGTCAAGGCACTAATCCCTAAGCACTCCGCTTGCTCTAAGAGTCCCTGACTCTAATCACTGTATTTATAGCTTGCCATCTTTCTTATTTAAATAATAAAATATTAAAATACTCATTTAGTCAACAAATATTTACTAACGATCTATTCCTCTGTGGGTGCTGTGGTTTAACCTTGATTTCTCTTACCCTGCAGAAAGATCTGGCTGCGGCTGCTCCTCCAGGGGACGGAGCTCAGGAGAGATGGCGGCCGGGCTTGGAATCCCTATGTCGGCCAAGAACTGCTTGTAGAGGATCCTTCCCGAAGTCGGGTCCTGAGACTTGCTGCAGAGTCTGAATTTCAAAAATAATTGGCACACCCCCATTGGAATGGCTGAGATTTAAAAAAGGGCGGCCCCTCGGCGTGCTGGCCAGGGCTGGAGGGACTGCAACTCTCCCAGGAAGCCTGGGACGTGTGGGTGTGACGGCCTCGGCAGACAGCGGGTAACGGCGGACACACGCGCCACCCTCGAGCCTCTCCCCAGAGAGCAGGCGCGAGTCTCCATGCAGACGCCTGCACAACCTGTGCAGCTACCCCTGGACTCGGCAAAACCTGCAAACAAACTGAATGTCCATCAACAGAGGACGGTCTCCTTCAGGGCCCGCGGCAGCCTCTGGATGATCGGCGCGGTGGGGGCGGGAATGGCCGGCCCTGGAATCCCCAAAGATTTGAAAAGGCTGAAATCCCGAACCCTGAGGCCTGGGCTGCTCCTGCAGTCCCTTCTACTTCCATTCAGAGTCTACACGCCCCCCAGACTTGTTCTCCTTTCCCCTGGGCTCTCCACCCTCACCAGCACCCCCGCCAGGGGGCTTCAGCCGCCGGTGACTCGATGACAGTCCTGAGCCCCCGGGCCAGAGCGTGGACTCTCTCGGCCTCGATTCCTTCCCACCACACCCAACCCACCCCCTGGCAAGGCCGGCCAGTTGCTTCCCAGAAACACCCTGAGTCACGGACATCTGTTACTATTACACCTGTTACACAGGATAGCGGGTGCAGCGGGTACTTCCCACAAAGGGTTGCTCCATTTTGGGGGGATTCTAGCTAGACCACCCTGTTTCCAAAGGGTCGTCTCACCTGCACCCCCGCCCGCCCACCGGAGAGCGCCCCCCCACCTCCTCGCCGGCTCTGCGTATTGCCTCTTAGGTATGTTTGCAAATTTGCGTTTCTCTCACTTCCAGGGACAGCTGATGTAATTTTGACTTTTTCTACTGATTAACCCAGATTTAACCAAGCCACAGGAAGTCTCGTGCCCAGCCCCAGCCTCTGGCAGGCGAAGCCATGGCGTCAGGACCGGATCACCTGCTTCCTGCTACCTCGCCTGCACGGCCAGCGGCTGCTTCCCGGGCGTGGTGGTGGCAAAGGCCACTCGCTTCCAGAGTCACGTGTTCAAGGAGAAGCGGGGCCCGAGGGGGAGCCTGCGCCCGAAGCGCGGGGACAGCTTCCTCCCGACGGGGACAGACCTCCCTTCTCTTCCCTCCAGGAAGTTGTTCCTGCCCTTACGCCTCTGTCCAAGCCCCCAACCGCACCCCCAACCCCCTCAGCGATGGGCTCCGCCGCCTGCACTGCGGGAGATGAGGGGTGCCCTTGGCCAGTCGCCTCCCAGACCCTCTCAAGCCCCGAATCCCAGACCTGCCACATGCCCTTCACCCCGCGCTCTCCCTGCCACCCCCCACACACCCTTTCCCCGCCAGGCGCAAGCGCCTCACGCCAGGAAGTGCCCCCAATTCCAAGCTGAGTGCAGCTTAGATGCCAGGCTGGGGTGTCTGTGTCTCCCACCCCCACCCCACCCCCCACTAGGCACAAAGGGGTCTCTGCAGGCCCATGGCGTGGGACGGCCCCCTGCGGCAGGCACTCCGGGAAGAGAGAACCCTCGTCAGCCCTGGGCCCTCCGTGGGGCCACGCGCGGCGAAGGCCAGAGCCGCAATCACAGACAGACGCTGTGCGGCTGCCGAGACCCTGCTCCGCCTTCTGCTCAAGGTCCCTGATTTTTGGCATCTGATGCCACCCCTGCCCTTCCAGCTTCCCTCGCCCGCCTCAGACTGAGTTTAAAAAGGGAAACAAAAGCTAGTTCAGCCCCAGGCTGCGGGTTGGCGGGTCACTGCCAGGCACCTGGGCGACAAGGACGAAGAGCTCCAGTGTCCCGGAGAGCCGGGCCGTCCTGGCGCCGCCTGGCAGCGGCTGTGAGTGAGCAGGGCCTGGCCCTCGCCGCTCTCTGCGTCACAGCCAGCCGGGAAGGCTGCGCCCAGGGCCAGCGCGGACGCACAGGCTGGACCCTCGGCCATCAATATTACAAAACACCTAGGAAGAGGTTGAGAGTTGGGGACCCGACGGGATGGAGACACGGCGTGCGCGAACACTGTGCCCCCAACTCACTTCACCAAGTGGCCGGGCGTCAGGAACGGGCAGAAGGCGCGCATGATTCTCTTGAAGTTATTTCGCCCGATGAGCCCCGTGTCGTCGAGATCATAGGACCGTAGCATGTTGTGAAAATACTGCAGACGCCTGGAGACCGAGTCGCGAACAATCTCCTCCACCTGGCGGAGAGACCGGGCGCCAGGCGCCGGGTTGCGGCCTGGCGGGAGCAGCGGGCGGGGCGGGCGGCGCTGAAGGAGAGGAGGGTGGACTCACGGAATCCCAGGCCAGGAGCGGCTCCTCCGTGTCCGGGCAGGCGGGCGTCTTCCTTGTCTGCCGGGAGAGGAAGCGCCTCAGCCAGCGTCGCCCCCAAGGCGCTGGGACTCGGGACCCCGGACGCCACTTCGCCCCCGGCCCAGGGTCAGAGACCTGCGGCGGGTCAGCCTGGCCCTCAGGCCCCACCGGAAACAGGGCCTTCACATTGAACTCACACTTTTTTTAAAAGTATACTAAGCATTAAAAAATCCACCTAGAAATTTAATAAAGGCCGACTCAGGGTGCGGGGTGGCAGCGGGGCCTCAGCACGAGGGGGGGTCTCGGACTCGAGCAAGAGGCGGGAGGGGCCGTCCCCAGGGCCCCGCTGCGGCTTCTGTGTGTTGTGCTTTAAACATATTTTCCTCTTTTAAAATAATTAAAAAAATAAAAGATAGATTCTCTGGCCCAATAGTTCCATTTCAGAAGATTTATACTAAAGACATTATCTCAGAGTGATGCAAAACAGCAGGTCCCCCGCGGCTCTGTGCCGGGGCAGGGTGTGGATGGGGCCGCAGGTCGGGGCCGCAGGACGGGCTTTCTGGGAGGCGTTGGGGAGGGTGAGCGACAAGGGCCCCAGCAGGCGGGAGGAGCCGGGAGGGAATCGGGCAGGTGCTGCAGGAGGCTGGGGGGTGCCGAGGACCAGACTCCCTGAGACAGCGAGAGGCTCCGGGCCGGACCACAGGCACCTCCTCACCCCCTGGGAAATCCGCCTGGGCCTGCAAGCCCCGAGAGCCGCCAGAAGGTTTGAGCGCCGCTGGCTCCTCTCGCAGCAACATCACAGCCCTCGTCGAAACGCACCTGATTTTGAAAAGTTCTGTAAAGGTTGAACTGCGACAGCTATCGAGAAGCATTTCTAACCGTGAACCCGCCCAGGCGTCGTCGAGGCGCAGCCAGGTTTGGAAGCTAAACGTTAAAGCTGCACAAACTCAAGCACTGAACTCCCCTTGAAGTGGGAATCAACTCGGGTGAAAAGCGGGACGGCGTGAATAAATGTAACGTGCTCCTCCGTGGCTCTTACGTCACCGGGGACGCTGCGCTTCCTGCCGCAGCCCGAGCAGCAAACCCGGGGCCGTCGCCGAGCTCACCTTCGGGTCCCCTTCGAGCAGGTGCATAAGCGCGCCGATGTCCACCCGCTTGGTGTCCTCGGGGTCCAGCTGCTGCATCAGCTCCTTGAAGTCCGCGTCGCTGGTTTTCACCACCGAGCAGCTGAGGATGTGCCGCAGCTCCTGCCCCGTGAGCTGCCCTGCGGGTTTCTGAGCAGAGCGCGTAGAAGGGAATTTTCAAGAGAAAAGCAAAAAGGAAGGACAAGCGTCACATGCACTTAGCGCCAGTAAATGAAACACGAGCTCGGGGCCTGGGGGGTCAGGATCTGGAACACGGAGGACGCACCGGGGTGGGCAGGCGGTGCTGGGACCTCGTGGGCGCCTTCCAACCGGGACCTGGCGGGAGACTGTCCCGCGGGAGACCTGGGCAACCCTCTTCTTGAGGACGAGGACGGGGAGCCTCGGGCTGGTGCCCCCGGCTGGGCAGGCACTCCCACCCGTCCCCCCCCCAACCTGGGGCTGCTGGGCTGGGTCAGCACCGGCACACAGCTTTCCGGAATGCAACCGTAACTTGGCAATTTACTGAGGCTATGGATCACGCCCGCGCGTCCTCACCACCGCCAGCCCCATCAATTACTAAGGGGACCGTTACTTAGCAAGAAAAATTTCAGTCATGTCATGTTGCCGAAAGAAAACACATCGTGAGCGAAGCCCTGGGCGGCGAGTTTCTTCCCCCAGCATAAAAGATTATCAATAAGTAAATTAAATATCAAAATGGAGAGATGCGGTTTACCGGACAAGCAGGAGAGACGCAGCCGCCCTGTGTCCGCGCAGAGAGAGCGTGAGCCTGACAGAAGGGCTCGTGGAGGGGCCGCGCCTGGGTGAGCGTCGGCCTTCACTGCGGAGCCCGGGGTCCGGGAAGGGTGGGAGTGAGGGAGAGTTAACTCGGAGGTACGGACGGTTCACTCTGGTTTGGAAGCAATGACTTGTTTTCTGATGTCCCAACGGGAGTCGTGGGCTGATCTCGATTTTCAGTAAGCGACCGTGTTGCTCAGCCGTCCCCACTACCCTGCAGCACATTTCCAGCACCCCAGGGAAACCGCACTGCTTCCCCACGCGGCCGCTCCCCGCCGCCGCTCCCGCCGAGGCGCTCTGGCCTCTCCGTGCCCACTTGCCCGCTGGGGACGCCGTGTTCCACAATCACGGGGCACGTGTCCCCGCGCGTGGCTCACCCATTCGGGCCACTGAGTGCTCCGGAGGCTCGTCCGAGACGGAGCGTGGACCCTGTTCCTCCTCTTCCTGTCTCTGTGGTGTGCAGGTGCCACCTTTCGTCTGTCTGGTCTCAGCGGATGAACATCTGGGCGGTTTCCAGTTTGGAAATTCTGAGTGACGATGTGTACGTGACCTCTAGGTTAATTTTTCCCCAAAGGAAGATGCCTACGAGGGGCTGCTGGGTCATGTGGCAAGACCCAGCGCTGCGACGACCGTGCCGCTTCCCCGGCAGCTGTGGAGCTCGTCTCCACCACAGGGGAAGCGGGTGCCGCCGCCCTGGCCTCCCTCGCAGACACTTACTCTTGTCTGGGAGGCTGATCGCCGCCACTCCAGTGGGTGCGGGGGTCCTCTCGAGGGTGACTGGCACCCCGCTTAGTGATGCTGAGCATCTTCTCACGTGCCGATTGGCTCTTTGTGTATCTTTGACGAAACGTCTTAATATCGTCTGCCCATTTTGAAGGCTCGGCTGTCTTTTCACTTCCTTGATGGTATCCAAATTTTCAGACACTTTGATAAGTCCAATTTATTGACACTTCCTCTCACGGATCCTATGTGTCAGTGGCATATTCTGAGCAATCTGACTAACACAAGGTCACAAAGATGTACATATGGGTCCCCTACATATGGGTCCCCATTTTAGCTTAGCTACTTAGTTCTGGGGTTTGTTTTTAGTTCATTTCTGTGGCTGTATAAGTACGGTAAGGGTCTAAATTCCTCTTCCTGCAGGTGATGACCTAGCTGTCCCAACACCATTCGTTAAAAAGATTATCCTTTCCCCTACTGAACTGGTAAAAACAGGATTGACTACAAAATCTGGATTTATTTCTCAATTTTGTCCTGTAGATCAATGTCGATCCTTAGGCAGCACCACAGCATCTTTTTTTACTGGAGTTTAATACTAAGGTTCAAAATCTAGAAGGCGAGGTGCTCTAACGTCATTCTTCTCTTCCCAGATGACTTTGGCTGTCTTCAACCTTGGCGTTCCATATGAATTTTAAGATCAATGTCTCAATTTTTGCAAATGTCTTTTTTTTTTTTGCAAAAAAAAAAAAAAGGCCAACTAGAATTTTGTTGGGGCTTGCACTGAACTCCAGATCAGTTCTGAAAGAACTGCCATCCTGTCCATACTGAGTCTCCCATCCATGAACATGGGATGTCTCGTCACTGTTTACATCTTCAGCTTTCCTGAACGGTGTTTTGCGATGCTAAGCATATGGGCCTGTCCTTCTCTTCTTAAGTGCATTTCTAGGTATTTTGTTCTTCTTGATGCTAACATGAGTGTGACTGCTTCATTCATGCTCAGATTTTTCATTTCTAGTTTATAGAAATGTAACCGATTTTTGGATATTGATTCTACATCCTTACCCCTTGATGAGCTTACCAACTTCAGTGTGTGCCTCTTAGCGCTTCCTCCTTTCTGCGAGGCCATGTTGTCTGAGCACATGCTTTCACTCTGCCCGTTCTAATCTCTGTCCTCCTGGTTGCACTGTCGAGAACTTCAGTTCAACACTGAACAGCAGTAGCAAGACTTCTTGTGTTTTTCCTGACCTTCGGGGGAATGCATCCAGTCTTTTGCCATTAACTCCGCTGCCAGCCATAGGTGTATCACAAGTGTCTTACCAGGTTAAGGAACTTCCCTTTTGTTCCTAGTTTGTTAAAAGCAGTCATGAATGAGAGTTGGACTTCTTCAAACATTTTATCTGCATCTATTGAGATAACTGTAAAGCTTTGTCCTTAATTCTATTAATATAATATATTATGTTAATTGATTTTGGGGGCAGTTAAGCCAGTCTTATAATCCTGGAATAAAGCTCACATGGTTGTAGCAAGCATTCAGTCCTTTTGGTATGTTGCTAGGTTTAGTTTCTTACATTTTGTTGAGAATTTTTGCAACTATGTTCATCAAAGAGTGATTTGTGGTTCTTTTCGTAAGATTTTTTTATCTGGCTTTGGTTTCAGTGTGATATTGGCCTTGAAGAGTGAGTTAGGAAATACTCCTTCCTCCTATGTATTCAGGAAATTTGTAAAGGATTGGTATTACTTCTATAATAATATTCTATAATTTTTGTAGCCTTCAACATTAAGAATTTGCATATTTTCTGTTAGATATATTTCCAGGTATTTGATTTAAAAAAGTACTATTAGAAATATTTTTAAAATTCTTCTGCTACTTGTTGATTGCTGTTTCAGAAATGAATACTGGTCTCTGTGTATTGCCCAGAGTCCTTCTAAACTTTGTTACTGACTCTAATAACTTTTGGGAGATTCTTTTGAACTCCCTACTTATGAAATCATGTGAGCTGCAGATAACACCACCAAGAATAAGAACAGAGAATAGGCAGAACACAGATTATTTTTCCGGGTGATAGGAGAGAGAACCACGCGTGACTTAAATGGGAGTGATGACATGACCAGTCTACTCACAGAGAGCTGAAGGTGGCAGTCGGGGAGGGGTGTTTAGGCTGAATGCAGTTACCTCTCCTAACTACCTGCACCCCTTTCTTCAGCAGAAGAGGGGCCTGGCACACAGCTGTCCTCTACAGCTAGGTGAAAAGTCCATCCTGCCTACCCCCAGCTCTTCTGCTCTGCTTTCTCATCTGTCCCAGGTTCCAAGAGGTGGCCAAGACCAAGGCAGAGGAGGAGGCAGGGAGCCGCAGCAGGAAAGCAAGCTGCAGCTCTACAGCACTGGGTGAGGGCTGCTGCAGGGTGACACTCCGGGGTGTGAGCTTATCTTGCAGGCCCTTACCCTGTTCACTCTGTGCCCAGCTAAGTGCTCCGGCTGGACCCCGTGTGGGTAGGCACCCATTCCCTGCCCACACCAGCTGTTAATTGGTCCAGTTGCATGATGTACAATGCATAACTGACGTTACAATTAAATAGGCTAATATTTGGAGTGCTTAGCATTATCACAGCTCTCCATTAACAGAGATGAAGACTTTCATTACTTTTAATTAAATTACTTTTTCAATATACTAATAGACGCAGAGGCGGGTAAACACACAGAGGCCTTCATCTGTCTGTAAGAGGTGGCCCAGTCAGCTCATTGTCAGGCAGCTGGGCAGGGATGTGGGGGCCCCCTGGGAGTCAGGGAGCCCCCAGCTTGAATTCCGGCTTCACCACTCATTGGTGGACAGCCTCAGGTCACCCTGATGCCCTCCTTCCTCAGCAGAGGGCCCAAGTGACTATGATAACAGCGTCTGCACACAGCGGGGGAGAGGGAGCCTGAAGCAGTGAGCATAGTAATCCACCTCAGACACACAGAGGAGCGCTATGTTAGTGTCCATTTAAAATGTTCACTCAATCTGAGAGACTGAGTCACACGGGTCTGAAGTATAGCTAGAACAGGCATGCTAGCTCAAACTTTCCCCCTGGGAGAACAGAACCCCAAATTTTGGTGCTTACACTATGCTAGGGAACCCCAGCTGCTGGCTCTGGGGACTGACAGAGGTGAGGAGCTTAGATCTCTGGGACGGAGAACCACGGCCAGGGCTTCTGGCTCAGCTGAGCCCACAGGGGCTTCTCCCAGGGCCCAGTGCAGGGTCGTAATTGAGTCAGGAAAGTGATCCGCCTGGTCCCCTTTATTTTTTAGATGTTCAGTTACTGGAAGTGCTCAGTAAACAGCAAATCAGGAACCAGAAGTATCCAAATGGGGCTCTGGAAAGTCAGCCCTGAGTGGGCAGGAACTGATGTTTAAAGCAGCTTCAAAGCCACCTGCAAGGTCCCTTCCTGGAATGATGGGACGATCGATCGGGCCATTTGGAAGCTGAGAAAATGTTCGCTCGTGGGCTACCAGTTTGTTACAAGCCCATACACCCCAGGTCGGGAAGGGTCACCCAACACCTGAGGACGCCTGGGCCTCTGTTCGTCCCCATCTGCCACGTGGGTCCTCAGTCTGCCCTTCCTGACTGTCCCGCAGGCAGGGCCTGTCACTGACCCAGATGAGGCTTCAGGGCAGGCTCACGGCCAGAGGGACAGCCCCCCACGTGGGCAGGAGCTCGAGAACTGCTCTGGGTGGATGAGTGAGGGACAAGGAGCTTTTCCCAGCCCCAGAACCGGTCTTAGGAATGGGGATTCTTCCGGGGAGGCGGCTCCTACCGCGTTGATGATCAGCAGCAGCTTCCTCAGCGAGGAGCAGCGATCTCCCTGACCGAACAACCTTGCGACGATGTTTTCCTTGCCAAAGAGATTTCTGGAGTTGATGCTACAGGAGGATTAAGAACAAGAATAAGATTCTGTTCTTCAACTCTGTTCTTTCCTAATGTGAGAAAGAGAAAAACCCACCCTCACAGCAGCCCCAAGAAGGCTTCGTGCGCGGGTGCCTCTGTCACCTGAAGGTGCGGGGCTGAGGGTCAGGGCACGCCGACTGAGGGGCGGGCATTGAGGCAGGCGCTGCTGTGAGGCACCCTTGCCAGCCTGGGCCTTTGGTCTGAAGAAAGACCAGGAAAGAAGCCAACCCCAGGGGCACCACGTGTGCGCACACATAGCTCCTACCGCTTCAAAACCCACACAAGGCTGAGGACCCCTCACGTGGCTGGCTGGGACGGTGGAGGCCGCCCCCGCCGGGACAGACCCCAGAGCCGGGACTGGGCTGAGAACTTCGTTCAGTGTTCTGGGGCGAGGGGTAGGGGGCGGGCTATGTCCTCTGTGCCGGGAAGGGTCAGCAGTGCCCTCGCCTCTGCCCACTACACTGGCAGCAGCCCACCCCGAGCTGTGACAACTGGAAATGTCTCCTGGGGCCACACTTGCTCCAGGTTGAGAACAGTTATTTAAAGTAAATAAAATCCACTTTCAGGTGCTAACAGGCAGGAAATGAGAAAGGACAGACGTGACCTCACTTAAGAGATGAGCTCGCAGAGCTGCAGCCCCAGAACGGTGTGTGTGGGGGGGATCCTGAGTACCCAGAAAACAGAGACAGGGCAGTTCACTAAATACTCACACGTCTCCGAGACAGGCTAGGACCCGGCGAAAGGCATTAGCTCTGTGGTGTATTTCACTTAGCAATCGAGCCTAGTGCCGGCCATGGACGTGCTGAGATTATAAAGCCTGTGTTTTTCTTTAAGATTTACGTAGGGCCGTCAACACAGGCCACACGCTGACATAAACAAGATGCACTGAGAGCCAAAGTCTACATCCGAAAATGTCACATTATTAAGCACTATTGTACATTTGGGGGGTCCCCACCACAATTTATGTGATAATGTAAATTTGAAGTTATAACAGACATTATAAGGAAAACAGAAACAACGGCGCTGCAGGCGGACCATCGCCGGGCCCGCGGCGTCTGCACCGCAGTGGCTGGGCTACATCGACTCACCCAATGCACGTTCACATGCGGTTTTACAGAACACACTTGGAGGGGGGGGGCCCACAGAATCAGAGCCCCACTTCTGCCTCCACAGAGGTACCTGACTCCTTACGGTCTTAATGTTTCATCTGGAAAGTGGAACAATGATCACGCTGTCTCGCGGTTTATCCAGCAATTTTAAGTAAGAAAAACATATGGAAAATCATTCATTCAAATCATTCATAAGCTGTAAGTCTCCGGGCCAAAGTTGGAGATGATTCCGGGGAACGCGTGTGCCATTCAGCAAGCGAAGGAAAAGCAGTTCCGATGTTCTTTAACCTTTTGCCTTTGACGGGACATGGAACCAGCACTTAGTTCTTTTCTTTCACATACCTATTTCCTTTGGCCAGGGGGATTTTGTTGTTGGCGTCCTGCCCTTCGGGAGCGTGAAATGACATCAGAAATTGCTTCCAGTCGATTTTGCTGGTGGTCCTAAAGCCAAGTCTGGGTTTAAAAAAAGATAAACGGAAGAATTACGGAAACCCTTTTTTCTAAAATGGCACATGGATTAGGCAGTTACTATTAAATTGAAAATGGCGCAGCAGACCTCTCCCATCTCCCCGCTGCTCCCCTCAGCAGTGGATTTCAGTAGATCTGCCTGCTGTGCTCCCCACTCTGTCTCTGGTGAATCCTCTCAGCCTGCACCTCTGGCCTGCACCCCAGCTCTTGTGTGCATAAATAACTAAACCTTTTTTGAAAAAGGAAAAGAAAATGGTAATGCATTTACATGAGGTTTCAACTCTAAGGTAAACAAGAGAATTAAGTAAAGTAGCCCCACTAACTGGTTCTCTAAAAGCAAGAGAAACCCAAGCGGATAGCGTGTCTCCATGTCCGCCGTCCTCTTCACAGTGGCGCGCGTGAAAGAAGAGACAGGGTGGGGATTAGTGCTGACATCCGTGAAACAAGGTCTTCAAACCCACTATTTGCAGAGCCAGTGACGCGACAGGCAGCGCACAGGCCTAGGGGGTCCAGACCCTGAGCCCTGCAGCTGTGCATACGTGAGCTCTGTCAGGGAGGGGTCTGCGGTGACATTGGGGTGACACCTTGAGATGGGGCACAGCTCAGGTGACCAGACTGGCCCAACCTAATCGCAGGATTTCTTCAAATGGGGCAGGGTTTCCCAGCTGCAGCCAGAAAAAGATGTGAGGACGGAAGAAGGTCCCAAGAAAAGCGGCTTGGTGGCTCTGGAGAAGGAGGCCAGGAGCCGAGGGGTTTGGGATGCCTCTAGCGCAGGGGAAGGCAAGAAATGGCTTTGCTCCCCGAGCCGCAGAAGACACGCAGTCCCGCAGCCCCGCAACCCCTGGATCTTTGGGAGACCCATGTCCAGGCTTCTAACCCACACAACTGTCAGAGATTATTATTTGTGCAGTTTTAAGCCACTAGGCTTGTGGTAGTTGGCTACAGCAGCAAGAGAAAACTAGTGCCGGTAAAGTCTTAGCAAGAATAAGCAACTGGAAAATGGTTCAAAAACAAATTGCCAAAGTGAATGTGTCCGGGACCCAGGGCTCGCTGATTTCAAGGTCGCAGGAGGCCCGTGGGGGTAGCAGGACGTGTGCACAGGGCTGGGTTCAGGAAGACCAGCGTGTGGGTCCGGCAGGTGTTGGCTCACACCCCTCCTGTCACTTACCCACTCAGGATGCAGCTCTTCAGAGCAGACAGGCTCTTCCTTGCCCTGTGTCCCCTACACCTGCTGCTTCCTATAACAAACTGCCACATTCTACCCACTACCCACACCGCATGCACTGAATCCTAATCCTTCCATGAACTCAGTCATCTCTTCCTCAAGGAAGCCTCCCCTGAGGCCCACAGCCAGGGCTCCCGCCTCACTGGCCTCTCTCCCAGAGCCACATCTCCTTCCTTCCCGCACTGACCACTAGGGAGTACCACGCTCCCGACTGAGCAGCCAGCAGCCCACAGCGCCGTGGCCACGGCCTCGGCAGCTAACGTTTGATAAACGGCTGTTGCTTCTACTGCAATTAGCACCACGCGCACGGCCTGAGGTTGTGTGATTGCCTTCGTCACACGTGGCAACGTCTAACAGGCTGATGGTGGGCGTGGTTTGACGCACGGTTTTCACATGCAAGGCCGAGTTCCCCTTTCCAGCGCAGCCTTTCCTGCCCAGACTGAGCCAGTTAACTAACTGGTAGTTAGTTAATGCTGGAGACAGGCACCTTGAACTTCAGCAAGTTAGTCACTGATTTTCTATAATGGAAATTCCTCTGTGGCTACAGTTGTAGAATCATTTTCAACACATTGTGTAGAGAATGACCTCGTTAGGGGAAAATATCAAATTAGATCTCTCCTCTACACCATCTACTGAAATAGTCACAACACAGATTAAAAAGTGAAAGGTAAAGACTAGAACCAGTAAAAGAGATACTGAAGAAAATCAACGTCTATACTCATCTGATATTTGAATAAGAGTGAATTTTTAAACAAAGCTTAAAAGAAGAAATAAAAATGTTACCTATTTAATTACATCAAATTGTAAAATTTTTGGAAAGGGGATAAGATAAGAGGATATTAGGGGCTGTGGGGTATAAAAATAGACAAACAAGTAAGTAAATAATATTTTAAAAACAGAAAAGAATTCAGTGCTTTGCCCTCTCAAAAATACTTGTCCTTTCAAAATTCCTGCTATTGAGGCTTGTGATCTTTGGTCTTCATCTAACTACAATCAAGGCTAAATCTAAGGCAGTCAGGGTTTATGACCATTTATTTCTCAAAAAAGTCTTTTTTTCCCGAAAAAGGTCTTAAAAAGGGGCCCAGCTAGCAAGAGCACCACCATTTGCCAAAACAAAAAAAAAAAAATAAATAAAAATTTTAATTTCTGTGTACCAGAAATATTCAAAGAAAATCTGAAAGCCAAACAACAGACTCACAAAGTTAACAGACACAAATATGCAGGATAAATTGTTACTATTCTTCAAACATAAAGGCTGATACAAATCAACACAAAAATACCCAAGTGACTTGCGCCTCCGGTGAGGCTACCTAAGACCCCGCGGGTCAGCCCCCCTGCAGATAATCACAGCAAGCTCCGGGCATGACACCAGCAACAGCTGCCGCCTGCAGTGCCACAGCCAGAGCAGGCCGAGGCGGTGGGGCCGGACTGGGGTTGGGGTGGGGAGGGAGGCTGGGGGCTGCGTTAGCCGGGAGCAGGGCGCTGAGGCCTGAGGGGCAGCACCACAAACAGGGCAGCCTCGATGGCTGTGGAACTACAAGCCCAAACCCAAGCTACAGCCCCCGAGAGAGAGAAAGAAGAAATCCTGGAATAAGAAGAGAGACCCCCAAATTCTGTACCACATTTCTGGCAGGGTCCTAAGGTCACATGATCACACTCAAATGGCTTCGCTGAACAACAAAGATCCAAACTGAGGTGAGAGACACCGCCCCCCGCCCCGCAGAAGAAAAGCATACAACTGGAGTCCCACTGAGATGACTACAAAACAGAAGAAACAACAGACATCTTAAAAAAAAATAGAATTCGTCTCCACAGTTTGGCATTCGGGATGTCCAGGGTGCAATCCAAAATCCCAGGACGGGAGCAGTCAGGAGAACGGCTTCTACAGGCAGCACAAAAGAAAATCACCTGAGATGAGCCCCACGTAATGTTGGGATTAACAGACAAGAATTTTAAAAGCAACGGTGATAACTATCACTGGTGAATAGTTATCAAAAGACAGAGAAATAGCACTGACAAATGGATTTAATAAAAAGAACTAAATGGCAATTCTGGAATGAAAAATACACTCCCCGCCACCTTCTGAAGGCACTGGGCGGAGCTGGCAGCAGCGCGGGAACGGAGCGCAGGGTGAGGGCCGTCAGCGGGAACTGTCCCGCTCAGCGCGCCCCGCACAAAGAGGAGCATGCCGGAAGGGTCTCTCTGCCTGTGGGGTCAACCCAGGATTTCTGTTCTGAAGTATTTGGGGGAGCCCGCAGGCTGTCAGTTTTGAGGGGAGCAGAGAGCAAGGAGGGCAGTGGCAGAAGGCCAGGCGGCACGTGAATTGCTGCCTGTAAGGCAGGAACGGGCACAGGGCAGGTTTCCTGATCCCATGCAGACCGGGTCAAGGAGGAGTCAGAGTCCTCAGTGGGTTTTTGCAGGCCTTTTATTGGGGTTCACCAGGCATATGGCAGGCAGGGGTGTGGGGGGCCGGGAGGCTGGCAGGCCTCCCAGCCCCCAGCAAATCCTCACTCTCTCTGGGCTCTCTGGCGTTCTCTGCTTCTGCTGCTTCTTCTCTGCTTCTCTCTCGGCTTCTCTTTCGGCTTCTGCTGCCGCTGGCGTCCCCGTGACGCCGCCCTTAAAAAGCCCAGTCTCAGCCCAGCTGAATCCCATCTACCTAGGCCCACAACCTATTCCAGGTGCCCGCCATCAGGCATGCGTTCAGGACCACCAGGGATCCATCATCTATCCTGATGGCGGGAGGGCAGAAAAGCCTGACATTTTTCCTTACCCTACACTGCCTCACCCCGAAAACAAGCACAGCCTGTGGAGGCATCTGCCTGCCCTGGAAGCACGCACCCCAGGAGGCGACGGGGCGGGGGCGGGGAGAGGTGTGGATGCCAGGCCGGGGCACTGCTTCACAGGCTCTCGGCTAAGTGACCACGAAGCAGGCACAGAGGCACAGGCCGGGTGAACTTCCGCCACCAGAACTGGCTGCTGCCCTGCTAAGTGCCCAACCTGCCCAGGGCGGAGGCCACCACTGGCCCCACTTGGGCTGCACCCGGAAAAGAGTGCCTTGGACCCTTCCTTCACGGTGGAAGGGTGGGCAAATACAAATTCCAGACACAATCCACCCTCTCTGCCTGAGTGCTTCTGCCATCACCACCACCCGAGGGCCTCCAGAAGGCGCTCCAGGGTCTCACCTCGTGGTGGGGACGGGAGGCCCTAGCTTTAGAGCCACAGAATTCACTTGCCTGGCCTCAGGCCCCATCACCAGAGCCGCTGACCTAGCAGGGGGGATGGGGACCCTGCTCACAACTCTGCTTGGAGCCAGTGGAGAAAACGCCAGATGCCACAGAGAAAGAGAAAGTGAGGGGACAGAGGAGGCCACTGACAGCGACATGGCTGTGCACAGCTCTATGTGCCCACGTGTCTGTGTTCCGGGCCCCTACCCCTGCACCTTCCAGGAGAAGCACTGCGTAGAGCTGCCGACCTGGGTGGCGAAGCAAGCAGGCCCTCAAGCGGCTCCCGTCTGAGTTGCTCCACGCAAGGCTCCCTTCACCCAGGCCGCTGAGGTTCAGAGCGCAGAGCCCCAGACCCATGTCCTGGCCCATCCAGAGGTGCCCACGCACTTCTCTGCTCTGCCTGGTGCCCCAGTGGCCTTCACTGGCTCCTCGTACCCCGCTTTCAGGGGAGAGAGGGGGCTGACGTCGGCCACGTGGCCCTGGCCGCACGCCTCCACCTCATCTGCTTGCCTCTCTCCTTCAGGAAACTGCCCCGTTTGCACCTGGAGGCCCAGGAGAGAGAATGGCCTCCCCACATTTGCTTTTACTTAAAATTGCCTTGGCCTGGGGAGAAGGTCCCTCAGCAAACTCACGGGCCATCTGCTCTCCGCCTGGGTCCTGACCGACGCAGGCCCGCACCAGGACCGCGGCCTCACCACAAGGCTCCGTGTGCCGTTCCTGGGCATCAGGACGTCGGACCCCCTGGCCCCCAGACTGGGGGTACAGTCATGATCTCTCCTCCCCTCCTGTTGTTTGGCCTTTTCCAGGAGGTCGCAGAAAGAGACGAGACCCTGGACACACAGTCGGAAAGGTTCTGGCAACAACTGGAAATGTTTCCTGGGGTGCCGCCCCCACTTCCACATCAGACGGGCAAGGTGGCTGGTTTCCCCTGGGCGGCTTCTGCCAGGCGGCCCTGCTCAGCAGCGCGGGCGGCGAGTCGCCAGGCAGGTGCTTCCAGGTACAGGCCGCTCGGCCCTCGAGGAGAGCAGGCGGCTGCAGCGCTGAGTCCATCCTCCCGGCTCATCCTGAAGCCCATTCTTCATCTTTAAACACGGGCTTTATTTTTAATAGCTCTGTTTTATATAAAAGGCCACGCAACACTGAAGAGCACAGCGTGTTTGTAATAAAGGTCAAGTCAGCTGTTCAATTAAAGCCTCCCATCACATTACACACACATGAATGGGGAATGGATTTTAAGGTCTAAAGTATTATTTGGATCAGGGTTTTATGCCTCATTACCAAGCTGTCAGCTTTGTAATTTAGGCCCTAGATATTGAGTATTTTTTAAACATAAACTAAAAAAGATGCCCTTTTCCAGCATATGATCCATTCTTAAATTGGACAGTCTGGATAACTTCTCAAATCATTTTGTTAGACTGGAGAGTTCAGATTTTATTTTATTTCTTTCCTTATTCTTCCTGGTATTGCCTGCCTTAAAAAAAAAAAAAAAAGGCATGTGTTTTAAATTTTTATTTCTTCATTTAAAATGCAATAAAATGGACTTTTTCTTTTGGAGTGCAGTTTTATGGGTTTTAAAACCTCCATATTGCTGTTAGCACCACGCGCAGGGCACAGCACAGGGCACAGCGCAGCCCCGTGGCCCCCCCCCCGGCCCCTGGCGTCGCCTGCCTTCTGCAGCCGCACCGTCCCCTCCTCTGTCAGCCCTGGAGCCACTGAGCTTTCTCCATCACTGGGGGTTTGGCCTCCCCGGAGAGTCACAGACACAGAATCCTACAGCAGCCCTGAGACTGGCTCCTTTCTCTCAGCAGAAGGCTGGAGATCCTCCGTGGGCCCCTCCGGCTGCGCCCCGGCCTTCCCTCAGAGCTCATGGTCACACGCACCAGGAATTCGCTCCTTTTTATTGCTGAAACGCACTCCCAGGAGGGCTGTGCCCGTCTGCCTGGGGCTCACGGCCTGGAAGTGCAGCTGGGCAACGATGAAATGACCACCCACAGGCCGTTTGTTTAGGAAACTCTTAAACATCATTTGAAACACATGTTTTAAGAATCATACAATCATGAACTCTTCCTGGTAAGTCACAAAAATGCTAAACCCAAATTCAGAAGATGAATCGCAGTTTCTCATGATGCCGTGAGGACAAAGGTGGAGGGTGTGGGGGCGCTGGCTTCTGCCGCCACCAGGGGCCCCTCAACACCACTTGGAAAACAACTGGCAAGGGAAGGCGTATTTAACACACAGTGGCAGGAAGGCAGATGGCCCATTTGGGAAAAACGATTTTAAGTTGGGTGCTCAGCTTATTTTGGGAGGGATTAAGGTGTATTGTTTTCAAGGAATAAGAACAAGCAGAGAGCAGAAAAGAGTATTTAGCTTAAGAATTTATAAGTTTTCAAGCAACAGAAGACATCCCGGGAAGAGAGGCCTGTGTTTGATTCTATGAACGTGTGAGCTTTGAAGCATCGTGTCCACGAAGGGACACAGCCAGCGAGGAAAAGATGTGCGAGCCACATAAGGGCGCGACATTAACAATGACCTGGTTATGAAAAACCATGAAACTAAACAACGGTAAGTGTGAATTTAAAAGCCAATCGTGGGCCTCCCTGGTGGCGCAGGGTTTGTTAAAGCCTCAGCACCATGAAGCTATCGCCAGCCACTGTGGTTGAGTTCAATCCCTGGCCAGGGAGCTACCCACATGGCGCAGCAGACCTCTCCTGTCTCCCCACTGCTCCCCTCAGCAGTGGATTTCAGTAGATCCACCTGTTCTGCTCCCTGCTCTGTCTCTGGTGAATCCTCTCACCTGCCATACCTCTGGCCTACATCCCACCTCTCGTATGCTTAAATAAATCTTTAAAAAAAAAAATAAAAGCCATCCACGGGGCCACTGGCCAATGAGGACATGAAGAGGACTCACACCAGGGCGGGTGTGTGTGTGTGTGTGTGTGTGCGCGCGCGCGTGCACATTTTGGAGCAGCTGATCCCAGCAATGTACCAATCTCTTCCAGCCCCTTAGTCCCCCGGCTGTTGTTTCTCAGGCCCTGTTCCGCGGGGAATTCTGGGTGAATGTGCAAGGAGGGCATGCCTCGGGCTCCCTGGGCCCCTGGCTGGAGCAGGTGGGGACACCAGCCCCACCCCAGCCGCTCTGTGCCTCCCAAAGCGCCCACCTGCGCCGCTCATCGCCGCTGCCACTGGCTTGGGGCTGTTTGTCACAGCAGGTCCTCAATTAATGCCACTCAGTCCAATGTTATTTTGTTATAACGTTGAGGAGAGAAAAAGACCGCATCCCAGCCCCAGGACTGGTTTCCTTTCAGTTCCTTTTACTTAAAGCTGCAGCCCCAGGAACCTACTGGTGACAGCAAGCGAGGGCGGGCTGTCCTCTCTCTAAATTCTTGGCACAATTCTCTCCCACAATGGCAGAGAAAGGCACTCAATATGCACCCATTAAAATGGTAATTTTGAAGGCTATGAAGCCCACAAGAAGAATGTCTATAATATGCATTCCTATTTTAAAAGCACGATATAAAACTCTAGATAGTCTTTGATTACAAATATGTAAAACTTATATATGTATGTGGAAACAAAGAGGAAAAATGAAAACAGTAAATTTGTTATGTAAGGTGGATGGTAACTTTTTGTCTCGAATATTTTTATTATTGCTATTAAGTAATTCTTTGTATAATTTTGAGAGTGAGTTAAAAAGAAATGGCTCTGTGACTTCTAGCCACCCAAGGAAACAATTCCTAGAAAATTCACGGCATACAGGCAGGACACGGGCAGATTTCTAGCCGGGAGAACATTTACCTCGAGGGCCGAGCCTTGCCCTTCCCTGCGGGACCTGGTGCTCTGGCAAGTAGTCCTCTCCGGACACGGGGTGCTGGGTGCCGGGGGCGGGGGCTGCGTGGGGAGTGGGCCCAGCTGTCTGCTCAGGGCTGTTTTTCCCTTCTCTGTCTAGGGGCCAGAGGCAGGCGCCAGTTATCCACAATTCCACACCACAAGCTTTGCACTGGGCTTTTCCCTACTTCCCCGAGAAAAGCTTCTATGAGTCACTTAGAAAACCGGGGGAAATCAAGGCAGCACTATGCACCCCGGCCTGGCCGAAGGGAATCCCTGGAGAAGCGGGTGGTTCCAGGCCGGGGAGAAGAGCGGGGCCAGGAGCATTTGTCACAGCAGAAAGCGAGAGGGCTACTGGACTGCTGGGGTCACAGGGACAGGACGCGGGGCCAACACCCAAAGGCCCCCCGGCCAGGAACGGGCCAGGCGAGCACGTGCGAGACCAGCGGCCGCGACCCTGGTGGCCTCAGGAGAACACGCGCCGCAGTTCGGAGGATGCCAAGGAGAGGACTCGTTATCTTGAAAAGAGAAGTGAGGGGCAAGAGCAAGGGTGCCCGCCGTCCTCACCCTCAGCTGGTCGGGACCTGCTCATCACAGAAGTCCCTCAGCTACCCACGGCGGAGGGGCAGCCGTGAGCACGGCGGCGGGCGGCACGGGGCCAGAGGGGCGCGCTGTCGCCCCGTGCCCAGGGCCTGGGAACCTGGGAACTCGGGGCCGGGGCGGAGGGGGACGCAGGACGTCCCCTCAGTCAGACTTGGATCGTAAAAAAGACAGTCCAGAATCCTCCAGACGCATAAGGGGAAATGACTGACGAACAAGGGAGAAACTTTCGGCCACAGAAAAGCCTCGTGGCCAATCAATCAGCGGCATCCTGGGACCTCACTTGGGCCCCGACTCGGATGGTGAAACCAAATGTGAGGCAACCGGCTAAGTGTGCACTCTGGACACTGCTAACATTACCGATCATTCTAGGAGGTGCGAAAACAGCGAAAACAGTTTTCACTATTGTTTTAAAAAGGTTCTTCTTGAGAAACAGGGAGATCTTTCCTATGCTAGACAGCACCTGACTGGTATTTGTTTCAGCTCCATCTGGGGGTGCGGGCACCCGGGCAGGGAAACAATGGGATGGCTGACGGCGGGCTGAAAGCCGGGTGGCGGGTGGCGGGTGTGGGAGAGGATCCACGATGATACTCTCTTTCTTGGTGCGCGTGTTTGAAATCTGCAACAGTCAGGAAGGCTCAACCATTATGAAAAATAAATGAAGCCGGCCCCGATGCTCGTGGCTGGCGTCTGGGGGCAGGGTGGGGGCGCAGGGGAAGGTCTCTTACCTTTTCATTAACTGGATGAAAACTCTTCTGGGCAGCCGGCACACAAAGGTGTCCAGGACAACCTTTAGGTAATTCAGAGACACGTAGCCACGCCGGGTGGGGTCCCCCGCACCCAGGGCCTTCTCTACCTTATCGTAGTACCTGGAGAGCTGCAATGAACAGGAGCGAGTGAGTGGCTGTCACCACAATGGACTTCACGGAGCTAAGCCAGCATTTCATTTCTACCAAACCTCTTCACATTCTCCTCTCCAAGAACTGATCAAAAAGGTGACCGTGGCATGTACCGAGCTTCAAATGTTTAATTGATGAGCTCGCTACAAACAGCACCCCCCTCCCAGCCCTCCACTGACAAGGCAGACAAGATTCCTGGGGAAACACAGCACAGATAATAGCTGTACCTCGGATTTCAGAGCTAAAAATACTCGGAGGCTCTGCCAGCTTGATACATCTTTCTTAATATACTTTCAAGTCATCCCTACTGTGAGCCCACGCTATGAGGAAGTCAGGTTAATCAAACAAAAAAGCTGGCAACATTTTATTAAAAATAGAAGTAGCTTTTCCTTAGAAAAATGATCAACATAAGGACAGCATAAACAGAGGGCCCATCGGACCTTCTTTAATTATCTTTTTTTCTTTTTTTTTTTGTAGCGGGGAATTACAAAGAACCAGGGTGGCTCTGCTTAGGAGACTTCTAAAATGCCATAAAGTAGGTTAACCACTGATTTTTTTATATGACTCATAAAAATATGATGAAGGTTGGCTTTATTTCCAAGTGTTCTCCTGCTGTTTATTATTGAGTAATAACCATGTTCTCCGGTATTTCCAACCCTCTCCACTTTGTCTGAGTTCAGTTTTCCCTGCTCATTGGGATGAGAGGAGAAACAAAATAACCGGCAACGTGGTGTAAAAGGTGACCGGAAAGCTGCAGGAAGGTGGAGACAGGAGCACCAGCGTCTATTCACCCACGGAAGGAGAAGCAGGTTCATTAAAATTTCCTTAGGGTGCAAGGAATATTGCAACTCGGAGGGGGATTTCTTTTTAAATATTTAGAGGATCACGGGGCTTAAGCTTCAGAGAAAGTTGCATTGAAATTAACCCCAAATGGGGGGCCTCCCCGGTGGCGCAGCGGTTGAGCACTGGGTTGCTAAGCTGCCCGCAGCCTCTGCGGTGCCGGTTCGATCCCCAGCTGCTCCCCGGCCACCAGAGGAGGGTCCCACATGGTGCGCAGACCTCTCCTGCCGCCCGCTGCTCCCCTCAGCAGTGTACTTCGGTCCTTCTGCCTGCTCTGCTCAATTCTCTCACCCTCCCGTGCTTCTGACTGTACCCAGTGCTTGTATAAATAAAAATAAATAAATCTTAAAAAAAAAAAAACTCTTTATTAAAAAAAAAAAAAAAAAGAAATTAACCCCAAATGGGGCTCCTTTTGCGCAGACGTCTCTCTCCCAGGGAGGTGGCCTGTGGGGGGGGGGGGCAGTGGTGCAGAGAGGAGCCAGAAGCAGCTGCAAAGTACAGACTCGGGGCATTTCCTGGATTAATGAAACCCACGTTTAACATCCTCACGACTGTTGGTCTCCAGCAAGGTTTGCTTCTTTTTGTTTTCTTCAGAAATGTTGTGACACAAGCAAGAGTGGGCAGAGGAGTGAGAAGTGACACGGAAGCAGGGTCTTTGGTACCGGCACGACGTTTCAGGAGTTTCCATCATCACGCTCCGTCATGAAAGGAAAGTTTCACAGAGGCAAGCGGTGAAGTGTAGAGAGGACACAAAGATCTCTGGAAGTCACCCTTGGTCTTCAGCTTCAGTCCCCAAAGCCTCCAACATGACCACGTAAACAGAGAGCGGGACTGGATCACACTTGGCGCAACACATGCTTTTTCGGTAATAGAAAGTCACGAGCAGCTGCCCCGAGAAAAAGCCGGCATCTGCATCATGCTTTTACCTGACAGGCGAGCGGCGTGCGGCGTGCCTCAGTCACGGTGGAGGCGCCACGCGAAAAGTAAACATTTTATTTTTACAAATGAGTCCCTGATCTCCAATCTACCTGTGGTCCCCCCCTTGCTATGCACGCTCATCTGCTCTGTCCTTTTCTCTCATGCCACCCAAGGAAAATTGTATTTCTGAGTGTGTCTGCTGAACGTGGCTCTCTGACGTGAGGCCACGCAGCCCCCAGGAGAACAGAAGTGTCTGTTTCGATCACTACTAATCACCTAGAACGAAGCAAACACGATTTGGTAAATGGTAGGTGCTCAAGTATTTGTTGAAAGATGGGTACTTTTTTTCCTTACAAAAAATGGTCTTTAAGAAGGGAGCATAATGTGACAAACTATCCAATTCATCAGTAAAAAAGGAAATGAAAATTAAAGTCATTGCAGGGAGGTCATTTCATCTGCCTCCGACTGGCCAAGGTCAACCCTATTGGGTGTCGGTCCCCAAGCAGAACCCTGGGACCCTCACATGCTGCCGGGGCCATGTAAATTGCTATTGTGATGCACAACTCCACCCTGCCCTCCAGAGCGCAGGAGCGTGTTCCCACCTCCCCGAGGAGGGGATTCCACCACCAGGGCCATTGCTAGAGAAATGCTGGCCGCGTGCGGGGCGATCATGGGCACCAGCACAAAACAGGGGCCACTCCAGACGCCCGCCCACGGGAGGGATGGTGTGTGTGTATTTAGATAATGGAAAACTGTGCAGCAGTGACACTAATAACAGCCACAGCTACAACATGGGCGAATCTCACCCTCGGCACAGACGGGATGAAAAGAAATGGTTTCACAATGATGCAAACAGGTTATAGGAAAGAAAGATGCAAACAAAGAAATATCAAACAAGAAGCAAAGACTCCTCTCTGTTAGGAAACAATATAAAAATACACATAAACACACACCTGCAGCGGAGTCAAGCCATAAAAAAGGAACTGAGCAGGAGCACGAATTCTCTAACAGAAAAGCTCAGGAAGACAAGATAATAAAACGACAAAGGAGAGGAGAAGGGATTCTTCCCGGCTAAGAAAACAGAAATAACATCGTCACGCAAACTAACAGGCAACTTAGAAACCACAAGAGGAAGAGCCAAGGCTGGACTGAGAACCCAGAGAAGGAACAGGCTGGAAGCGCCTCACGCGGCAGAGGAACGCGCGGGAGGAGGGAGGAGGAGGTGGTCCGGGCTCGGCGAGATGATCCACGCGGAACGGGGGTCCCAAGGGAGGGAAAGTGGCGGGAGGCAGGGCAGGAGGAGGGGAGGGGAAGACGGAGGGGTATTTTCCCGAAGCATCACTGGGGCAGTTTCCCCGCAGTGAGGACCCGAATCTGAACCTCCGAAGGAGCTCGCGGGTCCCGGGGCACTTGCACAGAAGGCCCCGGCACCCAGGCCGCGAGGGCTGCCCTTTGGCCTCCTGCTTTCCTCCTGGTTTCAAGCTTCCGCTGGGCTCGGGCTGCCCGTCAAGAACACCAGAGGCCAGCGACCGTGGAAACGACGTCTGAGGGAAAGGGGGCCGCGTGATGGGGGATCTGCACCCTCCAGCTGCACCCAGGCCAGAGCGGCAAGGTGGGTGCCCCCGTGAGCTCCCAGGCACTGCGGCCAGCACCTGACGCTGAACCCAGGCGAGCAGAGAACCCAAGTGGAGAACCGCCAGGGGTCACCTGGGAGTGGAGTCTTGCAAAGGGCCGGCGAAGGCACGACAACGGGCAAGTCGTGGGAACAGACTAGGATGGAAATGTTGTAAGACCGAGACCGAAACAGAAAGGGGCAGCGCGTGGGGTGCAGGAAGCCCCCACAGAGCCGTCACCTGAGCTTCACCGCAGGGCACGGACGCCGCAATTTCTCCAGCTCTTAGTGGCTTTCTTCATCTTTTTTCTTGCCTCAAAATCCTCTGGGGATTTAACATCTCTCATAGTAAGGAAGTATTTCTCCAAAGTACAGAAGTCTCTGGCTGCACGTTGGACAGCGCCGCGGCCAGGCTGGCGCCGGATGGGTGGGCTCTGAGCCAGGCGCAGGGCTGCTGGCAGGGTGACCTTGGGCAAGTCACTTAACCTCTCTGTGCCTCAATCTCCACAACCTGGCGCTGGGAGGAAGAGCAGGAGGAGCAGGAGCGCACCCGGCTCACGGTGCTGCCACGGGGATCAAATAGGAGCACCCCCCGAACCCTAGTGGCCCCGCCTGCACACCGGGTGCCAGAAAGGGGGTAATTATGAGGGCGAGGGTGACATTTCTTTTTCCGCCGATGAAGTCAAGGAAATAAATTAAATATGCCTTATTTGTTTAAAGGCGCATGATCCTCTCATCAAATTATTTCTGTCCAGGTGCCCGCGCACCCCGCGCTGCCCAACGCAGCCACTCTTCCGTAAACGCCCGTAGCCGGGGCGAGAACTGTGGTCACCGAATGTCGCCTTTGGTTATTTCCAGGTGGCAGAAATTTTGAATTATTTATTACTTTCGTCTTTTACTGTTCAGAATTGTTTACGTGTTTTTATAAATATAATAAAGTCATTCCCAAGAGAAAACCCGCTCGGCCAATTGGCCAGCAGTGCCCGAGGTGTCCTCTTCGGCGCTCACGTTAATGTTGGCTCCGTCCATTTTTTCCTCATTGACATTTTCCTGTTGAGAACTTTATAGTCGTGGTTTATAGAATGTTCTTTGTATACTGGGAGCTGTTGCTATGTATCTGTCGTGTGCGTTGCTCATGCTTTGCTAGGTTTGCCGTTTGTTTATATACAGTTTCCTGTACAAAACCTTTTTCATTTTAATGCAGCCAAACTTGCCATCTTCTGTGTGGTTTTGAGGCTCTGTCTTATGCTCAAACCACAGTAAGCTTCAAGATTAAAAACTTGAAATTTATTTTCTTATTTTTAAATTTAAATAGCTGATACATATACATAAAATTTATTTTTGTGTGAAGAGCAGACTCCCCGACATGGCTGGCTTGCAAGTTATCCCAGTAGTAATTAAAAATTAATAATCACTGAATAATCCGCTCCCCACTCCCAACACTTTTTCGGAACACCTCAGGCTGTACATTAAATTCAGGCCACTGCTCCATTACCCAACTCTTGATTTAAGAGTTTAACATTCAATCTGAATGTCCACTGCTGTAGCAGTGCTATATTGTCTTAATTTTATCTTTAAAAAATATTTTATATATGATATGGGAAGTCCTCTTGTGACTCACTGTATATGTGCACATGTAAAATCTCTATGTGTGTCCCCATATAGGACACACATCATTAATACTGATCTTCCAATCCAAGAATTAGAAAAGATGGCTTCACAGATTCAAGTTTTCCTTTAATTTACTCAATTAAGTTGTGTCATGTCTTTAAATGTGTCTTGGCTCTCTATCAGGCAGAGCAGGGAGGAGCACCGAGGAGGAGGGAGACTCTCATCGCCATCACCTGGGGCGTTATCCTCACTAGGAGAAGGGAGAGGTCTCAGGGCTGGGGAGAGGGAGATAGGATCCAAACAAACGTTAGAAGTAATGTCTGGACCTAAGTGGTTTTCCATAGCTCTCTTACTATCTCTGTCCACACTTTAGATAACATTAAAAAACCAAATATTCTTACCTGCTGACGAAATGTCCTCTCCATTTCATCTACGGAGTAGTCTTTCCAGACTTCTTCAGATAAAACATGATTGGGGAGGCACTCCCCAATTTTGGAATTTTTGACTTGTTGATTCTCCTGTGAGATCTCTGTCAAAACAAAATCACTTTTATTATCACTGCTGAAGATACACTTAGAATTGCTTCCTGAAGTAAAACTATCACTGCTTGCAGGTGACATGATCCTATACCAGAAAACCCTAAAGACTCCACGAACAAATGATTAGAAACTGTCAGGACGTGCAGTAAAGTGGTGGGCGAAAATATCAAGGAAAAAACCTATTGTGTTCCTATACACAATGAACTGGAAGAAAAAGGAATTAAGAAAACAATCCCACTTACAATCACATCAAAAGGAATTAAACACCTGGGAATTAACTTAACAAAGGAGGTGAAATGCCTGTACATTGAAAATTATAAAACATTGTTAGAAGAAACAGACTACATAAAGAAATGGTAAGATGCTCTGTGTTCATGAGCTGGAAGAATTAACATTGTTAAGATATTCAAAACCATGTTATTACCCTTATCTTAAGCCATAAAAAGGTTCAATGTGATCCCCCATCAAAATTCCAATGGAATTTTTCAAGGAAATAGAACAAACAATACTAAAACATGTATGGAGCCACTAAAGATTCTGAATAACCAAAACACCCTTGAGAATAAAAGAAAAGTGGGGGTTCCAGGATCCCTGACTTCTAAGTGTAATACAAAGTGGTGGTAATCAAAACAGAGAAGTTTTGGAATAAAAACAGACACAGAGTTCAATGGAATAGACTTCAGAGCCCAGAAGTAAATTCATTTTATATGGGCAGTTGGGGCCTCCCCAGTGGCACAGCGGTTGAGCACTGGGTTGAGAAGCTGCCCACAGCCTCTGCAGCACCGGTTCCATCCCCGGCTGCTCCCCGGCCACCGGAGGAGGGTCCCACATGGCGCGCAGACCTCTCCTGCCGCCCGCTGCTCCCCTCAGCAGTGTCCTTCGGTCCTTCTGCCTGCTCTGCTCCCCGCTCTGGCTCTGGTGAATTCTCTCACCCTCCCGCGCTTCTGACTGTACCCAGTGCTTGTATAAATTTTTTTAAAAAATTAAATAAATAAATAGAAATAAATCTTTATATGGGCAGTTGATGACAAAGGAGCCAAAAGCATACAATGGAAAGAGAAAGGTCTGCAATAAATAGTGGTGGGAAAACCAGAAATCCACCTGAAAAAGGAGGAAACTAGACCACTATCTAACACCATACACAAAAAATTAATTCAAAATAGATTAAAGACTTAGATATAAGACCTGAGGCCACAAAACACATAGAAGAAAATATAGATGGTACGCTCCGCACCACTGGCCGTAGAGATGCCTTGACACCCAACTACAATGTCAAGGGAAACAAATGTAAAAATAAAGAAATTGAAATACACCAAACTAACAAGCTTCTGCACAGCACAAGAAACCCTCATCAAAATGAAGAGGCATCCTGAATGCAAGAAAATATTTGCACACCATACACATCTGAAAAGGGGATAATATCCAAGATACATAGAGAACTCATACAACTCAATGACAAAAAAATCAATCAATCAATCAAAAAATGGACAGATCAGAATAGACAGTTCTCCCAAAAAAATATACAGACGGCCAAATAGGCGTGTGGAAAAAAATGTTCATCATCATCATCATCATCACTTTACTATTAATGCAAATGCATTAGTAATTTACTTCTGTATGTAATGCAAATCAGTACCACAAAGAGATGTCACCTCACACCTTTTTCCAAACAAGTGGAAGCAACAGTGTTGGCAGGGATGTGGAGAGAAGGAACCTCACTCGCTGTTTGTGGGAAAGTGAATTGGTCTAACCTCTATGGAGAACAGTCTGGAGGTTACTCAGAAATAAAAAATGCTTCTAACATATAACCCAACAAGTCCACTTCTATCTAAGAATATAAAAACACTAATTTCAAAACACTGTTTACAACAGCCAAGTGTCCACTGATGAACGGTTAGATAATGAAGATGTGGCAGATACATGCATGGAATACTATTTGGCTATGAAAAAGATGAAATCTTGCTATCTGTACAGCATGGATAGACTTTGAGGGTAAAGTAAAATAGGTCACAAGGAGAAAGACAGATTCAGGATGATTTCGCTCATAGTGGGATATAAAGAAACAAAGCAAAGGAACAGACAAAACCAAACAAAAATAAACCCTTGGATTCTGACAACAGAACTGAGGTTACCAGAGGCAAAGGAGGTGGGGGGTGGGCGCAGAGGACAGTGTCCAATGGACTTAATGCTACTCTGGTGGTAGCCACAGTGTGGTAACAAACATTTGAAGAGCTGTGAACCCATAACTCCGAAACATCTACACTGTTGTAAACCAATGTTACCTCAATAAATTAATCAATTAAAAAATAAAACATTTCCTTTTCAGTATAAGTTGTCTGGGAAAAAATATTTAGACTTCAATAAACCAAAACCACAATGACCTATGTAATAAATGATATTGAAAAACTGGATGAACATTTTAGAAAAAAATTAAAATCTGCTTCTACCCTATTCTGGGATAAACATTAAATAGAGTAAAATGTACACTAAGCAAAATAATAAAACCATAAAGTGGTAGAAGAAAATTAAGGTTAATTTTACATAAGACAAAATCTTTGTGTGAGACACCCTTTCCAAGAAACACACTAAAGCTAAAAATCTTTTAAGAAAATGGGCAGGTCTGACAATATAAATATTAATTTTTGTTTGGTTTAAAAAACCACACAAAAAACAATGAAAGAAAAATGAGTGAAAAAAACTACTGTTAGCATACATGAGAAATATTAATTTACATAATAAACAAGTAACTCCTACGAATCAGGAAGATAAGCATGAATGCCCAGTAGAACCACAGACTAATAGTATGCACAGGTAATTCATATGAAAAAGAACTACAAAATAAAATCCAATAAGTGTATGAACAACTGCTCAAACTCTTGGTAATTTACAAAGTCTAATTAAAGCAAGTCAACACTTTTTCCACTTGTCAAAAAGGCAGGGATTGAAGGGAGTGAGAAAGAAATCAGATTTAATTTGCACGGAGAAGACCTGGTGCTTGAAGACTCTCATATTCCCGTCTAGAATTTTAGACAAATGGTAAGAGGCCCACTCAGCAAATGCATAGAAATAGGAAAAAAATGAAAACCGTTTGAGAGCCTGGGGGTAGAGGAATCCTTTTGTAAATAAGGGCTCATCAGGCCTATGATGTAAGACAGACATTAAAAGCAAAACAGCAAGACTAGGTTAATGGACAAGGCCATCTTCCCCAGATACTTTTCATGAATAAAAGGGGCAACATATTTTGATTTTTATTTTAACCCGTATTTTCTGTGTCTACCTATCTAGTCATCCATCTGTCCATCCATCTATCTATCTATCCATCCATCCATCCACCCACCCACCCATCCATCTACCTATGCATCAGAAAAAAAAATATCCAGGAGGATAACACACCAAAACAAGTTAGCGGTAGGATGTGAGCGGTAGGATTACATAGGATTGTTATTTCACGGCTTTGTGTTTTCTGGCTTTTTTGCAACAGGCTATATTGCTTTTATAATAAAAGAAAATAAAACAAATCTAAAATATAGCCATTTTCTCTTTCAAAGTCGACTGCAAAGAATCACAAATGGTTTCCCAGATTTATTTCCTAAAATGTCTGCAAATAAGCTTCACTCCAATTAAGCACACTTCTAAATACTCAGCTGCAGTTAACAAACTGCCAGTCATTTGGAATTCCATTTCCTACCTCCAAAACAAAAAGAAATAGAAAGAAAAGTCTCCCAAGTGGACCCCTCAGGCTACATAATAAAACACAAAGCCAGTCCTTCCGGACTTGGTCTGGGATTCGGGGGCTCCAGTGGGGGAAGCGCTGGAAACCAGGGATCCCAGAACATAGAAGCGGTGAGAACAGCACAGAGGGCAGAGGGCAAGAAGGCCCAGTCGAAGCCCAGGGTCGGCCTGGTGGGACACGGCAGCCACCGGCCCCTGCTTTCTGACTCCGGGCCTGTGCTCACGGCACTCCGGGGCACTGTTTCTAGAAAAACCCACTGTGCTCCATCAGCAACAGGCCAGGTTCTGGAGTGGGACTGGGAGGCTGAGATGCGGGCCCACCCTCCGGGAACTCACCCTCCAGCAGCCCTGGCTTTGGCCACAACAGCAGAACTCAGGGATGACAGTGGTGGCACTCAGTGACTCCTCACTCCTCGCCACCTTGTCGGGGTTTCGTTCCTCAGGTGGGTTAACAATTCCCACCTGCCCATTCTTCCAAAATCTTCTCTGAAGGATCCTCGCTGATTCAAAAGGGGAGGAGAGGCAGCCCAAAGCTTAAGGGGAGGTTATGTGGGTCAAGGTGCTGCAAAGGTAATTCCCTCCCATGAGCATATTTAGGGGCCCACCTTGATGAGTAAGGTGATGCTGGCTTATGAAAAACACAGACGGATGCGAAATTCACAGAAAATGGATAGCGACCTTTAATAGAAAAATCAAGGACAGTGGGCTGCAAACATGAACTAGAGACCCCCCGACAGAGGGCAGAACAGCGTCGACCTATAAACAGCCCCTGGTAATTAGTCGTGTATACCATTCTCCACAAAAATAAACACACGTTAGCAAATGTTATCCTCATCATTCATAATTCATAGAGAACGGCAAAGCAGGAGCGCATCTTAGAAACAGAAGCGAATATAAAGAAGCGCATGGAATCGAGTGCTTAATTATGAAAGTGAAATTTGGGGGGCAAATGCAAATAAGTGACAAATATTTTTAAATTATCGCTCCCTTGAGATTATCTTCCAAAAATGCTGAAAACATCACAGACGGAGTCAAAATTACTAATCTAGAAAAACGCGAAGCTGTGGAGAAGCCACCCCTCTGGCTGTGGGCTTCTTGGCAGGAGCGCCACGGCCAGGTCTGAGTGTCTCAGGAGTTCTCGCCTAGAAAGACTCAGAAACTCTGAAGCAGCAGAAGTGAGGGGCGCCGTCTCCAGAAGGAAGCAGCTGCCGGGACTCCACGTGAGCTCCACTGCTTGATGCCTGTGCAACCTTGTGCC